TATAGTTGTTATTATTAGCCTTAATACTCTATATAGAAATACACTACTAGTTATTACTACACTTTTATTTATTTAAGGGAAATTTACTCTTTTTGTAATTACTCTATTAAATTATACTTTTATTTTAGTATCTTTATAGATTAGGTCTAAGAATTACAAGACCTATTAATTAATATATATATTATTATTATTAGACGTTGTTGTAGTGTAGGTAGTTTTCCTATGTTTTGCTATTCCTCTTTTCCTTTGTTAGGTAGCCTAGATGCCTTGCCCTTTCTTAGTAGCCTTAAGAAGAAATAAATAAAGTAGCCTTAACTATAAGTACCTATAGACCCTAAGATCTTTAAGACCTTAACTAATATAGTATAAACTATATACTAAAAGGTAAAAAAATAAAAATATACTTTAGTAGTTACCTTAGTAAATATAGAATAATAGAGGGCCTCTCTAAAGAAATAAAAGTTAAAAAGTATTTTTTACTATACTAGAAATAACTATATTAGAATATTCCTTAGCCTTTATAAACTAGTAGTAAAAAAAATAAAACCCTAGACCTTGTTCTTACTTCTTACTATAGCCCCTAGTTAAGAAGGCTACACTTAATATAAGTAAAGACTAGTCTAGGACTAGGCCTTTAATAAAGTACAATAGGAGGTAAAACAAGAGAAAGAATAGAACTAGCCTAGTATATTAGATTATAGCTTATACTACTATAAGTAAGTAAGACTAGCTTAATTAAGGAAAAAGGAATAAGAGAGAGGAATATAAAGAGCTTAAAGATTATATTACTACTTCTTAGGGTTTTATATTCTTTTATTCTTACTAAGTATATAATATAGGATAAAAAGAATAAAAGATAATTAAAATAAGGTAGAATTTTAGGTTTTTTTTTAAGTAGTTTTTATAAATATTTTTTTAGCTAGTAGAGCCTTAATTATCCTAATTAGAATATTAAATACTAATTAAGACTAATAAAATAAATAGGATATAGAATTTAATACCTATAAGTTAACCTTTAACTTTAACTATAACTTTATTATTATAGTAATATAACTAATCTTAGATATTCTTTTAATCTTATATACCTAATTAGGCCTTTTTAGCCTAATTAAGTACTTTATCTACCTTATAACTATATAACTAAATAATAAGACCTTTTATATATAGTTCTATACTACTTAGTAATAATAGTATTACTAACTAAGTTTAACTACTAACTAAAGGTAGACGTTTAATTAATAAACCTTAGCCTTAATTAGACTAAGATCTATTAATTAACGTTATTATCTTCTTAGATAAGAGGTTAGTAAGTCACCTTTATATTTATAGGCGCTTAGGGTACACTAGCAACAAGACCTTTAGGTAGAGTTATTTAGATTAGTTATATATATACTAGCTATCCTACTGCCTTACGCATTAATATCCTACTTAGTTTTATTAACCTTTAGGTCCTAGCTACTTAGCCTAAGGTTACTACCTTAATAACCTAGGGCAGCTAAGCTAATAAACACTACTATAACACTAATAATAATAACCTAGCCTAGGCACTACTAAAGGCTAAATAATCTTAATAGAACTTTAGGGATAATAAGTAATAAGGTTATTATATAAGAAGAAAAGTAATTTCTATACTTTATATTTATATATACTACTATTTAGTATATTTTCTTAGTAAAAGAGGACAAAGTCCTTTAGGGGGGAGGCACTTGTTATAGGACAAGTACCTTATATAGTAGATAAATAAGTAGAACATAGGATTACCTTATTAGTATATATTTAAGTATATACCTAGGGGTATATATCCTATTACCTATTTCCTCCTATAAGGAAAAGTAACCTTAATAGATAACCTATACTTATACCTAGCTCTTGTCCTATGTTATTTATTTAGCTCTTTGTTATTACTTACTTTATTTTACTGCTCTACTATTACACTTTACCTTTATACTACATTACTTTATATTACCTATTATAGCCTTGCTCCTCCTGTTAGATCTATAATAGCTAACAGGAAGGCTATATTAAAAGTAGTATAAGTAGTTATCCTAAAGAGTAGTTCTTTAGCCCTCCTATAGTTAAGTACTATATAAACTAGATCTTTATATAAATTATAACTTATTTTAGTATAAAGGGTTATAATAAAGAGTAGTTCTTTAGCCTTTTTATAGTTAAACACTATATAAACTAACTCTTTATATAATATAGCTTAACTTTTTACTTTTACTAATCTATAATTACTATATAACTACTAATTAGTGTTAAATAGGCTTTATATATATATATACTTAGTAAAATATAAAGGTAAATTAACTTCTTATTAGGTAACTAAACAGGTCTACTCTACTATTGTTATATAAAGTAGTTATATACTACTTAAGTATAACTTAAGTTATTCTAGCTAACTAAAAGTATAATCCCCTCTTAATATAACTAAGGGCTAAATAACTAGTCTATGCCCTTTAACCTTAAATTATAAACTATTTATAGTTAATTAACTAGGTGTTGTATAATTATTAGTATTAATATTCTAATAAATTAACTATTAATTAATATTAGTTTTTACTAGTTAATTAATAGGATCCTATATCTTATAATATTATAAAGGTTAAGAAAAGGTAGTTAAATTTATAGTTGTTAATAGTTAACTAGTTAACAAGGTGAAATAGGAGCATAAGTGTAGCAGCACCCTTGCGTGTAGGCAAGAGTAGGGATTCTGCCGGTAGGCGGTGTGTCACGTGACCCACCGCCTCCAGCCGCATTACCCATATGCCAACACCTTTAGACCTTGCTGACGAGACTCTAGCTATTCTCCTATCTGGGTGTACTGCCGAAAACCTCAAAGAGATATGCCTCATTTCTCTGTCATACTCCAGTGATTCAACAAACCCAGCACTCAATCCTGCAGTCGCAGTGAATAGCTCTTCTCCTGCAGCTGTAATAGGTACACCATTCGAGGTTCGCGTCGGCTACTTTGGCATGTGTCTGATGAGCTCCGATCAATGGATCTGCTCTAAAGACTCTAGAGCTCTTGAATCCTTTGCGAATCGATCTCAGATTGGAACGGTCGATGATCCCTTCAAGCTGATTGCCGCTGCTGAGAAGTTCAAAGACGAAGTCATTTTTAAAGGGTTATAGTAAGTCGACGGGAAATTTTGTATCATGAGCCTTCTAAATGCTCCAACAAGAAGCTTACAAACGAGCGATACAGTTTCATTTCAATCATCTTTGGATTCTGTACTTTCATACTATTAGCTACCTTTCCGGGGTGGCACGAAACCGACTCTGAGGGAAGTAGTGTGGAAGTCAAGCCGTTTCCGTCACTAGCAGTATCGAAGATTGCCTCGGCATGTATATTTGTGTCAGCTGTAATATCCATGCTTGCCACCTTCTGGCAGCACCTGTCGAGTTCTGCAGCGATAGCGATGAGTTCTGCATTTACCCAAGGGGCGGTGACCGGCCATGTAGGAGCTGCCGCCATGGCGCTTGGATGGATCTCGGTCTTTCTTTTGATGACCACGTTCGTTGGCATTATTGTAATGATATTATCGATAAGGATACTTTTACGACTGGTTGAATAGATAAAGATGTTGGAAATCTCGCAGTTCTACTGGACCTTTGGCTTTGGATATGCCTTGTTTCTATCTATCGTCTTGCCCGAAGCTTGAAAATTAAGGGTTCGCTTTTGTCATCACAGAACTCTACCTTCATGTTCCACTTGATAGACGCTATTCCACGGTTACTTACAATAAAGCATTACTTAATCGCAGATGGGACTTTGACGCAGAATTTCCAGGATATACTAATTGCAGGAGCCGTTCCACCACCTTGATGTCTACATGATTGCATTTCAATCGCGAAGTGATCCCGTGTTACTATCTGAGATAGACGTAACAGTCATGGAAATCTTGCGCATGCGTAAGACACGGTGATAAATACCGTAGGCAACTACTGCCGTAGCGGCCAATAAACCTATAAGGATCAAGACTGCCGCCTTAATACCCGAGGAAAGCTGCGATGTCAAAATAGGCCCCAAGATGGCCAGAAACAGTCCGAGACCTGCGGAGATGCCGAATCCCCATTTCCATAAATGCCCGCTTTCATCACGAAGGGCTTTGAGCCATCCGGCTATCCTGTCGACATTGAAGGCTATGACGATGAATGGTACGGAGAGACCCAGCCCAATAGCCACTGTGAAGAACTCTTGATTAGCTCTGAAGACGGCTTTCTTGGGCTGAACTCACAAATGTGCTTCATAAGGTAGTCAAAGGGAATTCTGTCATTCGAGTCGAGAGGGAATCCATTGGTGTTTATCGCGAACACTGATGCAATGAAGGATACGGGCAGCTTCGGCACCATCAACGTACGTTCTTATTTTGCGCCGGGATAGCGAGGATATGCGAACTTACGAAGAGAATAGTCACGACTGTAAAGACAATTACGATTTTCCCCTGCCGGGCAGTGTCTATAGATGACTCTCGGGCATACAAAGCTTCCATCAAGCTAGCCTGCTTCTGCTTGAGATCAATTAGGCGATTCAACTTGAAGAATGGTCAGTGGACAGCCAACATGTGCGCGGAGCGAAACGAAGTTCCTCACCAAGTTATCTACTTTCCAAGCTGCCTGTTCCATCTGCTCGATCCGTACGAGGTGGTTGTTCAAAGTCCTCATCTCGACGGACGGGGATCTACCGCCAGCATTTGCTGTTGCCTTGAAAATCCTATTGAGGTCTTCAATCACAGACTTTTGATCCGTCAAAACCAGCTTCAGGGTGTGCAGCTCGTCCAAGATGTCGTCGACTTCGATCATGAGTTCTGTCTCGTCGGCAATGTCCATGACTTCGTGGTTGCCTTCGCTCAGTGCCCCTTTGAACTCTCTCAGATATTTGGAAACCTTTTCGTTCTTCGAGGGAGCTCGTTAGCTCTGCTAATCGCCGTTTGAAAGTTTCACTCCGTAGCGGAGGCGAGGGGGCGGGGGGGGGGGGGGGGGGGGGGGGTTAGGAAAACGAGTTGGGCGGTCTTACTGCTTGGCCAATCGACCGTTCGAAAAAGTCGAAAAAGAGAAAGTCTTCGTCGACTCTGTGAGGGTCGAGCAACTCAACGCAGCATGTGGTAATGAGGCTTGCCAGATCATGGACAGAGCCAACTGCACTTCTGCCGGGTCTCGATAGGTGCTGCGTGACCAACTGGGGCACACTCAAAGGGTCGTTCAAGTTGATCTCTGGCCATGTTCCCTGCTTTGCTGTGTTGTGCTTAGGCCTCTGGTATCTATCCCCTCTTTGAATCTTTTTTGAACTCTGATCCTGTTGCAGCGTATTGGATATCCATTGGAAATAAAGGGTCTGTTTCGGAGTTTGCATGACTGGCTCCGGTTTCGATTCAAGTCCTTTCGGCAACCAGGAGTTCCAGCGAAGCGGACAACAGGATATTATCGTGTCTATGAAGATCAATGTCAGCGGAAGACTTCCAATCCCAGTCCGGGTTGGTGTTGAGATTCGCACCGTCGCCGAGAATCCACAACCACAGCTGGTCGACCATGATTATCTTGGGGTCAGAGGCCAGGCCAGTCTTCGTGTAGCGATAGACAACCTGATCATCGTCGCGATACGACGTCGTCTGAATATGCGCATACACGTATTGGTCTAGGGTGCGTCGTGGCCGGATCCCTCGCTTGCCAGGATAGAAATAGCCTCGAATCAGGTATTCGTGCAGATTACCGGTAGGAGGAGCGTGCCTGTGCTTCTTCTTCTTTTTCCGCCTCTGTTGTGCCACCATCGGAGCATCATGATGAGGGTGTCCACGTTTCTCGCTTATTCTGATTTCCCCCGGGTGATCTTGGACTTGAGCTCCTTGTCCCGCATCTTTCGGCTCTGATATCCCACTTTTGGCACTCCGAGGCGTCGACTTTCTTGTTATGGCGGGAAGATCCTGTGGCCCGGTGTCGGAAGCGTTACTCTTCCGGTCACCACTCGCAATGGAGAGCGCCTGCATCACAGGTTCGGATTCATTGTTCGTCCGTGACGATGGCCCATCTTGAACCCCTGGATTAGGTTGTTCCCTCCCCTCTCCCTCCCCCTGAAGATTCGCATCTTCCTGAGGTTCGGCGATGTTGGGACTTGTCGCAACGGATTGCCTCTCCAGATCCCTTTCACTATTTCTACCAGTTTGAAGACTAGTTGACGCACTGCCAGAGCCTGGCTTGCGCCGGCGCCAGTCACCTAATCGATTTTTGAGGTTCCTCAATGATCTGAAAGCAACGTCCATGCGCGATTTGGAATCCGGAACTATGGTGCCGTTGTGTGAGGTGTTTTCCGAATGTGAAGACTGAGAAATTTCCGGTTCTTGGGGCCTAGCCGCAGGTCTGTTCTCTGAGACGGGCTCGTTTGTGCCTTTAACGAAGCCTGGAGGCAGAGGAGGTCCAGGAATATGCTCACGATCAAGGACCGGAACAGCACCAGAATTCCAACGTTGCTTCTTCGGCCGGCTTTGGAGTGCTTTGACCATGGCCGTATATCCACTATATGTTTCATAGTGCAGAAATGGCAACTGACGGGTCAGTCAGATCTGCTGTTACGGGAATGCCGCTGATGAATGAACTCAACCTACAAAAGAAATGATGCTGTCTCCAGCACCAGTCAAAGAGAAGGAGTCATGTCCCTAGCACAAGGTCTTAATTAGCTTATAGTTTCCGAAGCAAGTTTACAGCGTGTTCCCCTTCCTCACCGGTACGTGTCGACAGTGTGGTCGCATAGCTGAGAAGCGAGGTGCAAACGACTGAGGATTCTTGTTCGTGTCAGATGTCGACAGCTCCAATTCAGACCTGGCGTTGTTGTAGTCCTCTGTAGATATCCCCCCCTTTTCGGCTGCTATGCGTCTGACGAGGCTCTGTTTCTGTCAGTGATGTTCACGTCTTTCCACCTGAAGCCGACCGCGGTGGAGGACGACTCACTTCGACCCAAACCATCTAAACAGGAAATAATGTCAGCTCGCCCTGATTTCGATCCCGGAGTGGAGAACTGACGTTGTTTGTTGGCAGATGATACCACGTAAAGTTGGGCTCACTGCCATCGAGACGACTTTTGATGAACCCGGGCCCGTGACTGTAGAGGAGTTCGTAGACAGATACCGTCTTCTGAATCAGTTTTTCATGCTCTCCCCTAGTGAAAAAGTCTACGGTGATGGCGTCGAATCCGTGGCATGCCACGGCCTTGTCTCGATCACTCTCGGCTGGAGGCGGAGGGGGTTTCAGCTCTGGCGAGGCTTGCTCTGCCCCTCCGGCTTCGTCAAAATTACGGATTCGAGGCCCCAACAACACCCTCTCACCCTGAAGAATCCGGAGCATCTCGTCGTTCTCTTTCGCCAGTTCGAAGACAGATTGGCCGTCGGTGCCCCATATGCGTGTTTTGGCTCCTCTTTGTAAGAGCAGCTTGACTGCGTCTAGGCTTCCTGAAGCGACGGCTCGGAACAATGGCGTACCCCCGTCCATGTCTCTCAAGCTGTTGACGCTAGCCCCATGCTCCAATAATATCTCAATGACCTCAAGGCTACCAGTATCACAGGCTAAATGGAGAGCTGTGGGAGGGTCCTCGGCGCAGAGGGAGTCGGGATCGGCTTGCCAATTGAGCAAGAGCTTGACGATGTTTGGATTGCTCTTCTTGACAGCGAGGAACAGTGGCTCTCTTCCATCGGGCGTTCGAGCGCCAACATCGGCCCCGTACTCTAGGAGCATGCTGCATATCTCGAGGTCGTCTTTCAACACCGCGGCATGAAGGGGTGTGAGCCCCTGAGCTTCGGCATCGGGAACCGCGCTGTGTCTCAAGAGAGCCTGGACGATCTCGAGCCATCGCCCCTCGACTGCCATGTAAAGCGGTCTCCGGCCATCTGGAGCTTGTGCCTCAATGTCAGCCCCATAACTCCAGAGAACTTCAGTCGCCGTCTCGTTGCGGCTCAAGACTGCCAAATGCAAGGCTGTCAAGCCGTACGAGTTTTGAGTGTCTATGCCTTCATCCGCTTGACTGATCAATGCCTCCAAAGCCTCGGGCTGTGACGAAGCAGCTGCGTTGAAGATCTTCTCGGCCCATGATTGTTCCATTTCTTCCCAGCCCTCCTCGATTGGCGTGACTTGGGAGGGCTCCATAATGCACTTGTTGATGTTTTAGTGATTGCCCTTGACGGCCCCTGTCATTCATCGTGAGTGATGGCGACGGAGGAAAAAACAGCGTGGCTGATGTAAGCAGATTTGTTCCTCGTTTCTGCGGAAATGTTACTATGGTGGTGTCTCGTCATCTATCAGCTGCATATACGAGATGCCGAACACCCATGCTGATTGGACGGTCATCACAGCACTTTTCGTCGGTGGACAGGGCTGTATGCACCTCTTGTAAAGCAGCGGGTGATTTTGCCGCATCCAAATACCAGATATCAAGTGGGCTGGTACCCAATCAGATCTAGACCGTGAAGCAGGCTGCGGTTGCTATGGTAAATTGGACTGAGGTTTTCTAATTCTCCGTCAGACGTACAAACTGCATGATAAAATCAGGCTCACACGATGACGAAACAAGCGGGCAAGCCTGGGATAGACATCTGTCACGCAAAAGACGACGCCGTTAATTGCGGGCAGCACAACTAACGCCTTATATCACCTCGTGACAACATCATTTGTATTAGGTGCCTTAATGTCAAGCCTCCCAGCCCTTTCCTTGGCTTTTGATGATGGCCACCTCGTCATCGTCCCCCCTGGATGAGTCGTCGCGGCTGGCGTGCGTTTCATATGTTCTTTGCACGTAAATCCGGCCGTTCATCTGGCGACTCCTGTGCAGATCGTCCAACGGTATTGACTGCGTTACCGCGACGGACCGCGACGTCATATCGGGTACGTAGGTGCTCGTAGCACCGGGATGGGTTTGGTGTATGCCGTACCTCTGCGTGTTTTTCTTGCTCGCAGAGGAGTAGTAACTCGTGACCCCTCGTGTGAGGAAGGCCTTGAGAGGCAGCAAGGAGCCGACGACGATGGCCGTAGCCGTCTCGACGGCGCTCCAGATGGCCAGACCGACGTAGTCGACATTTTGGTCCTTGATGGATTGGTTCATGCGGACGATGGCGACGCAGATGATGATGGAGGCGAGACTGAAAGCAAAAGCCAGCCCGATCTTTTTCTTGCGGTCTATTTGCAGAGAGGGCAAGATTGTCAACGGCAGTGCCATGATCATCATGTCGGAAACAACATCGACGCTGGTGGCGTAGAAGACGTGGAAGGTCTTCATCCAAACCTCGTGCGGGTTGTTGCACTTCCCTGTGCGATCCTGTCAGTGTTATAATCTACACACGGTGGACGTTTCTGCGGAGAGAAGGGTACACGCGGGAGGGGGGCTTGACAAACCAGCTTTGAAATAGTCGAATGGCCGGCTGCACGTCAAGGCGCTGATCACCCAGCAGCCGATGTATGCCAGAATGGTAAAGACGGCCACGCAGTACCACAGACTCCGACGGACGGGGAACGGCTTGACCAGTCGGTAGAAGACGGCCATGAAGCTAGCCTTCACGAACCAGAGGACGGTACAGAACAGCTTGATGATGGGGAACTGCCAGCGCGCCAGGTCTTCCGTCTTGGCAGCTGTTTCGGCAGTGACTGGGATCCGTCCCGCGTCCAGATATGTGGTGTAGTAAAGCGCGTCGAGCTGTCTCGTCTGCAGGCTGGTCATGGTGACAAGGGACATCCAAGCGCAGATGATGCAGTAATCGTCAGCGAGGAAATGACGGTTCTGCCGCCAGCGCACGGAGAGTCTCAGTGCAGCAAACAGGGTGGCAACCGAGAAGCAAGTCCATATGATGACTGCGAGTGTTCGCAGATCGACGGACTGCGCTGCCCCCACGAGGGGCGCGTTGGGGTTGGCTGCTGCTGACATTGTTGGCAGAAGTCGGGGAGGACGCTTGAGTGACAGACGGCGAGACTACAACGACGGGAGTGTCGGAGCAAACATATATCAGCCGGGAAGGAGATGATGTAGTTTTAAGAATCGTTGTTCGGCACCGGACTTTTCAATGAACAAATCCGTTGGAACACGGATTTGTCGAGGCCTGGTCGTTATTGGACGCAACCGAGACGGTTTACGAATTACAGCCGGGGGGAATGAGACACGTTCGGGGAGTCATGACGAGACTATCGCTATCCGTACCTTGGCCTCGTAGAAAGTTCGCAAGAAAGGTCAAGTACAGGAAGCATATCAGCGCCAGTCACGGCCAAGACTTGAGGCAAACAATATCGGATATTGAAGACCGTCCAATCGTTCACTGGTTAACCAACGGCCCACTCTTTTGAACTTCAACAAACAACGCCATTCAAGGGTTGAGACCGAAGAAAAGGTATCAGCTCCGGGCATCTTACCCTGCGATGTCCATTGTGGCTTGGATCAGCGACATATTATATGCAGATGATCGGGGACAAGCGGGGAAGCAGACGAATGTTTGCTCGGGATGAAATGAGAGACATAGTTCCAACTGTTTGTGATATGGAGCACGCTGTCCTGGTACCGCTCCCCAGGAGCATGGATGCTGGTATCTTCGGGCCAAGACCGACCATGCAAACATGCATCTTGGCACTGACTGGCGCAAAAGAGAGATAAGAAACTTGACGATCTCTCATCTCCTGCGTCGCACTCGCGCCTTAGCGGGGGGGGATGAGAGCCTCCAACCGACGTGGAAGACCGGGAACCTGTGCCGGGCCCGGGGTCCAACATTCGGATGCGGCCGGTTCTTCTCCGGGGACAGTGTATCCGTAGACGCGCGCAAATGAATGGCCTCCTGGTCATCCAACCTGCATGTCTCACCCCCCGCCCCGAGCAGCATTGGCGGATCGAAGCCAAGGCTCAGCCTTCGCCAAACGCTTCCTGGTCTAACCCGAAAGACGGTACCACAGCACTAGGACCGCAAAGTCGGACGGGCCATGCTGACCACAGCCAGCGGTGCTCGCTTTGGATGCAGGTAAAGCGTCGTTGCGGGCATCACAGGGTGGCGATACGATAAACATCTCCAGACCCGACTTTCCGTCCGTTTCCCCGCCCGCCACATCATTCCTCGAGTGTCCAGCTGTACTGCGCACGTAAAAGTCTCCCGGCATGCAGTTCGTCCAGGCCTTATCTATCCTTGCGGCGCTCGTCGTGGGCTCGCAAGGGGAACAGCCCAAAGACGGGTCCCGGACTGATGCCTTTTTGCCCAAATGCAAAAGCGTAAGAGACCCCCCCCCCCCCCCCGGCGTCCAAGATATGCGAGCGGATATGGGCCACCGAGGGCGTCAACGTACGCTGACCTGCACGATATAGGTGCCCGGCGACGCCGCGTGGCCGTCCGAGGCCTCTTGGAAGGCCCTCGACCAGGCGACCGGCGGCAAGCTGGTCAAGACGGCGCCCGTCGCGCAGTCGTGCTACGACGGCCCTTCCATGGATCTCCAAGAATGCGCCTACGTCTCCAAGATGTGGTCGGACCAGGACTTCCAGACCTCGAACCCCGTCGGCCGGCCGTACCCGTACAACATCACCTGCGCGCCGGTCGACTACGCCGCCGGCCAGGCCCCAACCAGCTGCTCCCTCGGGCCCCTCCCGACGTACGCCGTCAACGCGACCGGCCGCGCCGACGTCCTCTCGGCCCTCCTCTTCGCGCGCCTGCACAACGTCCGCCTCGTCATCGCCAGCACGGGCCACGATCTCCTCGGCCGCGCCGACGGCTACGGCTCGCTGGAGATCTGGCTGCGGCACTATCGCAACGGCATCGACTTCCAGGCGACGTACGCGTCGGCCAGCCGGTGCAACGCCTCGGGCTGGCAAGGCAGCGCCATCCGCATCGACGGCGCGTGGCAGTGGAGGGACGTCTACGAGGTCGCCAAGGCCAACAACGTCATCGCCGTCGGCGGCGGCTCCGTGTCGCCGGGGGCCACCGGCGGTTGGCCTTCGGGCGGCGGGCACGGCCCGGCGACCCGCAACTACGGCCTCGGGGCCGACCAGATCCTCGAGGCCGAGGTGATGCTCGCCGACGGCCGCGTCGTGACGGCCGACCACTGCCAGAACGCCGACCTGTTTCGCGCCCTCCGCGGCGGCGGGCCGGGCTACGGCATCGTCCTCGGCACCACCATCAAGGCGCACCCCAACGTCGACGTCGTGACGGCGCACAAGCTCGCCATCGCGCCGCTCCGGCCCTCCGCCGACAACTCGGACCTCCTGGACGCCGTGTCGGTCCTGCTGCAGTCGTACCCGGACCTCAGCGACGCCGGGTACGCCGGGTACGCCTACTGGTTCCGCAACTACCCCGGCGTCTTCGTCGCGAACGCCACCTCGGGCTACAGCCACGGGCTCTGGACCATCGGCAAGACGCAGGCCGAGGCCGACGCCGCGTTCGCCCCCGTCCGCGAGGCGCTCGCCGGGTTCAAGGATCGCCTCTTCGTGTACGAGCGCTTCGCCACGTACACCGACTACTGGTCCTTCTACGAGGCCGAGTCGGGGGTGTACGACCCGGCGGGGGACACGGCGATACTGACGTCGCGCATGGTCGACCGGGCCGCCGTCGCCGACCGCGGCCGCGTGCGCGAGGCCGTCGAGGTGATCAGCGGCAAGCCCGACGAGTACGTGTCCAACGTCGTGCTCCTCGTCTCGGGCGGGCAGGTCTTTGAGGACGCCGAGGACGAGACGTCGGGCCTGCACCCGGCCTGGCGCCGCTCGCCGTACGTGCTCGTCACCGGCCGCGGCATCCCCAAGACGGCGAGCAACGAGGCCCGCGAGGCGGTGCAGGACGACGTCACCTTCGTCAAGGGCGCCGCCGCCAAGAAGCTCGCGCCGACCACGGGCGGCTACATGAACGAGGGCGACCGCCACGACCCGGACTACATCGAGGCGTTTTACGGCGCCAACTACGCCAGCCACCTGGCGGCCAAGAACAAGTACGACCCGTCCGGTGTGTTTTACTGCCCGTCCTGCGTCGGCGCCGAGGCATTTGTCGAACGGCCTGATGGACCGTTGTGCAGGGTGTGAGGGGGTGGCGTCGTGTCATGATGTAGTCTCTATGTACACTTTGCATTGTCTTTCAGGAGGTCCAGTACAGGTAGATAGGGTGAGAGAATTGCGCCTACGAAGTTGACACTGGAGAAACCGAGCTGCTACTTGTTAAACAAAGTAAACCGTACACGATCATGCCAAAGTCCGAAACTGTGTCACGCCAAGATAGTATTGAAATTCTGAACTGTGAGTGAATACCAATCTCGTAATATATTAACATTATCCATGCCGTTCCCCTTCATCAGAAAAAAAAAAAAAAGGTACTAAAGAACAAGTTCTTGTCCTGATCGTGTCTCATTACCACCACACCGCTAACCCTCCACATCTAATTATACAAAATCGCACGGCTCCCTCCCTCGCCTCAAAAGGTCGTCAGCTCCGGCGAGCCCTCGGCCCTAGGGAAGGAGAACTTGGTCTCGACAAAGATCTTCTGGATGCCGTCCTCGTGCTTCTCGAACTTGTAGTAGACCTTTGCGAGGTCGTCGAGGCGGATGCGGTGCGACAGCATCTGGTAGACGTCGATCTTGCCCTCCTGGATCTTCTTGAGCAGGTCCTCCCAGTAGAGGTGGACGGGGGCCTGGCCGTTGCCGATGAGGCGGACGCCGCGCTCCATGAGGGAGCCGATGTTGAAGTGGTTGGTGTAGCCGACGTAGACGCCGGTGATGCCGCAGCGGCCGAAGTTGCGCACGCCCTCGATCATCTCGTTGACGATCTCGCTCGTGTCCGTCTCGGCTCCGAGGGCGATCTCGGCCGCGTGCAGCCAGCCCTTGGCGTACTCGCCGGCGGCGCACTCGATGGCGACGTCCGGGCCGCGGCCGCCGCAGAGCTCCTTGAGGCGCGACACGACCGTCTCCTTGTTGGTGACGCCGAACGAGAGCTTCTTGAAGTCGATCAGCTCGAGCTTGTCGGCGTGCTGGGCGGGCCACCGGGACTTGAGCTGGGACAGGCGGGGCTCGGTGTCGACGAAGATGATCTTGGAGGCGCCCTGGTCGACGGCGAAGGCGCCGGCCATCTGGCCGATGGGGCCAGCGCCCCAGATGGCGACCTGGTCGCCGGGGTAGACGGCCGTGTCCTTGACGGCGTTCCACGAGGTGGCGAGGACGTCGGAGAGGTACAGGGCCTTCTCGTCGGGCACGTCGTCGGGGATCTCGAGCAGGTTCACGTCGCCGAGGGGCACGCGCACGTACTCGGCCTGGCCGCCGGCGAAGCCGCCGGTGAAATGAGAGTAGCCGAACATGCCAGCGGTCTGGGAGCCGTACATGGACTTTTCCGTTGTGTTGGAGTTTGTCCTCTCGCACTGCGAGGAGAGCTTTTGTTTGCAGAAGAAGCACTAGTTTTTTGATCAGATCATCAGGTCGAGTCTAAAAGAGAGAGAGAGAGAGAGAGAGAGAGAGACAGAGAGAGAGGCAGAAAGAGAAAAGACAATGGATAGACTTACGTCGCCGCAGGCGATCTGGAACGACGCGACGTATCGCTTGCCGACCTTGGCCTTCTTGACGTTGGGGCCGACCTCGTCGACGACGCCGCAGAACTCGTGGCCGAGGATGTCGCCCTTTTTCATCTGGACGACAGAGCCGTGGAGGAGATGGAGATCGCTGCCGCAGAGGGTGCTGCCGGTGACCCTGAGAATGACATCGTTCTCCTCGAGGATCTTGGGCTTGGGAACGGTGACTGGAGCGGTGTTAAGAGACGGGTGAGAGGACCGGGACTGGGGACGTTGCCAGGATTCACTGACCGATTTCGACCTTGTTCTTCCCTTGCCAGGCGAGGGCCTTCATGAGCTCGCGCGAGTCGCCCTTGTCGCCGCCGTAGTTGGTGACGTCCTGTGCTGTGATGGCGTCGTCTTGGTGGCCGATGGCCTGTTCCGCCGCGTGTGCTGCTTGAGTGGCGGCCATTATCGTGTAATTTTGTGTGGCGTTTGTGAGTTAAGAGGTAGTTGAATATCTTCGAATGGCAAACTGCAGGATTGGTTGAAAACGCGAATGTCTTGGCCAGACTTTACTTGAAGAACTCGGCAGGATTCACCGGTCCTTATAATACACGGAGACGGAACACATCGCAACAAATGCGTGACAGGGCTGTCAATGGCAGAACGAACATGACATACGGGCTTTGCCAGACTGTGTGTAGAGAATAACGTCTAATGACGGTAGGCGGCGTCATGTTCGACGGGGATGCGACGTCATGGATATCAGAGGCGATGGTACGGCGGCGGAGCTCTCGATCTACGGGCCAATGAGAATGGCCGGTCCGAAGCGGATGGCCACCGCTCGGCGCAGATGGGGATTAGGGCGTGCAAATGCCGGCGGTCATGTTGCGATGCAGAAGGCCTGTCAGGCTTGGGTACATCGTAAACGGCATCTGGATCGAAACAGGCTTGGCCCTCCGGAGCGAGCGAGCCTCGGGCAACGGGGTTTGGAAGCGTGGTGAAGCCCGGATTCAAGCTTGTTTCCTGGTCCATCGTAGATCCGGAGACTGAGGGACCAGAAAGATGACAAGAGTCAAGAGAACCAAAGGGAGAAGGCTCAGGCTAATTAACCTCGAGAGGAGGTCATCAAGGTTCTTTCTCGCATCACAGAAGTTGAGCCGCGCGTGGCAGACTGCAGTAGGTAGTACGACGTACACTAGATCGTACCAGCAGGATATCAACGAGATGGGAGATGGAAGTGGGGTAAAGAAGCATCAAACAAACGTCACCATTTGAGGCATGTTCATGCCCTTGTTCATGCCAGCCGGCAACGGCTGCAACTCCTCATTAGCGTACCAAGAAATAGTCGAGAGACAAGGGGGGGAGACTGGACTGACAGATCCCGGCTTATAAGGATGAGAGCTTCGCAGGGGGCGATGAGGGGAAACCGGGGGGGTCTCTCCCATTCGGTCAATTTCTATGTCTCTCTCTTTTTACCCTATTCGGTTCATTTGGGGTAAAAAGAGAGAGAGACATCGAAGACGTCCCGGAAGGAGACGAGACGGAGGAGACGGAGGCATCGCCCGCATCGAACCGCACATTGGCGCCAGGAACCGCGACTCAAAAAGGCAACCCGGAGCGTGCTGCGTCCGCAAAGGACAACAATGCCCTGTTCGTCGTTGCCAGTGTGTGTGTGTGTGTGTGTGTGTGTGTGGCCTGATGAGCAGCGTCTCTGTATATGTAGGGAGCTCGAGAGAGCGGAATAAAGCAGTGGTATACTTGGTTGTTGTCTGTTGTATCGCCATTGTTGTGCCTCGTCCTCCGACAGTTCGTTTCGTTACAATTACCTCAGCGCCCAAGTGCAGTGCCGCATCTCCAGTAAGCAAACACAATGAAGTCGGCGTCCCTCCCCCTCGCGGCCTCCCTGCTGCTGACCGCCACCGCCGCCGGCGCCGCCGGCAAGCCGCCCGCCCCCCAGGCCAAGACGACCATGGCCGACAACTTCCCGTGGCGCGACCCGTTCGCGGCGGCGGCGGCCGGCTCGTCCGCCTACGCGGCCGCGTGCGAGGCGTCGGCGACGTTCCCGGCGGCGCAGTACACCCTACACGACCTCTTCGAAAAGCCGCCGACGGGCCTCTTCAACTACGCCGACGGCCTCAAGGCCTTCTTCTCCGGCCGCGAGTACCCCGGCGGCTGGGCCGGCCTCGACCGTCACATGTACGACCGCAACGTGCTCCTGATGGAGTACGCCGACGTGCCGCCGCGCGCGCGCGCCTGGATCGAGGCGCAGGAGCGCCGCGACGGCGACGGCAAGGGCCTCTTCGCCGTCTTCGACAAGCCCGCGTCCGCCGACGACAAGGTGACGCAGCGCGTCGTCGTGCCCCCGGAGGGCGAGGGCGAGGTCGACCGCGCGCTCGACGGGGACAGGGTCGCCATCTTCGCCCCCGGCGCGCTGTACCACGTCCTCCCGCTGTTCGTCGCCGACGGCAGCGACTGCGAAGGTGAGAGAAGGCCGGCAAATGACGATGCGCGGATTTGGAACCCTCCCCCACTGAAAGCTAACCGTGTTCTGTGACGTGACAGACTCCCTCGCCGACCTGGGTAACTACAAGGCCGTCCCCGAGGACGGCGCCGTCGTGGCCTGGCCCGTCAGCCACTCCCGGCCTGATGTCGACAACCACAAGCGGGACATCAAGTTCACCGTCAAGGCCCAGGTTCTGAAGCGCAAGGAGGGCGGGGCCGTCGACGAGGAGGAGGAGGAGGAGAAGCCGGCGCCCTCGGAGCCGGTGCGGGATGAGCTGTAAGGTGAGACGGAGGAGAGAGACGAGCGAGGCACACACACACACACACACACACACACACACATGCATAGTCCACTGTATTCTTACCTGCGTAATTTCGGATGCATAACGATACATTACCACTTGGCTGGCTGACGCTTGTCCATCTGGCATGTGACTGTTTAATTACCCTGCACATGTACTCCACTCGCTGGGGGCAGAGCCATATGTTCGTCCATCGAGATAGCATTATTAATCCGAATCCTTGGCGTTTTCCTCCGTGAAACTCCACGGAGTCTTGTGGCCGCCACGGTGGCTGAGGACCCCTCCCCCGGCGTCCGTGGATCTCACACCGGGGTTGACCGAGTCTCATCGAATCTCACCATGCTTCACCGAGATGTCCTAGTACGACACGGCGACTTACACCAAGGGTGGCTGCCGGCTCACAATAGTGACCGAATCGCTCGAGGTAGCACCCAGCTTGACATGGGCAAGAGGTCTGGTTTAAATGCAAGAGTTGCACTACGTCTGACCGGTGCTTCGGCCGACCTTTCCACGGTAGCCGGGCGGGTCTCGAACAGTCCTCCGTGCAGTCCGTAGAAAGCGGCTCCGTGGCGCTCTGAAAAGTCCCCGCCGGCTAGCTACCGCACTGCCGGTCACACCGTTTATTCCTTGGAATACCGCGGAGTCGGACGCGTAGACCATGCTCTCCCCACGGCGCAAGGGCGTGGAGATAGCGCCATTGCTCCAGGGAAGCCGCCGAAATGGCTCACGGAACTATGTAAAAGGGCCGCTCAGCAGCACTTGGCAGTGGTTGTCTTCATCTCTTCCATCATCAATTCACAGTCGTTGCAAACAATACTAACCATTCCTCCACCTTTTATTTCTGGTTCCTCAATATCCGCGTCTCGCAGCAATGCCTGTCCGCTACGAAAGCGTCACCGCCAACCCCGAGCCCTTGGCGCGGCCCCTAACATTCCCCTTCTCCAACAAGACGGCCAAGAATCGCCTCCTCAAGAGTGCCATGGCCGAGAACCTCGCGACCTGGAGCGGGACTGATCCCTCCAGGCGGGGCATCCCCACGCCGGAGCTCGTCGAGATCTACCGCCGGTACGTCACGGCTCTCGCAGGCACCCGAAAGCGTCTTGCTAACACCTAGGCCATCCAGCTGGGGCGAGGGACCCAACAGCTTCGGCGTCATCGTCACGGGCAACATGGACGTTGAGTTCGACTATATGACCAGTGTCGGCGACATGATCGTCACGCCCGAGTGCGAGCCAGTCGGCGAGCGCTTTGAGGGTTTCCGCGCCGTCGCCGCCGCGGGCAAGGCCCACGGCAGCCTGATGCTTCCACAAATCACGCACGCCGGGCGGCAAGTGAAGAAGAAGATCCAGCCGAGCCCCATCTCCGCCTCGGCCATCCAGCTGGGTTCGCCATATCCTGCCTCTCTCTCCCCATCTCAATCAAGTGGCGTAGGCTGACTGACGTTCGGTGCAGGACCCAAGATGGGCATGGAGTTCGGCGCGCCCCGCGAGGCGACCAAAGCCGACATCGAACGCGTCGTCGAGGGCTTCGCTCACGCGGCCGAGTACCTCGAGAAGGCAGGCTTCGATGGCATCCAGGTGCACGCGGCGCACGGCTACCTCGTCTCGCAGTTCCTCTCGCGCACGACCAACCAGCGCGCCGATGAGTACGGCACCCAGACGCTCGAGAACCGCACGCGGCTCATCGCCGAGATCGGGCGCGCCGTCCGGGCGCGCACGTCGCCCGGGCTCATCCTGTCGGCCAAGCTCAACAGCGTCGAGTTCCAGGACGGCGGCGTTACGCCCGACGAGGCGCGCGAGCTGTGCGGACAGCTGTCGGAGCTCGGGTTCGACTTCCCCGAGATCTCGGGCGGAACGTACGAGGACGTCGGGTTTGATTGGGTCAGGGACAGCACCCGCCAGCGCGAGGGCTTCTTCCTCGAGTTCGCCGACACCGTCGTCAAGGGATTGGGGGACGACGCCGGGGCGCGCCGGACCAAAGCGTACATCGTGGGTGGCATGCGGTCGGTTGGGGCCATGGTCAAGGCTCTTGACGTCGTCGACGGCGTGTCCCTGGCCCGGCCGGCCGCGCACGAGTTCCGCATCGCGTCCGACATCCTCGAGGGCCGCATTTCAGGCGCTGTCCGGCCCGTCGACATGCTCGAGGCCGACTTCGGCTTCGAGATGGCGGCGGCCGGCGCCAACATGCGCCTCGTCAGTAAAGGTAGAGAGCCGTTCGACGTCAGCGACCCGGCGGCGGTCCAGGTGTTTGCAGGAGACGTGCAGGCCTGGTATGGCGACATAGTTGCAGACGGCGACAGGCTGGAACATCACGGAGCCGCCGACTTTTCCGGCGAAACTCGACCATACGACGCAACTGCTGCGGCTTGAGGCGACACCGGGATGCACCGCTTCCGTTGGTTGCGTGTACACATAGAGTTTCCTAGTATAGAGTCTTTTGGTCTGTGAATTTCTTCATCCTATGCGTCACAAAGCCCCTGCCTCCCGCGTCTTGCGGGTGTTGACTGCAAAGCCGGTTGCAAGCCGGACGCGTCGGTGAGCAACGGTGAGCAACGGTGAGAGAAGAGTAAGCCAGGCTTCTGAGATGGCGGTGCGATGGGCAATTTCCAACAATCCGAGTTAGTAGAGCAAAGCAGATTGGCCGTTGACCGAGAAGGATTGCCGACTAAAAAAAGAAATAAAGACGTTAGTCTGACACCTCGGAACTGTGGCTTGGGGAGTGGGCCAACGAGCTCATCTTTCGACTCTGGATTTGTAATCGGTGGGCTCAACCAACGTTTGGAGGCATATTTGCATGCAGATCCCTGCTACCCCCGGTTTGGCTCCTTTGATGCTGTACGGAGGGCGCGGGATAAAGTATCTAGCGGATTTGGGTCGTCTTTCTCTCTCAACATCCATTCCGCTTGATTAAACGTTGACTGGGTTCGGAGTCAATTTCCAGAAGCAGCCCGATATGGAGACTCCATCACTACGCCGCAAGGGTGAGTCTACTGCCGGAGCTATTCACCTCGGCGGGCGGTGCACGCTGGCTAACACGCATACATAGCCTGCGACCTGTGCTTCATCAAGAAGATCAAGTGCGACATGCTCAAGCCGGTGTGTTCGAATTGCGTCTTGTACAAGGCGGATTGCAAATCAACCATGGTCCGTCGCAGGGCCGCGCCGGCAAAGGAGCGCCAGCAGCAACGTAAACAGGGCACGGCTGGAGAGTAAGTTTTGCTCGCAGACCTCTTCACATCGTTGCCGACGTCGTTTAACAGCCGATGCAGCCCAAGAAGGATGGCAGAGCTGGAGGACCGCTTGGCCATGGTAGAAGAGCAGTTGAAACAGGCCGTCAATACCAACATCCGCCTCGCAAGTCAAGTTCCGAGGGACTCGTCAGTCATGATAGGGTCGGTCGAGACATCGACGGGTAGCAGGGACTCAAGGGGTGGCGGGGACTCGATGGACGACGCCGACCACGGCAACTCCTTGTCGTGCAGCACCAGCCCGAGCGAATGTGTGGCTGACCCGGAGAAGCCAAAGCTGCCGCCGCTCGAGTACATGATGCCAGTCATTGACGAGTTCTTCAACCGGTACAACCTTATAATGACGCTCTTCGACCAAAAAACGTTTATGCGGATGCTCGCCGACTGGTACTCGCCGTCTTCACCACAGCCTCCCGCAGTGTGGGCGGCCATCAACATCGTCATGGCGCTGGGGTACCGATGCATGGTGAAAGATCCGGGGAACGTCGACTCTCTGAGGGACGATCAAAAGGTGCTGTACCACATGCGCAACGTGCAGTCAGTCGTTTCAGACCTGGTGACTCGGGAGGAGGACCTGCTGGGGGTCCAGGTGCTCCTCGGCATGGTCGTCCTCTTCCTGGGCACCAAGGACCCCAAGCCAGCATCGGTGCTCATCGGGACGGCCATCCGATTGGCACACCGCATGCAGCTCCACGACAAGGAATCAATGAGCTTCTTCCCGCCAGAAGTAGCCCGGCAGAGATCGCGCGTCTTTTGGATGGCGTACATTTTGGATAAAGTGAGCGGAGTCTTTTTTTTTTCTTGTACGAGTTGAGGGTGGCGAGACTAACAAGAAACGCAGGATATCAGCCTCAAGACCAAGATGCCATCGTTCCAGCTCGACGCGGACATTGATCTGGCGCTTCCGGAGCCGTACCCGGATGACGGGGCGGGTATGATGGCGGCGAAAAATGGAAGCAAGTTCAACGTGTTCCGGGCACGGGTGGAGCTCAGCCACATCGCGGGCAAGGTGTACGACTTGCTGTGGAGCACGAGGGCGCGCAAGGTGGCGAAACAGGAGTTGCAGTCGCGGAGGGCCAGGCTGGAGTCGATGCTCGAGAACTGGCATAGCAACATTCCGGCTGAGTTCCGGATGGAGTCGCTGCCAGACACTGTGGAAGCACTGCCGGCGGTGCACATGACGCTCCTCTACCACAACTACTTTGTGGTGACGATCATGACGCACGGCATCTACTCGCACAACGCAGAGTGGGTGCAGGGGGTCAGCTCGCATAGCCGGACGGTGATGCGGGACCTCGACGGGGCGGCGACGGCGACGGAGGGCAGCGAGGGGAGCGCAGGGCTGCCGGTCAAGTGGGCCGAATGCGTGGAGCTGAGCCGGAGATGCATGAAGCTGTTCGTGGAGTCGCCCAAGACGGACTGCAGCATCTGGACCAACGCGTGTGCGCACTTTTCGGGGCTCATCATCCTGCTGGTCAACATGTTTGTGCACCCAGAGCACGAGGATCTGGCGACGGACCAGGGGCTGGCCAACCAAGCAATGCAGCTGTTTGACATGATGTTGGAGCTGCTCAAGAAGGAGTCGTTCCGCAAGCTACACACGATGGTCACGGAGCTTTACCGACGGGCGATGGCGACGGTGGAAAAGGTGGCGCGCAAGAGAGAGGAGCAAGCGGCGGCGGCGGCGGCGGCGGCGGCAGCAGAGGCCATGAGCAACAGCCTGCCGTTCGGGACGCAGTTCGAGGAAGACGTGACGATTTTTGGAGGCGGCGACATGGCTGGGTTCGAAGGCATGTTCGTAGGAGATGACATTGGGGGGGTCTCGCCGGTGACGGTAGCATCGGATACGGCGGACGCGATCGAAGGGATACAGGACGAGGTTGGTCTGGCGGCAGTGTCTCTCTGGTACAGCAATCACTGAGGGGGGCGGGATGTCGGGATTGGCACTGTGGGGGAGTTTGGCGCATTACGAGTTGTCGGAAAGTCTGCGATACGACCTATTGATTGGGATGCGATATGAAGAAATGAACAGTCAATGGTGGTGATGCTCGGCCGGTGTTGGTGTTTGAGTGGAATGGACATTTAGTCAGTCAGTCAGTACGGAGTAGACGTAGAGGAGGAGGAGCTCCAATTCCCGATTGAGCTCAACAATGAAGCTTCCGAATTTATCGGAGAATGGGCCGAGTGTGGGGCAGGAAAGGTGGGGTTTGCTTGCACCATTGTTTGAGAGCTAGTCCTTTCAAGGCTAGTGTTGTGTCTGAGCTTTTGAGCTTGAGCCAATGATGGAGCCGATATTTGCAAGCGGGCTGAGATGGTGGGGGGAAGTGGGGCAGGTTCCTTCCATGCCGATGGCGGCACAGGGCGATCGTGGACCAGAGCTCGAGCTTGGGAAGGAGCAGAGCAGAAAGACGGTGAATAGGTACCGAGGGAGCTCCTTCCTGGTGGAGGGGAGTAGGGCGTCATGGCGTCATAGTTGGGCCGCGCATTCCTCTTCTGTTTGCTCTTTCCAGTTCGACGCGGCATTCATCAGCCACCATTGGGAAGGAGCATTGAGGGGTTCTCGTATGAATGAGGTTGGTAGGCACAGGCAGGTAGATAAATACGCAGTAATGTAATGTAATGCATTATATTACCGTGTACCTCGGTCCAAGTACCGGCAGAGGCAGATGCACTAATGGGATGTACACCAGCTGCATGTACAGCGTACACAATAAGCAAATGCACAGACATCGAGACAGGGACAGACACATACCTATGCCTACCTGACAATGACATGACGATGACATTCTTCAGTCCTGCGTACCGTAGTAGGTAGTGTAGGCAGGTAGTCTCTCACCCAATTCCTTTCCATGAATCCTCATTCACTCAGATCCTCATCCCCACTCGCATCACGTTCTCACTCGCACCACACTCTCACTCTCATCTCACTCTCTCTCCTCTCGTCTCACTGGCACTCACCCCTGTTCACCGCCGACGCTTCCATTTCATCGTACGTTTCGCGCTTCAAACTTTCTGTGCCCACCAGTTAAATCCCCAGTCCGTGTTCCGAACCACCTACCTAGTGTGCGAGTCAACAACACAATCCCATCTCTCTTCTCTCATCTTTGTCCTCCCCCTCCGTTTACATCAGCGGTCGGATTTACCCCTCAGTTCTCCCCCTCGCACCCTGGAACACCCTCTCTGCCCTCCTCCCCTCCGTCCTTCATGCAAACCACCAAATTCCTCTTCCGCCACGCAAGCTTCTCCTCCCTGCTCCGCCAGACAACACACAAAAGATCTTTTTCATACACGTTGCGAACCATGGCAGACTACAAGCTCAAGTCCGTCACCTCGCTGTCGCTCAAGCCCGGCGACAAGCAGGAGGTCGAGGTCGAGGGCATCGACGGTGCAAAGGTCCTCCTCGTCAACGCCGGCGGTACCATCCAGGCCATCGGCCCCAAGTGCACCCATTACGGCGCGCCTCTCGTCAAGGGCGTGTTGACCACCTCGGGGCGTTTGACATGTCCCTGGCACGGAGGTTTGTTTGTCTATTTCTCTCTCTCTCTCTCTCTCTCTCTCTCTCTGCATCCCCAGTCCGCTAGGTAACTGACGTCTGTCTACCCACACAGCCTGCTTCAATGCCAAAACCGGTGACGTCGAAGACGCCCCCGCCCTCGACGTCCTCCCCACCTTCAAGGTCACCGAGCGCGACGGCGCAGTCTACATCTCGGGCGACGAGGCCACCATCAAGGCCGGCCGCCGCAAGCCCAACTTCAAGTGCACCTCCACCGGCGCCGCCGCCCAGCAGGACAAGGTCGTCGTCGTCGGCGGAGGCTCCGGCGCCCTCGGCGCCGTCGAGGGCCTCCGCAACGGCGGCTACGACGGCCCCCTGACCGTCATCTCCTCCGAGGGCTACCTCCCCATCGACCGCACCAAGCTGTCCAAGGCCCTCCTGACCGACGTCAAGACCCTGCAGTGGCGCGATGACGAATTTTACAAGTCCGGCTCCGTCGACTGGGTCGCCGACGAGGTCACCGACGTCGACTTCTCCGACCGCACCGTCTCCACCAAGAACGGCGCCAAGATCCCCTACACCAAGCTGATCCTCGCCACCGGCGGCACCCCTCGCAACCTGCCTCTCCAGGGCTTCAAGGTCCTCGGCAACATCTTCACCCTGCGCACCGCCCACGACACCCAAAAGATCGTCAAGGCCATCGGCGACAAGGGCAAGAAGATTGTCGTCGTCGGCTCCTCCTTCATCGGCATGGAGGTCGCCAACGCCACGGCCAAGGACAACTCCGTCACCGTCATCGGCATGGAGAAGGTGCCCCTCGAGAGGGTGCTGGGCGAGCGGGTCGGCGCCGGCATCCAGAAGAGCCTCGAGAAGAACGGCGTCAAGTTCTACATGAGCGCCGGCGTCGACAAGGCCGAGCCCTCGCCCGAGGACTCCTCCAACGTCGGCGCCGTCCACCTCAAGGACGGCACCAAGCTCGACGCCGACCTGGTCATCCTCGGCGTCGGCGTCGCCCCCGCCACCGAGTTCCTGCGCGAGAACAAGGTCATCCGCCTCGAGGACGACGGCTCCATCAAGACGAACGAGAACTTCGAGGTCGTCGGCCTGAAGGACGTCTACGCCATCGGCGACATCGCCACCTACCCATACCACGGGCCCGGCGGCAACGGCCGCTACACACGCATCGAGCACTGGAACGTGGCCCAGAACGCCGGCCGCGCCGTCGCCAAAAACATCATCAGCTCGGCCGTCAAGACCCCGCACTTCATCCCCGTCTTCTGGTCCGCCCTGGGCTCCCAGTTGCGCTACTGCGGAAACACCGTCGGTGGCTGGGACGACATCGTGCTGCAGGGCAGCGTCGAGGAGTCGGCATTTGTCGCCTACTACACGAGTGGCGAGACGGTCGTCGCCATGGCGTCCATGGGCAAGGACCCCGCCATGGTCCAGACGGCCGAGCTGATGGCACTGGGCAAGATGCCTTCCAAATCGGAGCTCGCAAAGGGGCTGGACATCACGACGATTGGTCCGCTCGAGGCATGATTGGCGGACTTTTGTCTTTCCGGGAGGAAACAAGTCTTGTAACGAATAGGAGCGGAAGAGAGAAGAATGTCGTCGTAATCATGGGCGTGGTCTGGCATGGGCCCCCAACAAAGCCATTTTTTCAGCAATGTTACCAGTATGAACATAAGCGCTAGTCCCCAACTGTGATCCGTTAACCTGTGATTGAAACGGGACGGCGCATGAAGCACGCGTACCAGCCAAGGAATATTCGCGGCACCGCGCACCGCTGACCGCATCATGACATAAGTCAGCCATGCTCGGGACCGAGCGCAACCCGCAGCACCCGAAGCATTTTCGGAGGGTCGGCGGGTGGGTTCATGCAACGGCATCACCGGAACGGCCTCGCTGGTCGAGCTCGAAGCACTTTTGGTACCGACAGGATTGGCCACACGAGGATGGTATAAAGAGGCTGCTGCAGCATGCATCTAGAACGCGTGGTGTGGATAGGATCTGCGAGTCACACAAACCACAGACGCTTCTTTGTTTGTCTTGTATTACATGCGAACCACGTCTTCATAGATACCTCGCCCATCTTACCTGCATATCCGCTAGCCAGCTAGCCATCATTATACATCCCCTGCAGGTGTAGCTGCACCACGTCCACCAACAATGGCAGCACCAAACGAGGCGCCCGTCATCATCATCGGCGGCAGTCTCGTCGGCCTCGCTAGCGCCCTCTTCCTCTCCGCCAGGAACGTCCCCGTCGTCCTCATCGAGCGCCACACCGCCAGCTCCCGTCACCCCCGCGCCATCGGCTACACCACGCGGACCCTGGAGCTGCTCAAGACCGTCGGCATCCCGCCCAGCGCCCTCGACGTCGGCAGTGTTCCGCCGGGCGGCCGGCCGCGCCGTATCAAAGTCAAAAGCCTGGCGGGCGAGTGGGCGGAAGAGCAGCACTGGAACAACGGCAATACAAAACCCCCCGCCGGACCAGGCGGAGGACCCGAGGAGAAGCCGAGCACCGGCCCCGGAACCGGGACCAAGGCGTACCCCCCCATCATCGGCACCGCCATCGCCCAGGACCGTCTCGAGCCCATCCTCCGCCGGCGCGCCGTCGAGCTCGGTGCTGACCTCCGCCTCGGGTGGAAGATGACGAGCTGGAGCCAGTCGGCCGACGGCGTCAGCGTCACGGCCGTCGACAAGGAGGGCGGGCAGACGACGGTCCACGGCTCGTACATGATCGCGTGCGATGGCGCGCGCAGCGTGTTCCGCGACGCGCTAGGCATCCAGACCACGGGCGTCGGCCACCTCCGCAGCCTCCGCAGCGTCATGTTCCGGTGCAAGCCCATCGAGCGCTATCTCGAGCGGGGCTTCGTCCAGTTCGCCATCGACGGGCGGGACGACGGCTTCGAGGCCTTCCTCGTCAGCTACCCCGACGGGCGGTGGGCGCTCATGTGGAACGACGACGGCGGCGGCGATAACAACGATGAGGCCGACGGCGACAACGGCGCGGCGCGCGCGATGGACGCCCGCGCCCAGCGAGACCTCGTCCGGAAGGCCGCCGGACTCGGCGAGGACGACCTCCCGGACGAGGCGGTCGAGCTGCTGGCCATCGGGCGCTGGGAGATGAGCGCGCGGATCGCGGAGCGGTTCGCGTGCGGCCGCGTGTTCCTCGCCGGGGACGCGGCGCACACGCTGCCGCCGAACCGCGGCGGGTACGGCGCCAACACGGGCATCGCGGACGCGCACAACCTCGCGTGGAAGCTGGCCGCCGTGCGCGAGGGGCGGGCGGACCCGGCGCTGCTGGAGACGTACGACGAGGAGAGGCGGCCGGTGGCGCTGGTGCGCCACGACCAGCTGTTCGCGCGGGACGACTACAAGGCGTACGCGCGGGGCGGCGAGTGGGAGGCGACGGGGCGCACCGTCCGCTTCATCGACGACGTGGCCATGGAGCTCGGGCAGATCTACCGCTCGCGCGGGGTGGTTCTCGGGCCGGAGGGGGGGAGAGAGCTGCCTGACGCCCTGCGGCCGGACGAGTGGAAGGGCCAGCCGGGGACGAGGGCTCCCGACGTGACGGTTTCGGCGGGCGGGGAGGAGGTCTCGAGCTTGGATCTGTTCGGCGGCGGGTGGGTGCTACTTTCGAGGGACGAGGCGTGGAGGGCCGGGGCCGAGAGGGTCGGGGCGGAAGCCGGCGTCGGGTGCGAGTTTGTCCATATCAGGGCCCGGGCGACGGAGGCGGACGAGCAGGAAACGTTTGAGGGTAGTTTCGGTGTGAGCGAGTCCGGCGCCGTGCTCGTGCGGCCTGACGGGTTCATCGCGTGGCGGTCGGCGGAGAAGGGGACCGGGTTCGAAGCTGCGTTTCTGGAAGCGTTTAGGAGCGTTTCCTTTGCAAGACAGTGAGTCTTGGGCGGAGGGAGGGCGTATTGGTGTCCCTCAAGATGTGGCCGATACACCTCATATTCAGCATTTCTGTGCCAGTACAGCACATACGGCCATACCCACTGGAGAACTCGGGATCCCGTCCGCTCTCCCATAGATAAGCCAGTGAGGGCAGGTATTCAAGTCAGGTCATAAATGATCACTGAGAAATATGGGTTCCGTTTTGAATAGATGTAGGCCCTACAAGCAATTAAGTTCTGTTCAACTATTTCCTGCTGTACCTACTTATTACTCTAGAGTCATTAAACTACCTAGATATATACATAATTATTTAGGTACACCCTATATAATGTTTCCGTTCTCTAGTCTCTATGATGTCTTATAACTAGGAGGTATATCCTACACTTATTAACAGGGTTAGGTATAATAGATAGTATGTTCCTGCTATTCTCTTTTACGAAGGGTATTAGTATAGGCTAAAGTATTCTCTCAAATATAAAAGCATAAGACTAAAAGGAATTGTTTCTATCCCCTCACAGAAATAATTATATTTCTTCTCTTGTCTAGTTGTCTGTCTAACTGCTCTACAGAACTCAAGCTTTCGTAGAAACCTTTATATATTGTAAAAACGATAGCTAGTATATTCCTAAAAACTACTACATCACTCTCGAAAATCAACATTTCCTGTCTGGAGGCAAGGAAAGCTTACAAACAGACCAATTGGAGCGCCTCCCAATCGGACCAGGGACCACCATGATCTGCACTGCACATGCGCGGGGCAAGATTCAGGCGCTACGAACACCTGGGGAACTCATTGCATCCTATCAGCCAGCGGCTCCATTGCTATTGTCAACATAGCATGCGGACATACAGAGACTTATTTGGCAACTGTGGATGCGGCACGACGTTTGAATGTCTACCTAGTCCAGCCTGGTTTATTCAACAAGATGGCAAGCCTAAGGCTCAAAGAAAACGATACCCGCCAAATATTATTTAACACCAATAACAGTTTGATATTGGCTGTGTTCGGGGAAGGATCGCTGGTTTGGCCTTTCAAAGAACACACGGAGCCAATATTCCGAGCTAGTACAGACGCGTCTAGCTGCTGGACTATTTGCCTTATTGATAGAAGTTATTTACTAGGATTTTCCCTGACATATTTGCAATTTTTAAGATAGCACGACCTTGCGCACATCACAACGATGACTTTCGCCGTTTCACAAAGCTTGACAACCGAAACCATGAACCACCAGCCGACGCCAACGGAGCCAGGTGCTAAGGTCAGAAAAGTGCACCTTTCAAACGACGAATCACGCTTTGTTATCCAGAAGCTACATCTTGACGACCCCAAACAGCTCGATTTGACTTACGTCACCATAAGCAATGTTCATACTTGCATTCTGGACCAGTCAAAGGCCCTCCAAACTGTGACATATCCAGAAAAGTCATTAATACAGTTAAGCAAGTTTGTCGGAAGTGCTCAAGCACCTGAGGATATTGATGACAGTCTTATGTTCCTTGATCACAATGGGTAGATTTGTACCTTGACCGATGATGGAATCCTCCGGGAACATATGTTTCTGCCGCCAGACTGGCTGAATCCCGACTCTGTCGACTTAGCTGAGGTCTCACAAGATGGGGTCTTGTACGTTCCGAAAGGTGACGAGGTTGGGACAATTCGCAACGGGCTTCAGACGACGTTTTCAAGACAAAGTCCCCCGTGAAAGACGTTGTCAGCAGCGCAGGACGACAGGATGCATCCGACTAGTGAAGGTAGGCTAAGTCAACATAGCGCAGGCCATTCTATCACTTAGCAGCTGATGAAGTACACAAGTTTTGCACTAGATGCGGTCAGCGCAAGATCTATGTATTACAATATAACGTCATCGTTCGGATTTATTGACTTGTCCAACGAAAGTGACAGCCACCCATATGTGGGAGGCCAAATGCCATGAATTCAAGGAATGAGGTAAGGTGTGGGGTAAATCACTATATGAAGGCTTGTTGACCAGTGCCCGTTCTTATCAGTATGGGCATAAGGTCAGCAAAAGGTCTAGACTATGCATCTTGGATGCTAGCTTCATTTTCAGGCGCTAGCCGACCTCCTCAAGCACCCAGGAAGCCAAGGCAGTGGCAATGGTGAGTACTCGAGAAGGGGAAAAAAGCCTAGGAGGAAGCCAGCCAGGAATAAACCGGTGCTAGAAAACCCATTCAAGTACACGATGAGCCCAAGTACGGAGCAACCAAGTCTCCGCTGCAAGATGGTTATTTGCCCCGTGATAGCCAGAACCCCATACGCACCCTCGTGCTACCGACGGCAGGGCCGCTTTAGCCGCTAAAGATAGAATGATGAACACGTGGAAGATTTAGTTCCAAGATGGCCTGCTACTAACCCTCGCGAGAAATCTCCAGTAAGACCAGAAGCGTTGTTTTCATGCACGTAACAACGTCTTCAGATTGGTACAAGGGCCTCGGAGAAGTTTCAAGGTGCGCATTCTATCCTGCGTAAGTTCTAGAGCTTCAGGCCGTCCCTCTGCTACCTCAAGAGCAGGAAAACTGAGTGACAAGCGGGATAGAAGACGCGCATGTGTTGACGTGGGGGAGAGAAGAAAAGCTTGTAGAATCGAGGTTTCGCGTTGCACAGCAGTATCAACAAGGTTAAAGTGATTCGAGCCGTAGAAAACCGCGTCTGTCTCTTGCCGATCGGGAACTTTTCGAGGTTACCTCCTCGTACGACGAAGACAAGCCCCAAAGCCACAACGCTCTCGACGCTTACCAACCGTGGGAGCATAGAAACGCTGTCTCCAACAGCATCATGCCGGAACCTACCAAGCGTAAGCCGCTTATTGCACGACCATATTGAGCATATGGCTGATCACGTTGAGAGAATGCGGCTCTTGGCCGTTTGAGAAAACTCTATCCGACGTTCAACATTATAGCAGCTGCTTTCGGTGGCAGTGCCCTCTTATTACTACTGATGAACGAGACCCGAGTGCCCGTAGCGACGCTGGGTCACCTTGTAGCATATCTCTTGGCCACTTCGGCAGTAATGGCAACTTTCACAGTCATTAACTCAACTACCCTACTTGAGAATGTCCCCCACATCCGAACAACCACATCACCTGCTATCACCCATACTATCACCAGCTATCACAACAGGTTTACCTCTCACCCGTATGTGACTTTCGGCCTCGCTGGATAATTCGAATACACTGGATTCATCCAGACTATCTATATCGCTGATATCCGTATTTTGCGCCCACTGGATATCCTATACAGTGGCGAAGGTGCTGTTAGGCAATAGGGGGACCTTTTTCCTCTTGCGTAACCGCTGGTCTTCTAATCAGGCCTATAATAAACACACTGACTTGCCTTTCTAGAAGGGCCAGTCTAGATGACGTGCCAAGGTATATAGTAGTCACTAAGTACCAACAAGAAGGGGGTGCCTCTACTTTTGTGTTGTACTTTGACAATTACTAAAGAGCAGATCATTAGATAACAAGGTCCACCAGAAAACAAAGCTAACTAGAAGTTTAGCAAGTTACAAGTTTCGAATAGTAGTCAAGAGGCAAAAGCCTATTACCCCTTTTCTTACTCCACGTAGCACTAGAAGCTTCGCACAACACTTTAAGTTCACTTTTCTTTAGGACTTTTCCGTCACACACCCAGGACGGCAACTGATCACCAAAGGGAGAGTGGCAGAGACAGCCTTCCACCATGAACTATGTCAACACGTCAAAACCATGCCCATGTTGTCTAGTTAACGAGGCTCGGCAGAGTTTCCGCGCCACAGAGAGAAAACTGGGCCGAGCGGGACCGTCTCCCCACAACATTACGTTTGCATCAATTCTTGGCACGAAATAGCTGGACAAACAGCTTCTTTATATGGCTGAGACGAGTTCCCGGTTCCACCAAGGGTGGGACGGGCATTAATCCCTCAGAGCGGGCTGAGCTGTCGATCCAAAACTAACGCCATCCAAACTATGAGAGCCGGGCGATATCTGGCGAGCGACAACGAGGTCAAATCATACGTAGTGGGGTCCAATTAGCAGAATCGAGATTGTTGATTGCTACCGGTACTATCTTACCTGCAGGCTGGGACGACCCCAGCTCCGTGATTATGTCTGTATGCCCTTGGAACCAAAGCCTCGCTTGGTGTAATATCTACGCTGCGGGCCTGCACGTCGCTACCGTACCTTTTCTACCCTCGTATCCTTACACTTCACTTCGGATGGAGACCATGTCTCTACTTCAACATTCTCTACACTAGATAAACACTATACGTTCACCGGAGCTCCACTTCCTGCTGTATGAGGCCATACTTTACTACAGGCTAAGATAGAGGCTCCCACAGCCTACCTGAAATGGAAGTATAGCAAATTATACTTTAACCTGCATCCATCGCCGCTGTCTCTGGCCGCCATCTGGCCTGCATCATCCCAAGCAATGGCTTCTCCTAGCGTCGACACAACCATCTCGCTCCCTCGTATTCTTTGTCTCCACGGCGGCGGTACCAACGCAGCAATCTTCAAGGCCCAGTGCCGGGGGCTGAGACGTGCGCTTTCAGCTTCCTTCCGTCTGGTCTTCGCCGACGGACCTTTCCTTTGCGACCCCCACCCTGACATTATTCCCATTTACGGTGGCGACGGGCCCTTTCGCCGATGGTTACGGTGGCGAGCTTCAGACGGATACGTAGACGCCCACACCACAATCCGTCTGATCCACCGCCAGTTATCGAATGCCATGGAAGCAGACGACCGACTCGGCGGAACCGGGGACTGGGTTGGAGTATTAGGCTTCAGCCAGGGAGCCAGCATCTGCGCGAGTTATCTATGGACGCAACAGGCCTTGTCGGGTCAGCCGATGATCTCGAACTCGAAATGGCGCTTTGGCATACTCCTGGCCGGGCGGCCTCCGCTGGTTGCGTTGGATGAGAGGGTGAAGTTGCCCGTGGGGATCAACACGGCGGATGCCGTGGCTTCAGAATTCCGATACTGGCCGGACGGATCAGGACTGGGCCACGTCCTCAGAGTGCCGACGCTCCATGTTCACGGGACCGCAGATCCGGGGCTGGAGCAACATCGTCGTTTGTTGAATCAATACTGCGACCCGAGTACTGTACGGCTCGTGGAATGGGATGGTGCCCATCGTGTTCCATTGAAAAAAGCCGACGTTGATGCTGTTGCTCGAATCATAGTCGACTTGGCTCAAGAGGCGGAAAGTACGATATGAAGTAGATGGTTATGTGAAGTAAGCGAAAAGGCACATGAGTTTCTTCTATTGTTTATCTAGCAAGGCAAGGAAAAGTCCGTAGTCTTCTGTACTTGAAGACGGGGCCAAGGGACTTCCTCCATCTGCGTAGGGAACACAACGTGCTGGATTAGAAAGATGAAAATATAGCAAGAAAACGAAGTCCATGGTTTACTGGAATTCGATCTGTCAAAAAAGTTAATGCCACGATTGAAATCTCTTCTATAAACAGGAGCCGAGTCAGTTTTCCGGCAAAAGACCGTTTGCAATATTCTCCACCAGTTTGCTGAGAGACACTGGAGCTATGAGATTAAAGATGGTCACCTCAGCATTGATCTCCCTGAAGAACCAATTGCGAATCTCAATAGCCACCAACGAGTTGATACCGTATGACGGCAAGCTCTTGCCTTGGTCGACCTCGTCCTCGGTGACCTTCAGGCACTGCGCCACTTTCTGGGTCAACATCTCGCTCACGACAGCACGAACTTCCGCTGCGGACTTGGCAGCCTTCGCCGCGTCCAGTCGTTGTCGAAACGAGGGTGCGGCCTGCTGCTTCTGTCCGCCTTCCGTCGAGCACGGGGCAGCCAGCCGACCTTCGGATGCCAGTATCGCGAAGCGCGGGTCGTCGAGGTACGATGGCCGCGGGATGCCTGCCGCGTTCGCTGCTCTCAGAGATGCGAAGCCCGTCGGGATCTGTGCAGCGACGACGCCCGTGCCGGCAAGTTGGTCTTGGATGGCAACGCGAACAAGGTTCTGCAGCTTGCGTTCGCTGATGCCGAAGCTTGGCGCCCAGTCGCGGAGGTTGTCGGTCATGCCTGTCTCTGCTAGGACACCCACGTCATTAATGATACCGAGATCTAGCGACACAGCGGGTAGACCGTTGGATCGACGGTGGTTGGCCAAGGCATCTTGGAACGCGCAGCCGGCACCGTAGTTGCTTTGGCCGGCGTTGCCAAAGTACCCGGCGAATGAGGCCAGCATGACGAAGAAGTCGATTTTCGACGTTGCGAGAAGGCTGTGAATGTTCCAGCTGGCCTGTATCTTGGGACGAACGGCCTCGGTCCACTGGGTGAAGTCCATATTGGCAAACGTGCAGTCTCGCAAGACCATTGCACACTGGAGGACACCTCTGATGGGAGGCATTTCAGCTCGGCAGCGTGAGAGAGCCTCCTCAGCCTGGGCGGCTTCGGCGGCGTCACACTCGTATGCCTTCACCTTCACGCCGATTGCTTCGAGCTCGGCAGCGAGGGCGCTTGCTGGTTTTGGGCGTAGGCCCGAGCGAGAGATGAAGCACAGGTTTCGGGCTCCCATTTCGACTAGCATGCGAGCTAGACTTCTTCCGATACCGCCAAGGCCGCCAACAAGAACGTACGTGGCGTCGGAACGAAGTCTGGAAGCAGGCGAAGACGCTACGACGCTGAGGATATTCGGTCGCCGCACCGGCACCGTGAAATCGCCTGTCCACGAGAAGAGAAGCTTGCCAGTGTGTCGACCGGTTTGCATGAGCCGAAACGCCTCGTGGACGTCGCTGATAGGGAGCTGACGGCAAGGGCTGACTGGTTTCGTGATGCCACGTCGGACGTAGTCGAGTGCGCCGTCGAGCAATCTGCCCGTCAGTCTGCTATCACCGCGAACGATGTGTTCGAGGTCAAACACGGTATATGTAGCGCCGATTTCATTGCCAGCAGGTGGCCGCAAGCTGTCCAGAACCGCCTTGCCCACCTCGATGAAGGTTCCGCCGGGAGCAAGACACTGCCAAGTCTCGCGCAGCATCTCGCCTGACAGCGAGTTGAGGACGAGGTCGACACCTCGCTGGTTGGTCATGCGCTTGACCGCCATAGCGAAGCTGGTATCCCTCGAGCAGAGAATGTGGTCCTCTGGGATACCGTAGAGTTTCTTGACAAGCTCGCGTTTGATATCGGAGCCCACTGTCACAAAGATCTCCATATTGAAGTGTTGGGCGTATTGGATTGCAACTTGGCCCAAGCCGCCTGCTGCGGCATGAATGAGCACCGTCTTGCGGATGTCCTGTATCTCGTCTGTCTCGAGGCGGGCGATGCGTACGAAAGCGTTGTATGCGGTGCAGTGAACAACAGGTAACGAGGCGGCCTCGACGAAGGACATGGTATCCGGGATACGTCTGCAGGCCGCGGCTTTGATGCGGACTACGGATGCGTGCATCCCGATGGCCAAACATACAACACGATCCTGCACGTTCAAGGTGGTGACGCTTTTCCCAACGCGCTCGATCACTCCGCTGCCTTCCGCACCCTCCATGGTGCCTACGACCCGCCCCATGGCAATCATGATGTCTTTGAAGCTGGTCACCCGTTAGCTCAAAACAACCTCTGAAGTTAAGATGGGCCTGTGTACGAATATGACTTACTTTAAACCAGATGCATGCACCCTTACCTCGACCTCATCCTCGGGCAAGTCAAGAGCCAGTTCGCCATCGTGCTGGACGAAGTGTAGCGTATCGAGCTGACCTCGCTCGGCAATGTCTAATTTTATGACGGATTTGCTCGACGAGGCACCCGTGTTGTTCTGGCTAGCGACTGTGGCTGACGGCTTGCCGACGCTGTCTAGGCGCACGAAATCGATGTGGGATCTCTGCTTCTCTTCCACGTAGTTGCTCAATTCCATATCATGAATGACGCGGGAACAGTACGCCACGAGGAGGCCGTCATCGTCATCATTGAGCTTTCTGATGTTGAACTCTTCATCGCGCGTGTCGCTAAAGGCCAAGCGCCGGATCATCCCCGCCATGGCTTCAGACTGAGGTGACGACAGATGATCAAAGTGTGCGACTCGGAACTTGACCCTCGCGTCTTCATTCTTGAGACTGCGGGCAAGACCATTCACAGCTGCTCCAATCTGCATGTCACCGTCATTAACCCGTCCCTGGTAAGTTACCCAGAGAATTTTATTCGCCTCGGTAACCAGACTCTTAAACGTTGCGAATGCACGCTCGTCCAGGTCAGCAATCATGGTAGTGCTGACCTCGACGAGACAAATGATATGTGCCTTGTTGAGCAGGCCGGGCTCGCGGTCAAGTTCGTCCCACTTGATGGCTGTAAAATTGACATCTCTCTGTTGCAGCTCCTTGGATAAGCCTATGGCGACGGCCTCTTCCAATTCTGATGGTTCTGCCGCCTGGATGATGATTGTATTTTGGCTGTCCTGCTCGTTTGAACTTTTTCGAGCATTAATGCCATCCTTGCAGTCGGTCTCAGGAAGTGCGCGGATAACAACGAAACTGTCATCGGACTCCGGGTCCTTCATAGAAAGAAAAGGTTTGAACCCAATCTTGGACATTGCTGCCTCGAGCTCACCCGAGGGACCTCTGAAGCAGGTCAAGCCAAGGGAATGCGACTGCTTCGTCTTCTGCACGGCTTCCCTCACAACAGCATCTGCCTGGTCTGTCGGCATGCACCATTGAACGAAGACGACATCGAATTGAACATCATCCAATGAAGGCGGCGGTTGTGTTTCTTTTTCCGGTGAAATAACCTGGAAGGTGTCCCTCCAGACGGCGAGGGTATGGTCCAAAATATGATGCCAAGGGGCAGAGATATCTTCTTGCAACCCTTGCAATATGGTGGAGCTGAATCCAACGTCACCTGATCCTGAAGCCTCTGGCCCGACTTCGAGGATCGAGGATTCGGGCAAGTTGTGGAAGATGAGGTTTATGAACTGGGTCAAAGTTAGCCTTCTGCGGACGCCGATTAAGCTGAAGATTGAACGACTGCATCCCGCGTAATATATAACAGGGGAAGTATTGGAAAAAACAGAAAGAAAAAGCTTTGAACCAACACTCAACTTACCTCTCTCTGCACTCTTTCTGTCATACTGGCGCTGCCAGCCGCCGCGTGGAGCAGATACTCTTTCAGGTGGTCGGGAGACCTGATCAAAACATCCAGCGCGGGCCTCCACTCAATACGACCACACATATTGTGCGCATCTTCTAGGCTACTACTGCAGTCGCGTGGTGCTAACTGAGCGGCTTTGAAGCCTCGCAGTGATAACACAGGTCGATCCAAAGACTCGTCGAGTGCATAGATATCGCTCAGCAAGTCATGGTTGGCGCGGGGAACCACAGAAGAGAAGACGTGCAGCCGCTCGCCGACCTTGTACGGGATGTCAACTGATATGAGTAATTCATCAATCGCCGTTGGGACGGGGGTCCGCGACAGGAAGCCCATAGCGGGCGCAATGGTTTGAGTGATGGGGTCGAATGTGGCAGGATGGATAATGAAGGGACGCTCGGCTTCTTCCCCTTCGCTCCCTGACCATCCATCTCTCTCTGACGAAGGGTTGACCACATCAACAGTGCAGTAGCTCTGCGACTCACCCATCCAGATAGAAGACATGTTGCGGAAAGCTGGCCCGAATTCAAGTCCAATGCGCGCGAGCTCTTCGTACAGAGTCTCGGGCTTCTTGCTCTGACGGCATGCCTCTTGAGCCTCAAGGAACCGGTTTTTGATGTCGCAGTTCATCTTGGCCAGCTCATACGCCTCGAAAGACTCCGGAGAAGGCTCGCGCTCAATTGTTATGAAGCCCGCACAGGTCTTTCGGACCGCCTGTCCATCGGTACAAGTGGAGATGGTGAAGTGGTACCACCCCTGCGTCGCGCCCGCAGCTGCATCCGGTCGATCCTGGGTTGCATGGCGAGCGCATATTGTCATCTCTATTGGCTCATGCTCCCCAGGCTGCGTGGCTGCCAGAAACTCGACTTCGCGGAGGCGGAATGCGCGGACTTTGCGCACGCCATCCTGTCCGTCCTTGGTAGCCAGTTGTCGTGCCGCCTCGACTGCCATGGCTATGTACCCGACTGCAGGGTAGACGACTGTACCCTGGATCTTGTGGTCTCGCAACCAGTGTTCCTCGTCGGGCCGAATCAGTGCGCGCCACATATACTCGCCTGCTACCAAGGTTGGGAGTGGAGCTCCGAGAAATCGGTAGTGGGGATGCTGGCGGTTGCGATACTCGGACCCTAAGCGCGACTCGGTCCAGTACGACCGGGCGTGGTTCCATTGATACGGTGGTAGATCGGTGAGCAGCTGGGGCCGGGTATCGGGGGCTCCGGGCTGCTCCGGGCTATTTACGGAGCTGACGTCGACGCCGGCGCCGCGGGCCCACAAATCACCGGCGGCGGCCAAAGATGTTGCGACCGCATCTTCGCCGCGGGTCAGCACCGAAAGGTAGTCCAGCGTGACTCCGCAGCTTGACATGGTACCCTGGCATGGAGCAGCAAGGGCAGCATGTGGTCCGACCTCGAGAAGCACATCTATCCCGGCCTCCTCTGACCGGAGCATAGCCTCAACCGACTGAGCAAAGAGTACGGGAGAAACCAGGTTACGGACCCAGTTTGCTGGGCCGAGATCCAGATGACTTGCTACCGCTTTTCCGGTGACGCTGGAGAACATGATGCGGCCCGGCTTTGCTGGCCGGGGCTTAATGTGTCGAATGCGCATGAAATACTCGTCCGACACGCGAGCTTGATGGGGTGAGTGATATGCAGCGTCTACTTTGAGCTTGCGGTTGAAGATACCAGCCTCGGTGAGGAGCCTTCCGGCGGTTTCGATAGCCTTCTCGTCGCCCGAGAGTGTCACGCTCGAGGGCGAGTTGACACAGCCGACTACCACCACGCCATCGGATCGAGGCACGCGGGCCACAAGCGCTCGTGCATCGTCTTGAGACATACCAGCGGCCAGCATAGCTCCTTTGGGCTGCTTCGACCGCGAGTCGAGGTTTCCCCGCCAGTAGGCGGCTGTCCACGCGTCCTCTTCCGACAGGACTCCGAGCGCGTACGCAGCTCCGATCTCTCCGCTCGAGTGGCCAGTTACAGCAGCGGGGGTGATATTCCACGATGCTAACAGGTCTACGAGCGCAACCTGAAGGACCGTACACAGTGGTTGGCTATACTCAGCTTTGTTCATGTTGGAATGTTCCGCGCTGGCGCCTAGCTCATTATGAACAGACCACTTGCATCCAAGAGATTGGCGAAGGAAAACATCGGCCCTTTCGATGCTATGCCGGAATGTGTCGTACTTGAGCAGTTCCAGGCCCATTCGTGCCCACTGCGCACCTTGGCCTGTGAAGATCATACCGATGCGCAGCTTGCTGTCAGCCGCGTCAGACACCGCCGCTCTGCGCGTCACAAGTTGCGGCGGCGTACCTGCGTCCTCCCTTGGCTGACGAGGTGCGAGACGGTTACACAGCTCCTTAATATCTGGCACCACAGTGTAGCATCGATGTGCTAGGTGGGCTCGTCTGGCTCCCAGCGTGAAGGCCAGCCGCCTGAGATATTCTGCTCCCTCCTTATGAGATGTACGGGTGGCAGCGCGGGACTCTCGCAGATACTTGGCCACACTCGTAGCCTGGCGCATGATGCCCTCCTTGTCGCCAGCGCTAAGCACGATAAGCTGCAGACCTGCGGGTGTATGACTGCGAGATTGCTTGTCGCACACACCGTCTTGGGGTCTGCTATACTCTTCACCGTCCTCAACTATAGCGTGAGTGATTGTGCCGCTGGCGCCAAAGGAGCTCAGGCCGATGCGTCGAGGTCCCTGGATGGATGGCCATGGGATAAGTTCTTCGGGAACTGTCATTTTCCATTCGTCCCACTTGATCCTTGGGTTCAGGTGCTTGATGCCGATGGTTGGAGGTATTTGTGCCTTCTCCAACATCAGCACTGCCTTGATGAGGCCGGCAATTCCGGCTGCGGCTTCTAGATGACCAATCTGTGATCAAATGGTCAGCTCTGTTTCAAGTTCTTGCATCTTGCATACTCTACTCTGGAGTGAAGCTGAAAAAGGGGCTTGTCTGGATACTGGACGGAACTTAAACTGGAAGGGAGAGGGGACGTCTCGAACAGAGACGAGATTCACCACTCACGTTTGTCTTCACAGAACCGACCAGGAGGTGTTGTTTTCCGGTCGTTGTCCCCAGCGCTTTGGAAATAGCCTCAAGCTCTGCCGGATCACCGACCTTAGTGCCCGTGCCGTGAGCCTCAACAAAGCCAGTCTGACTTGTCGGGAGACCCGCCTCTGCATAAACCCTACGAATGAGGTCGGCTTGGGCTTCTGCGTTGGGCAAAGTAATGCCAGTTGTCCAGCCATCCTGGCCAACACCGCTGCCCTTCAGAACAGCTCGAATCGCATCTCCATCCCGTACTGCGTCGGCCAAGGGTTTTAACACCACGGCACCGAGACCCTCGCCGCGACCAAATCCATCGCCAGCGGCGTCGAAGCTTTTGCACTTTCCATCGGGTGAGAGGAACATCTGATTCGAGTAGTATAGGAAGTATTCAGGGTTAAAAATGAGGTTGGCCCCCCCGACAATGGCCATCTTGCAGTCGCCCGCAAGAATGGCGTTTCTCGCCTCGTGCAAAGCAACAAGACTTGACGAACAGGCTGTGTTGACTGTCATGCTCGGACCGCGAAGGTTAAAGAACCACGAAACTCTCCCAGAGATGTATTCCGGTCCAGTGCCAGTCCAAGTGTGCAGGGGCGCAGCCTCCGGGTCGCGGAAAAGGGTCTCACGCCAGTCGTTGCTGTTAACACCCATCCAAACACCCGTGTCGGAGCCATCGAGCTGCGCTGGCGTAACGCCCGCGTTTTCGAACGCCTCATACGCGACTTCCATCATCAAGCGCTGCTGGGGGTCCATGGCGGAGGCTTCATCGGCCGTGATGCCGAAGAAGTTGGCGTCCCACCGCCGAATATCATCTGAAAGAAAGTGGCCTCCTTCAGTGCGAGACTTGTTCAGCCCTTCCCGTGGCCCAGAGTGGAACGCGCTGATGTTGAACCGGTCTTTGGGAACCGTAGAATAGGCAGCTGTTGGAGTTGACAGGCGTCAGCAGGATCTTGTACTAGTCTCAGCATACTCTGTTCTACTTACACTGCCCTTTGCAAAGTAGCTCCCAGAACGCAGTAGGACTGTTGGCGTCGCCGGGAAATCTGCAGGATAGCCCAATGATAGCCATTGAGCGGCCATCTGCAACGAAATTCCTACCCATCTTGCTGGTTGCAACACGGGAGAATCGATCAGGGAGTGCTGAAGCCTGATTCTTGGGTTCTATGAGACTAGACAACGTTTTGCAGCAAGATGCAGAGACAGTTCTTATTTGGTGTGGAAGTACCTGTATGTTGTGAACGTCTTCTTGCGGAAAATGAGGATGGGCAAACTGACGGGCCATTAGCTCCGAGAGCTACATCACGACTCAGCTTTCGCCCTTAAGATTTTCAACAGATAATCAAAAGTTGGTCATTATGTGGGTATATTGAGATCAGGATGCAACTCTCCATAGAGGTGTGTGTGTAGTGAAACCTTTATTTGTGGACTAGGCCAAGCCTTTCGAGAATAAGACGAACGACCAAACTCAGATTGAGCTACATACGGTAGTCTCACGACTACCTCCTCCAACCTCCGGAAAAAGCGACAGATCGGGTTTGGAAATTAATCAAAGCTGGTTGCGATCATACCCTGTGGGAAAGCTTCGCGACTCAGTTTTCAGCATGCTGGGGAACTGCGCAAAGTCGCGAGACTTGCGACTACGCATATACAAATTGACAATCAACGGGCGACCTCAAGATGCTTTTAAATGGGTATGCCAACACTTGTCACAAACAGTATCTATCAATCTTGGATGAAATACCGATCGCACCTTTTTACCTTTCGCCCCTAAACCAAGCCATGTCTCTTACACCCATCGTCGAGGATCTCCTGCAACATGCTCGCAAGTATGACAGCTATGCTGCGAGCGGAAAACAGTTCCCCAGTACTCGGCAGGAGGATGAAGACTATGTGCTAGCACGACAAGCCGTTATCGATGGTGCCCAGCGCCTGCGGTTGGCGGCAATGACACCCGACCAACGGCTTCATCAATATATGACCCGAGTAAGTGATGTGACTTGCCCTTAGCGACGAGGGCATTGGCGAGGGCATTGGCGCTGACTTTGTCTACTCGAAGGCCTATGATGTCGCCGTCATGCGGTTGGTCAATGACCTGGACATCGCCAACTCAGTACCGGACGATGGTATCACGTTCCCCGCCCTCTCCAAGGCGGTCGGGGTCCATGAACGGGCTCTGGTAAAGATCATGCGCAGCGCCATCTGTCACGGCATATTCTGCGAGCCGCAGCCCAACTTCGTAAAGCACACCGAGGTCTCGCGGTTGTTCCGCCTCCCCGGTATCCGCTCGTTATGCAACTTCACCACTGAGACGGTTCTTCCGTCCATGGAGAAACTTCTCGAAGCGGCCAAGAAGTGGAACGGCTCGCAAGACCCGTCGCACTCGGCCTTCAACATTGCCCATAACACCACGGGGCCCATGAACAAGTTTCCAAACGAAGCCTGCTTCAAGGCCATCATGAGCGCCGCCGATGCCAAAGGCTTGTCCTCCTACCCGCTATGGCAGGACATCGACAAGCCTGGCGCTGTTTTCGTGGACGTCGGCGGGAACCACGGGTACGGGTCGCTGGCCATCGCCAAGGCGACGAAGTGCCTCAGCTTCGTTGTGGAGGACATGCCTACCGTCATTGAAACGGCGCAGAAGCAAGAGCGCCAACCTGGAGGAGTCCTGGCTGACCCTGAAGCGGGCCACCGCCTAACTCTGAAGCCGTACGACATATTCTCTGGACCGCAGCCGGTTTCCAATGCGGATGTCTACTTCTTCCGAGCCATCTTCCACAACTGGTCCGACGTCAAGTGTCGGGAGATCCTGCGTAACATGCTGCCAGCTCTCAAGCCTGGCGCGCACGTCGTTATCTGTGACATCGTGCTGCCGGACCGTTGTGATACGGCGTATGAGCAGCACTACTGCCGGTACGTCAAGTTTGTGAGCAATGAGAAATCTGCGTAGAAAGCTGACTGTTTCACGGCACAGAATCTCCGACCTAGCAATGTATGCACTTCACAATGCATGGGAGCGAAGTGAAGCCGAGTGGACAGACTTATTTGACTCGGTGGACTCTGGTTTTTGCCTACAGGAGATTTACACTCTATGGCCTGGATCGTACCAGAAGTTCATCCATCTTATTTGGAGACCTGAACAGCACTGAACACGGTGTTATGAGCATTCCAAGATAGACACAACATGGACCGAACATCCATCGAGCAGTCTCATTCTTCTGCCATAGACTAAACGTATGAAACAGTGTTCTTTTACAGGAAAAAATTGAAGGGATATTTTCTTTCGCAACTCTTTACTTAGGACAACACTAGGCATAAATTAGGTTATTCACTAGTAAAGAAGTAAACTGTCATAATATATAAGCTACTATTACTGCCCACGTAACTAACAGAATCATTTTATTACATGACAGACGCCTAGCTCCTACCTACTATATACTATAATAGTACATATGTTCATTTAAGTGCAGTAACTAGCTATATAGATCTTAAGCATCGTAGGCTTAATTCCTATTGGGGTCCCCTAGGTAAGAATCCTACTAAAGTCTATATAGATATTTACTACCTATGATTAGCAAGACGTACCTAACTAGGTTTTTTATGAAAAGTGTGCTCAGATCTAACTTTCTAAGTCGAATCTAGGGGGTTTATCACAATATATAAGCTACTATTACTGCCTATGTAACTAATGGTATTATTTTGTTATGTGACATAAACTTTCTATTATTAAAACCCTCTATGGTTAATTTAGTTAAGTTTCTAAACAAAATAACCTGCTGCTTCCTGTTGCTCTTGTTATTCTTATTACTAGTGCTAATTTTATAACAGTTTAAGAGTTTTATTATTCTGAGTGCGGTATCTTAGAAAGAGAGTAACTACCCTACCCTTCATTCGAGATGCCCTAGGGCTGTCTTAAGCACACGGTAGTGTACAGCACAGCTCCACTGCCGCTAAATACGCTGGAAAGTCTGGCAGTCTTCGGCATCAGACCAGATCTTCTCAACATAGTGTGTGGATAGCGTCGGGCCGAGCTCGTCTCGCAGCAGAACAAGCGGTTGTATTGAAGAAGTTGTAGGTGAGGATGCCCTCAACCCAGCTGAACTGGCGGTTTCCCCGGGTTTCGGACTCAACAGATTCCTAACCAAGGAGAGAACAAATATCAGACAGGTAAACAGCTGTGTAAATTATAATTTAGTGCTGCCTGTAACTTGTTAGGTCGTAACAGCTTGGAAGGGGCTAGAAATGACTGACATAAGTCAAAAGCTAAAGAACTTAGGATAGCTAACACAAGCTTAGGCTGATTGGTTACCGTATCCTCTCATCAAATGTAAAGTCCGCACAGGCTATACGCTAGTCCTATTATAGAAAGCGGTCAGCCTACTTACACGCACACCCACCCATGTAACCCTAACCCTTGCCACCTAGCTTGCTGCTGACGTAAATGACTCCTTGCATTCTACCTGTACATCTAGATCCCTGTTTCTGCCAGCCCGCTTACCCCTTTCCAGCAGCCCGTGGCCAATGCAGATTTAGCATTTAATAAGAGGATACGGTATATAGGTAGATCACCTTAAGAATTTTGGTAGCAGTTAACAGGCAGACAGATTACAGGTCAAACCTTAGCATCTCAGACTATCTCAAAGTACTGACCCACCTCCTCTTAAGTCACTTATGTCCCTACACCACTAACTTCTCTGTCCCCACACCACCAACTTCAAATCCTTAACTTCTAAGTTAACAAAAAGAGAAAAATAGAGCTTCTATAATAGTATATACTATAGACTAATTATCTTAAACTTAAAGGGGAGTCTCTAAGGGTAAATTCCTCTAAAAAGTTGATTTATGCTACTATATTCTAGATGCACCTTAAGCTAATAGAGATATCTCTGTTTTCTTCTTTTTTCTCTGGGAAAAGGGTGAGCTGGTCTGTGCGTAGGTCTGTGCAGGATTAAGCGAGAGACTTCAAGAAGTACTTTGATGACTCAAGTGCTGCCCCGCAATGTGTCTGCCTGTTAACCGCTCCCAGAATTTTAGGCCCTTTGGTTGGTTAGCTACGGGGTATGGGCCAGTCCCACTGGTACCTGCCTTGGAAGTTAATTTATATAGGAAAATAGGTAACTATTAATAAGATCTGCAGCTAAAAGTCCTTTTTTGCTTAGGCACTTGGTGCATGTTTAAAAACATAGAGTTCTGCAAGATAGAACTGTAATTATGATGTACCCTCGGCATGATTTTGAGCTTGAGGGTATCATGTTACCAGGCCGAAGTAACTGACCCCTGCCAGGTAACTACCGGTAACGTCCCCCCCCCCTTACTACAGAACTTTTCTGTTGGTGAATATCCTCCCTCTATTATGATGTTCACTTATTGGGGGTAACATCATAGGGGGCGTTTACTTTCCCCTGCCACCCTGTACTTGGCTGGCGTTTTGGAGCATTTGAAACTTTACTGCACGCATCGATCATTCTCGAAGTAGCCTTGGCCAGGACCACTAATACAACGACGATACGCAGCGGCAGTCACGATTTGTTTACGCCTACACGAATGTACACGTTGCTCTTGAGTCATGGATGCTCTGAAGGGGTGGATGCGCTATGTTTTGATGTGGGTTCATTCAAAGGAAACCCCTTTTGACTGTGCTCTTGAATTCGCGGCAAGAATCAACCCTTTTTGCCCGCACTTCTGACGACTTGGAACGACTCCAACTCGAACACTCTCGCCAGTCTCATAGGACCCCGATCTTCTTTTTGTAACCAAATCTCCACATAGCCACTGGAAAATGCGGCGTCTGTCACCCATCTCGTTACTAGCCACTCTCGCCGCCGGTACGGTCAGAGTTGGGGCTAAAGATAATAACAAAGATGCTAGTCAAGTGATTAATCAATCAGTGACGGCTACTCTCGTTCGTGACGTAGCCGTCATTGGCGGAGGTACCACAGGTGCCTTCGCAGCTTCTTGGCTGAAGGATAACGGCCATACATTCGTTCTTGTTGAGCGACGAGGGAATCTCGGAGGCCATAGCCAGACATACATCGATCCCTCCACAGGCCACGCAATCGAATACGGCAATGTCTTCTTCGAGGACACAGACACAATGCGGGACTATCTCAATCGATATCACGTCCCATTCACACAAGTAACGCCAGTCAACGACCCAGCCCATGCCATCCAGTTTTACAACCTGCAGACCGGGGAGAAAAGCACTTTCGAGCCCCCGAACCCGGTAGCTGTGCAGGCCGCTATGGATAGATGGATTTCGATTCTGGCTGAAAATTTCTCCTTCTTGGAAGAGGGTTACTACCTCCCTGAACCTATCCCATCCGATCTCCTCCTCCCATTCATCGACTTTGTCAAGAAGTATGACTTGGACGACATGCTCAACATCGCGTTTCAAGTCGGCCAGGGCTTTGGCGACTTCCTCCATGCCCCGACGCTGTACGCCGCCAAGATTCTCAGTCGCTCTTTGCTTGAGCAGTTCAAGCGGCAGTCGATGCTGGTGACACCAAACAATGGGCTGTTGTACCGCCATGCCGAAGAAGAGTTTCGCACAGCAGAAAGCCTCCTGCTCTCCAGCACCGTCATTCATGTCGACCGCAACCTAGACGATGACGGCTACATGTCGGTGTATGTCCAAGGCCAGGACGACGGCAATGCAACGTCAATAACTCGGATCCGCGCACGACGAATGTTGGTGACGATACCACCCCCTTCCTCCCTGGACTCCGGCTTTGGGCTCGACGAATGCGAGCACGCCCTCTTCTCGAAATTCACCTGCAACTACTACTGGGCAGGCGTCCTCCGTAACGCCCCGCTCCCGGCTCTGGAGATCCAGAATTGCAACCCCGCCAACCCTGGCGGCGTGCCCACGCTTCCTGGCATGTATGTCTTCGAAGGGACAGCTAGTCCTGATATCCACACATTCTGGTATGGCGCTCCCGCCGGCGCCGCCAACCAGACCGAGGATGGCGTAAAAGCAGACGTCCTGGCGACGATCGAGAGACTCCGCCGCGCGAATGGCGCAGTGTGGCGTGAGGTCGAAAGTGCCGGTGAAGACGTTGAGTTCCTAGCCATGGGCGACTTCAACCCGTTCGCGTGTATGGTCAACGCGGCCGACATCAAAGACGGCTTCTATCGTCGCTTATATGATTTGCAGGGCTACAGAAACACGTGGTGGACTGGAGCAGCTTGGCATACGCATGATGCTAGTTTGCTACTGGATTTCACACAGAAAGTTCTCGTCAACATGACGGAAAATGTTTCTTCAGAAAGCAACAAGACTGAAGGGACGGAAGAGTTGTGAATTGACTTCCACCGGATGCGCTGTTCAAGCGGTTTCCGCCAAGTACATACCTACCTTGGCGTAAAGGAGAGCAATTAGTTGTGTCGCTTGACTTGTCTCACAAGTCGATCAATGTAGGAGAGTTTTTGCCGATGCAATCCTTTATTCCAAGTTTTAATTAATCTCGGTGTCATGAATCGGCTCGAAGTTTTGCTTGGTAACTTGAAATGGCGAAAACTCGGCAACAGACGCGGTGACGTGATAGGAATCACGTTAATACGCTTCGCATTCGACTCTGACAGGGCTGAGTGCTAGAATTCACATTTACAGTTTATTCATATAATATATACAATTCTACGCAGAGAAAAACAGTCTTGGAGAAAAATGCACTCGGTCGCAACGACGCCGCACAACGACCAGCTCAAGGTTGACATCCCCTATGAAGAGTTCTAAATCTTTTTGATAAGAAGCTTGCGCTTCACGTCAGGCATATTCTAAAAGTCTGGAGTCAGCTCGCGCAACCTTTTCTTGTCGTCGATCCCAAGCTTACCATGTTACCAAACTCAATGTTGGGGTATCTCTGCATCTTGCCGTCGGGGCCGGGAACAACCTTGACATCGAAATTGGTGAGCAGATGGACCAGAATGAGCTTGATCTCAGTGGAAGCAAAAAAGCGGCCCGGGCACGCATGCTTTCCCCATCCAAAGGCCATGGTTCCGTTCGTAACCGATGCGAATTGGAAATGATTGCCCTCTCCCTCGTTCTGCCGGAGCCTTGTAAACCGATGGGGGTTAAACTTGTCGGGGTCATCGGGAAATAACTCCGGGTCGCGGCCGATGTGGTGGACAGGCACTGCGAGCATTGTTCCAGGCGGAACGGAAACGCCGTCGGAGAATGTGAAGGGCTTCATGACCTTGCGTCTTGCCGATACTGTTATAGTTCGCGTAGGGTCAGCTTCCGGCATTTCACGAAGATTTGTTAGGTTTCCCTACGTAAGTCGGCGGGGTTTAGGCGTTGGGACTCCTTGCAACAAGCATCGAGAAGTTTCATGTCAAAAAGTGCTTTGGAGGTGATCTCGCCGTTATGCTTTCGAAGTACGCTAGCAATCTCTTTCCGCACGTCGTCCATAATCTCAGGTTCGGCAGCAAGGTCGTACAGCCTATATACTCGGGAGAAGCCAGGTCAACAAGGTGGACCACAGGGACAGGTTGTACGACGTAAAGGTGCAGTGTAACTCACGTTGCAGTGGCAGTCAAAGCGGTCGTATGAATGGCCACAGCGCTCAACGAGAGCTGTAAACGAGTGATGTCGCCGTCATCCTTGATCTCGTCAGGGAATCGGTGGGCATTGTTGATGATCCACTGCAACATGTCGTCGGGGACCGGCTCCCCAGTAGCGGCTGCTTTCCTACGAGCCTCAATGGCGGGACCGAGAAGTGTAGCGATGCGCGTATGGGCCTTCCATACCCGTCGAAGAGGCGGGATCAACGGTGCCACGAATGCTCGAGATGCCTTTGGGAACATCTGCAATAACTTGGGTCCGCCGAAGGCGTCCGCTGCGTAGTTGGCGGCCAGGTCCATATACTCGTCAGTCCGGCAGTATTCCGGTCCCACGAACATCCAGCCTGACACGATGGTCACTATACGGGCGAAAACATGGTGAATGTCGACTTCGGACCAGTCTGGATTTCGAGGCAACTCGGACAGGACTGCGTCAAGGGCGACAACACTTAATTCCGGCGTTGCCTTGCCTGTGAGCAGTTTATTGGTTAGAACCTTGAGATATTGTTTTCGATGTTATGGCTATTGTGGATATGAGGACATGTCGAGAGTGGTTACCTAGAGATGGGGTCAAGTCTTGTTTGACGGAATGGATAAGAGCTTGAGAAGTCACATTGATCTGTGTGATAGATGCTTCAACAAACTGGGATTTTCAGCGAAGCTCACTTCATCATGGTAACTTGTTCTTCATACCTCTTCAAAGGGGGCATGTGGGCTGAGTACATCTTCAGACGCTGCAGCATAGGAGTTCAGTAGATGATAAGGAACGCAGACATAGTCTCCTGCATTTATTAGTTAGACAGACCCAGTTGATTCATGAAGGAAAGAAGACTGAAGAATAAACAAGCAAAACAGACTGCGGGTAGACGAAAGCATAGGCATAACCGGCCGTACTCGCCTTCTGGAGAAAGCACACGGTAAAGTGACTTGAACCTGCGGTAGCCTTCGCTGTAAAGTCTCTTTGCGTGAGACTCATACTCTTTCAACTTCTTCTTTCTGCTTCCCTCGCCGGAATACGGAATGTGTCCAAGACCATCGTCTTTTTGAAATGGAAGAGACCACAAGAGTAGGAAGAGGATAGCGCCACCTAGGATGGCAGGAGAGATCCAAGGATTCACCGGGAAAAGACTCAAGATTGACCTTATCGCCATGTTTGTTGATGGATTGGTAGAAACAAGTCTAGAGGGTTCTTTCGAAACTGAAACTGAAGTAGATGTTGCTGTGCAGATAGACACAGCAGAATGCCTTGGGTTAGGATGAAAAAAGAATCGCAAAGAGCAACGTTACTGCATACAATAGTGAAATCCGACAGACAGAAGCTTCCGTTCCGTTCCACGAACAGACGAGGTGAAGAACAGCGGCTTGACTCACACCCGCAGTCTTTGCCGAACGCGAGAGCTTGACTGTGTAATTTTCTCAAAAGTTCATGTACCTGTTGATCAGGGCAGTGGATGTTGATGGAACTCTGTCCTATCCACCGATTAGACTTTTCCAACTCCTTTCTTCATGATTGCAGGCAGTCTGAATCAGCAGTCTGAACTTCAGAAAGCAATATTTTGAGTAGTATTTCCGCAAACATCAAAGTATCGTTTGGTTGGTGGCAGTGCTGTTGAAAAATGGCGCAATCTGTGCCAAATGCTGATCTGCGCGACAAAACACATCACGAGAGTGAGGCCGGAAAGTATCGCTCGCCGTTGAGGGGTTATAAAAGTTTACATCAATGTAACTACTAGACAAAACGGGAATGATGTTGATAGAATCGGCAAGTTTGTAAATTTGACTCGTGAGTGGGCAGGCATCGCCGATTTGATCGACTTCACTACTTACCCTGCATGTCCGAGGTGTGAGGACAGATTGGTGAACAATCGCGGATCTGTAATCGTAGTGTGAGCCTATTCAACTAAGCGGGCAAAAAAACGAAGAAATAGTCATGGGGTGTACGTAGAAGGTAACACGATGGTACCAGGCCGAAGTTAATTGCCCCTGTTAGGTAACCAATGTTCACCCCTCTACTACGGGGCTTCACTTTTGATGAATATTCCCCATCTGTTCTGATGTCAGCCATGGGGGTAACATCATAGTAATTAACTTACTCCTGCCACCCTGTATTTCCATTGTGTTCTCTACGCCCCAGGGGTGCAGCTCGACCGGCACGTTCCAGCACACTGGAACAGAACCGAGTCAGTATTAGGTTCAACTCTAGCAAAGTCGGATGAACCGTTCACGAAGTGCCTAATGCGGGTTCGTGGGGAACTGAGGGGCATAAACTAGACAGGGCTACCTGGGGTTGCAACCCATCGTCCGGGGCCCGGCATCAGCGCCTAGATCGCCGATGCCGCTTCCACCGACCCCCTGTGCTACCAATTCAAGCCGGGGAATACCAGTTTGATATCGTATGCAGGGGACAGTCAGCAGGGTGCCTCAAGCTAGCGGCAGTGACAATCTAGTCCTTGACAGTTTCGACATCTTGGCTTGATTCGCAAATTCATGCTTCCTCCAGCTTCTGGTTCCCTCGATTGTCTTTTAGCGCTTCCAAAGTCTCCTTCAGTTGATGGTGTGTGTACCACGGCAAAAAACCTTTTACGTGTTACTATTTCGTTTGGACGTCAGCATTGGATCTCATGATGGCGATCCAAGAGCCTTCTCACGTGGGACGGAATGCATTTTTCCAGGTGCGTGTTGCAATCAACTCACACGAAAACGACCGGCGAACGACTAATCGGGTACTAGATTTTTTCGTATGCGACGTCTTCCGACGTCGTACTCGTCCTGTTGGCGATAGCAGCCTCTGTGGTTCAAGGCTCTCTGATGCCCATCATGGCAGGTTTCACTGTAAGCGACCAACTGGAACGTACTATGGCTGACGTGAGACTCTACAGACGATACTATATGGGTCGTTAGCTAGCGACTTTGCCGGAGTAACATCTGGGACACTCAGTCGACAGGCATTCCTGGAGCGTCTTTTTCAAACCACGCTGTACTTCATTTATTTGGCATTGTCCGAGGCCGTCGCCAGCTACGCCATGTGGATGGGTCTCACAGTTGCGGGGGAAAACATGACCACCAAAATACGGTAAGTGGAGGGCCGACAAAAGATCATGCTGTTCCGTTTACCAATCTTTGACAGCGAGAGGCTTCTTTCTGCTGTTCTGGAGCAAGGCGTGAGCGGTGCTGTCAAGATCAGCTCGGGAGAAGTCACGGCTCGAATCGGTGCAAACTGTGACCTGATCCAAGATGGCATCTCAAGCAAGCTTGGGCGCGTCACGGCTGCCATGGCGGGGGTTGTTGCAGCTTTTTGTATCGCGTACTACAGGAATTGGAAACTGGCGTTGATGATGAGTAGCGGACTCGTTGCTTTCGCAGCCACAGGCGTGACGGGCGCCATTCTTATCAAACGCTTCACGGACAAGTCAATGTCATATCACGGCGAGGCTTCTAGCATAGCGCATGAGGCCATTAGTGGCATTTCCTTTGTTATAGCCAGCTCGTCACAGGACAAGATGGCGGAGAAGTATTCTTCCAAGCTTGAAGCAGGGCATAGGCCTGCTATTGCCTCGAGGGCACTGGGGGACGTCATGGTCGCACTCATTACATGCATCGCAACCCTTCTTTTCGCGCTTGCGTTTTGGCAGGGCTCCAAGTTATTTGCTGCGGGTGACGCGGATATCGGCGACATAATGACCGTTCTCCTGGGTGAGCATCTCCATGGCACCGAATTTCATATCAACTGCTGACCTTGCACCAAGCCGTTCTTCTAGGCACAGCATCTCTGGGCTTGGTTGCGCCAAACGCACAAGCCTTGGCGAGCGCTGCCGCCGCAGCCTCTCAGAACCTCGAGACAATTATGACGACCAAGTCGATTAACTCGGTTTCGGACGAAGGGGAAAAGCCCGATTCCGTCAGAGGCGCAATTTCATTCACGAACGTTCACTTTTCCTACCCGAGCCGAGGCGATGTTGAAGTTCTCAGGGGGCTGAACCTTTCAATTGAGGCCGGAAAGACGACGGCACTGGTAGGGTCGTCAGGATGTGGTAAAAGCACCATATTCAGCCTCATTCAGCGGTTCTATGATCCCACTTCCGGTACTATAGAACTAGATGGCAGGCCGCTTGGCAAGCTCAGCTTACGATGGCTCCGCAGCAGAATGGCTGTTGTTAGTCAGGAGCCGGTACTGTTCAACACAACCATTCACGCGAACATTGCGCATGGCCTCCGCAAAACCGCAAAAAGCTACAGCTCGGAAGAGGAGAAGGCTTTGGTGGTCCAGGCAGCAAAGAGCGCCTGCGCGCACGACTTCATCCTGGCACAACCCATGGGATATGATACGGTTGTCGGTGACCGTGGAGGGCTTCTGTCCGGTGGTCAGAGGCAGAGGGTTGCCATCGCGCGTGCGATGGTATCCAACCCCAAGATTCTTCTCCTTGACGAGGCCACATCAGCTCTTGACAACGTCTCGGAAAACTTGATACAGACAGCGCTCGCCGCCGCCCGCCAAGACAGAACCGTCATCATGATAGCCCACCGCCTGTCCACCGCCAGACATGCAGATCACATCGTAGTCCTGGACGAGAATGGAGTGGCAGAGCAGGGGACATACGATGAGTTGATGGCACTTCGTGGGGCCTTTTTCAAGCTTGCTAGTGCACAGAAGACCGAGATGCAGCCTCCGGAGGTGGGAGACTTGGGACTTCAGAGCACGGTATCACTGGACTCGCTTGACTGCGGAACGGCCTCCTATGGTGTTCAGCCTTTGGATGACTCCGGTCATGGACGTCCCGCGACGGCGCAGGAAGATGGTTCAGTTACCATGTTGTTGAGCAACGGGTCTTCAGCCGAGCAGCAGGTCGAAAGCCAATTCACGGGAAAGGACGTCGCGAAATTCGTGGCCCAGTTCAACTCCAGGTCCCGTTTTCTGTGCGCGTTTGGGCTGTTTTGGACGCTCGTGTCGGGCTTTACGTCTACAGTTCAGTCTTATGTCCTTGCTCAGGTACGTTTCAAAAAAGATAAAATAAGCATTCTCCTCCTCTTGCTTCTACGCCATTGTGAGCGGTTTTGCTGACTTGAATCATGGGAACAGGCCATCACCGCATTCAGCGAATCCTCGGTTCGTTCGGGGGTTACAGCCAACATTAATCATTGGTCACTCATGCTCGTTGCCATTGCTTTCGTACAATGCGCTTCGTCGATTACCAGAGGTTTCAGTCTAGCCGTTTGCACCGAGCGCTTCATTCTAAGAGCGCGACGCGCTGCCTTTGGGCACATCATGCGGCAGGACAAGTCTTTCTTCGACACAGAAAGCTGCGCATCCATCACCACACTTCTGTCAACACTAGCTGGCAACCTGGATGGTCTAGGAGCTTCTCTCCTTGGAACCTTCGTGGTCGGAATCGCAAGCCTGCTGTCTGCGGTAGGCCTGGCCATTGGTATCAACTGGCGTCTCGGTCTAGTCTTTTCGGCAACAGTCCCGGCCCTCATGGCTGCAGGGTATATGCATGGCGCCTTCTCTAGCAAGCGAGAGCAGCATACGCGGCAGCTTTACGCGCAGGCTGTCAGTTACGCCAACGAGGCCATCGACTGCATCGCAACCGTGGCCTCTCTTGTATTGGAGTCACATGTAGAACAGAACTTCCACGCGTCCATGACCGAGATGCGCCGACGAAGCATGAGGACTGCGAACAAAGCGTGCTGCATATATGCTGTGTCTCAAGCGGCACAGTACCTGTGCTTCGCCGGTTGTTTCTACTACGGAGGCAGACTTGTAGCTTTTCAGAAGGCCACGATGCTTGAGTTCTTCATCTGCTTCAACGCCGTGGTCACAAGTACGCCCGCCACGGGCAGCTGCTTCGGCTTTCTTCCCAACGTCCACAAAGCCAAAGAAGCCGTCAAGACTTTGATTGGGCTACTGGCGAGACAGCCATTGATAGATGGTTCAAGCGACAACGGTTATGTCGTCAACGGTCCATCTGAAGAGCTCACCCTTGACCAAGTCACATTCAAATATCCGAAAACCAGTCTTTTCTCGAAGAACACCATTGAAAACATCAGCTTGAGCGTTCGTCATGGGCAGTTTATTGCTCTTGTCGGTCCCAGTGGTAGCGGCAAAAGCACGATTTTGTCACTCCTCGAGAGGTTTTACGATCCGCAAGCCGGTAACATCTCCCTCGACGGCAGGGATATACGCTCGCTTCAACTCAGGTCTCTTCGAAAACACATGGCTTTTATTACCCAAGAGACAGTGCTGTTCTCTGGGACGATTCGTGATAACTTGCTTCTTGCGGCGCCGGACCCAACCGCTGTATCTGAGGAGATGATCAACGACGCCATCAAGGCATCGGCCTTGGAAGACGTCATTGCGTCCCTCCCAGAAGGGTTGAACACTGCTGTTGGCTACCGCGGAGCTTCTTTATCCGGCGGCCAAAGACAAAGACTAGCAGTTGCTCGTGCACTTGTCAACAGTCCTAGTATCTTATTACTTGACGAGGCTACGTCGGCTCTGGATCCCTTGTCAGAACGTCTGGTTCAGAATGCCATAAACAACGCCTCCAAAGGGCGAACGACGGTGGCTGTTGCGCAGAGATTGAGTACTATCAAAGACGCAGACTGCATCTATGTTGTGAACCACGGTCGTATTGTGGAGTTTGGAACCCACGAAGACCTCATTCTCAAGAGTGGGCTGTATGCGAGCATGTGGGGGGAGGCACAGGGCCCTAAGACAGCCATTTGAACTGGACATATTTCCTTGACAGAACTCGAGCCATTCACTGTTCATAGACCCGAAAACTCTATACTTAGACTTTCCGTGATTATTTCTTCAAACCTTTCATCAATTACTCAGGATGAACTTTGGGTATTGGAGCGCTTCTGGACGTGCCAGGATAAGGGTTATGTGCCGTTGAGATCGCCCGAAGGAGCCTAAAAGGTTGATGTCATATTGTTTGAGTTACCCGATTGTGGATGTAATAGATAGGAGGGTGATGAGCTAATATTTCGGCTCTTCCGTTGTGTTCCTTCGGGCCTCTGAGCAAGGAACCGGGAATTACTGGGATTTCAGTTACAGTTTCTCAGAAAAGAGTATAAAGAAATTGCTCTCCACTCTCGGTACATGTTTAAGCATGATGGGAAACTCTTACACCGAGTGTACAGGTATATTGGAGGGGTATAACTAGTTACTCCAATAAACCCTAATACAAACACTAGGTATCTATGGCTTGTACATGGTGGCAGGGGAAAGTTGATGCCCCCTATAATGTTACACCCCATAATTGACATTACAATAGCGGGGGGATACTTACTAATAGAAAAGTTCTGTAGTAAGGGGGGTGGACGATAGTTCCCCGGCAAGGGTGATTTACTTTGGCCTGTTACTATAGTAAGTGTTAACTCTGACAAGTAATCAGACAAGCTAATATTACGCCCCCACCCCCCCTCCCACCCCCCATCCTGTTGACCTGAAAGTGAATACTAACTAATAAGAAATAAAGATGAAGATAATCCACAGTGAAAGTAAGAAATCATAGTGAAAGGGATGGTCTTGACCTATCCCGACCTGGAGGGCAGCATAGGAAGCAGGGTAGTGTCGAAGTTCTCAGTACAAGTTGAGGCACCCCCACAATATTTAGGATTGTGTCAATGCAATATATACTGCTAGACTATACGTACTGAGAAGAATAAAATTCTCGTTGAATTTAGTTATATATAGTATCTATACGCCTAAGCATCACTTATCTTACCTGTTGATGACGTAGAATGGACGCTTCTCTCGGGTTAATATGGGGGGGGCAGTATCAGCTTGCATTTACACTCGAAGCTAACGGAGCTGGAACGGGCTACATAAGCTCATACTCCTTGCTTATCGGGTTGTGTGCGTTGGATCAATACGCAATAGAGCTCACAGCTGTGTGATACAAATTAATATTTGGATCTACGTCAGGCCTCCATCGCCCGATGTAACGGAATAGGATAGAAATCCTCTTATATGACTGATTAGTGACTGAATCATGTACACTCCGTTAGCCGTTGGCCCCGCAAAATGCAGTTTGTTGAGAAACAAAGATGTAAAGGCCGATGGAATAAGTGGTATATCTGATTTCTAGAATCAGAAAGGCACAAAGACCCCGATGATTACACGTGATTCGTTACAACAACATATTTCCCTCGTCAAATACCTCGACCTGTCTTCCACTCGCTCTGTTGGTGCGGGCTCGTGGTTTTAGATCAGGAGGCACCGGACCCTATCATGTCTTCCTCCAATCGATCCCGTGAGGGGAAAATCATTTTATTCGGCGACCAGACAACTGAGTTCGCCCCATCTTTGAAAAGAGTCATTGCAACTGCAAAACAGAGTTCTCCGTTAGTGCGGAAGTTCCTCGGGGATGCCGTCGATGTCGTGAGGATCGAGGCACGTGGAGTCTCTTCCGATGAAGGACTAGACGTTGAGACCTTGAGCTCTCTCATTTCTTCTCCAGACGATTATGAGAAGTTGGAAGACAGGACTGGAGTAATTCAAACCGTTCTCACCTGCGTATCCCGCCTTGGAGAGCTACTTCTGTGCGTTCACATCCAAGATTATCAACAACCCCAATAGCCACTTTTACTAACGTCTTTTACTTCAAGTCATGCGGAACAAGACCCCACAATCGTGAATTGGAACCACAACAGCACACGCATCCAAGCTCTGGGGCTCTGTACTGGACTCCTGCCAGCAGCTGCTCTTGCAGCTGCACAGGACATTCAAGACTTGGCCCATCTAGCTTTGCTTATGGTCGGAGTAGCGTTTCGGCTCCGTATTGAACTTCATCGCAGATCAACTCGTGTGGAAGCGGAGAATGGTATCTGGGGATATCTTGTGGTGGGACAGACAGTTGACGAGATTGAATCCGCGCTGGACGGATTTCACAATGCCAAGGTACATTTTGCCCCGTTTAACTATTGCTCATCTTCAAGAAGAGGCCATTTCCTAACGCACGCCAGAACATACCGATACACAAGAGAGCATACGTCGCTGTGGCGTCAGATGCTTGGTCCGCAGTCTTTGGGCCACCTTCAACGATGCGAAGACTTTTCAAGGAGTCATCCTTCCTGTCCGGAGTGTCAGTTTCAGAGTTGTATCGTGCGAATGGTGCTGTCCACGCTCCTCACCTTCCGGAGCTTGACATGAAGGAAATCATCGGCACTGATCACCCTCTTCTGAACCGCCAGCTGTCGCCCAACATTCAGGTGATGTCAACGAGCGAATGCCAGCCCTACAGGGCGACAACCTTGGGAGACCTGCTGCGGCAGGTGCTCTACGACATCTTGATCCTCCGTCTTGATATGAACGGTGCTACAAAGGCTGTGGCTTCCACCGTGCCAACTGGCTCGTCTGTCCAGCTCGTCGTCGTTGGAGGATCGAACGCAGTTTCAACAGTCCAGAGCGCCTTGGACGCGCGGAAAGCAACCGTTACGGTTGTCGATCAATTCTCCTTGCGCCCAGCACCAGCTTTGCGTAACGGCTCTGGCAAGATCGCCATCATCGGCGTCGGGGGTAGGTTTCCTGGCTCGGAGAGCGTCGACGATTTCTGGAAATCACTTTTAGACGCGAAAGAGTTTCATCGACTTGTAAGTCTTCGTTCTGGTCTTCCCAAATGATATATCTTGAGCTGATCAAATTGGCACTGTCAAGGTCCCCGAAAGTCGCTTCGCATTGGACGCGTGGCAGCATGCCCTCGGACCGGATGCCTCACTTCCGTATGGCTGCTTTTTAGATCGGCCCGGGCAGTTTGACGCACGTTTATTCAACATTTCGCCGCGAGAGGCCGCTCAGATGGAACCCATGCATCGTCTCCTGATGCTTGTGACTTACGAGGCGCTCGAGACTGCGGGATACGCTCCTAATGCCACTCCAGCAACGGACAAAACGCGTATCAGCACTTTCTTCGGCCAGAGTTCCGACGACTGGCGCGATGTGAACCACCAAGCGGGCATCGACACGCACTACATCCCTGCAACCGCAAGGGCGTTTGGTGCCGGCCGCCTTCACCACTTTTTCAAGTGGGAGGGTCCTGCATTCACCGTGGACGCTGCCTGCGGCTCCAGCGCTGTCGCCATCAGTCTCGCGTGTGCGTCTCTGGCCAGAGGGGACTGCGACATGGCTGTGGCAGGCGGAGCTATGCTCGTATGCTCGCCAGATGCCATGGCAGGCTTGGCTAAAGGGGGCTTTTTGTCGCCAACGGGAAGCTGCAAGACATTCAGAGCTGATGTCGACGGCTACTGCCGAGGAGAGGCCGTCGCCTCTGTGGTTCTCAAGAGACTTGAAGATGCTCAGCTTGATAACGACAACATCCTGGGCGTCGTTGACGGCTGGGCTCGCAATCACGCTGCCTACGCTTCTTCCATTACCCACCCTCATCAACCCAGTCAAGAAAGAGTCTTCCAGCAAGTCTTACGGGCCTCCGGCGTTCAGCCCACTGATATCGGCTACGTCGAGGCTCACGGCACCGGTACCACGGCAGGCGACCTGTGTGAAGTAAACTCGATTACCAATGTATTTGGCGGCAAGCGCACGGCAGACAATCCTCTCATTCTTGGTGCCGTTAAAGCCAACGTGGGCCACGCTGAAGCTGGTGCTGCAATCGTTGCTTTGATCAAGGTTGCCATGATGCTCAAAAACAACGGGACGATCCCTCCGCAGCCTGGATTCGAGAACCCGGTCAATCCGGCCCAGCTGAACCCTGAGTTCCCTTCGCTCGCGAGCCGACACATCCACGTGGCAAACGGCCGCCAAACCCTCAAGGCGGGCCAAAAGATTGTACTGAACTGCTTTGATGCAACCGGAGGAAACACTAGCTTTGTCATATCACCTCCACCCGCGCCCAAGGCCTCTTTGCCAAGTCTGCCTGCCAGTATGGTGCCTGACGAAACAAAAGACCCAAGAACTCACCAAGTCGTCGTCTGCTCCGGGCACACTTTTACGGTAATGAAGAAGAACGAACGCCGTATTCTCGATTATCTCATGAATCATAAAAATGACCCTCTGAGGGATCTTGCTTACACCTCCACCGCCCGCCGCATGAAGCACCACGCGTACAGGACGGCTTGGGTAGTAACCAGCACGAAAGAGCTGGGCAGAAGACTACTTGAAGACACAAGCAAGACAGAGTCCAACCTCAAGCGTCCCGGTTCCGTTGCCTTCACCTTCACCGGGCAAGGTGCAGCGTACCGCGGCATGGCCAAGCGTCTGTTCAACACTTCTCCCAGGTTCCGCAAATCCGTCCTGGAAGCAGAACGTATTTGCGAGATATACGGCTTTCCTTCGGTTGTCGACTACATCCAAGGTGACGAGTTGACGGGCGATACACGCCGGCCGCATATCAAAGCAGGACAAGAGCAACTCGCCACAGCAGTGCTGCAACTGGGCCTCGTCGACCTTTTGCATTCATGGAATCTCAAGCCGGATGTAATCATCGGCCACAGCCTTGGCGAATACGCAGGCCTCTGCACTGCAGGGGTGTTATCCGTCAGCGATACCATCTACCTGGTTGGCAAGCGAGCAGGTCTTCTCGGCGAGCACTGTCAAGCAGGGGCTTACTCGATGCTAGTCTTACCTTTGGCTAGTCAGGAGGCCTCATCCCTCGCCGCCGATCACTCGGGCTGCTGCGTTGCTTGCAAGAACACGTCCAGCACGACAGTCATTAGCGGGCCAACAGAAGCCATCTCAGCAATGCGGGACGCTATACGAAGAGATCGCGGCATGGAGGCCAAGACACTTCCCATCGCCTATGGCTTTCACTCTGAACAGATGGAACAGATCGCCAGCGGCGTCGAATCACTGGCGCAGAATGTTCACTTCACGGCACCGAAAACACCTGTAGCCTCAACTCTACTGGGAAGACTTGTAAGAGAAGAGGGCACTTTCAACGCCCAGTATATGGCTCGCCAGACGCGGGAGGCCGTGGACTTCGTTGCCGCTCTCGAAGCCACAAGCAAAGGCGAACTTGTCGATGATAAGACGGTGTGGGTCGAGATCGGCCCTGACACGGTGAACATCCCCATGGTACGCAAGACTTTGGGCGCTCCGGACAAGGACAGGTTCTTGCCTACCCTCAGCTCTGGCAACGAAGATTGGGCGGTCCTAGCCAACCTCGTAGCTTCTTGTTATTGTCGAGGGTTGGACATCGACTGGCATGCCTACCACAGAGACTACGAATCGTCCCTGCGACTTGTTGAGCTCCATAACTATGCTTTCGACCTGAAGGACTACTGGAGAGCGTACGTGCATCCGAAGCCCGAGCAGACCATCGTCAACGGCAGCAATCCTACTACAGCCATGTCAGGCAACGGAGTACCGAACATGCCGTACTTGACACCGTTTCTTCAATACCTAACTCACGAATCTGTCCAAGCAGACGGCGCCATCCAAGCAGATTTTGTGTCCAAGGTCAATCACCCGGAGATGATTGCCGCAGCCCAAGGCCACCTGGTTGATGGAACGCCCATCTTTCCCGGATCTGCTTTTTGTGAAATGGCCTACGCTGCGGCCGACTACCTCATCCCAAAACATCAGAAAATGTCCGAGAAACCTCACATCTCGTCGCTAGTCATGTATAACCTGGAGATGAACCGACCTCTCATTATCAGCACGTCTAATGACGACTCAGTTGTGCACACTACGGCCGTCTGCGACAGCCACGGCGTCCAGGTCAAGTTTAGTGTGACTTCCGGGCCGGACACCAATCCCCTGGGACAAGTGTGCATTCGCTATGACCGCGGCGCCGCTTTACAAACCAAGACAGGACCAACATCCCTTTTCCTCGTCAAGGCGCGGATGAACGCCGTCATCCAAGCAGTGAGGGGTGGAGAAGGCCATGTCTTGCGCAAGTCAGTCATCTACCAGCTCTTCGAGAGGTATATTGGCTACGGCCCGGGATTCCAAGGGATAGAGGAGTGTTTCCTCAGCCAGGACAGGACCGAGGCCGCTTGTACTGTTCGCCTTCCGGCAAGTCCGTCGGCTACAGGCGAGCGCGATGCCTTCAACATGTATTGGCGTGACTGCGTATTCCATCTCGCAGGATATATGCTGAACGGGCATCCCGACGGTCCCCCTACGGAGGCTAACATCGCTGTTGCCGTCAAGGAGATCCTGTTTGAGGACAACCTCAATTCTACGGACACTTTTCAGGTTTACACACATATGCATCCGACGGAAAGTGGCTTCATTGGGGACGTGTATGTTTTCCGCGGCCAGCAGCTTATCGGTCTCTGCTCTGACATGGTTTACAAAACGGTTTCTCCCCGACGCGCGGGATCTAAGACCAAGAAACCTGCCAGTTCTGCCTCGGTGATGGCGCATATCCCAGCAGTGTCCGCTACCAAAAAAGACGTAGTCGTTTCGCTAGCCTCTGCTGCCCAGCCTTCCGCGCTCAAGATACAAGTTCCTGAGACAACCGCGGAGAAATCCAACAGCATCACTGAGGGACAAGTCTCCACCAACAATGTACCGGCCGTAGCCCAGAAACAGCAAGACGTGGCCGACTTGCTTCTCGAACTCATCGCAAATGAGACCGGGTGGCCAGTTGAGGTCCTCGAAGACAACACGGAACTTGCAGACATGGGTGTTGACTCACTCATGAATATCGTTCTCGTCTCCAAGATCCGAGCCGAGAAGGGCATCGAGATCTCGGCGGCCAAGTTTCGTCAGTGCTTTACCGTGGCCGATATCAGAAACGCATTCGGAAACAGGGCTACACCGCCGCCAGCCGTCGAAGCCGCCGTTGCTGGGCAAGCCAAGACCGAGACGGGTTTCGTTGATGAGATCCCGGAGATCGCCTTGGACAGTTCGGGTGATGAGGGCTGGGGAAGTGAGACATCCTCTTCACCTGTCGACGGTCCAGTGATTATCTCTCGCCAAGAATCGACCGACACCGACATGTTCATCGTGGACCGGAAGGTGTCAAAGAGCGCAGAATCGATAGAATCTGTGAGTGGCGATGAGGGCTTTAACCAAGATGGCAAATACGTCGTCGAGGACTTCCTGATCCAAGGCGAAGCGAAGGAAGGAGTTCCTTATCTCTTCCTCGTCCCCGACGGCTCCGGCTCGGTGACATCCTTCTTTCAACTTCCCCAGCTCAGCACCAACCTCTGCGTATACGGACTGCATTCACCTTGGGTGAAGGAGCCAGAGGCGTTCACTTGCACGATCGAACAAGCGACCGAACTCTACCTGGCAGCCATCCGAGCCCGCCAGCCCCACGGACCGTATCTTCTAGGGGGTTGGTCCTCAGGCTGCGTCTTCGCTTACGAGTCAGCCCGTCTACTGCTTGAGGCTGGCGAGGAGGTTCTCGGCCTCATCATTATTGACATGCACTGCCCCCGGCCCTTGCCCGAGTGGATCGACACGACACGCGGGCTCTGGGAGTACTGGTGCGAGACGACGGGTCTCAACAATGTCTTCGCGCCGCTGCCTGACGGCGCGGACCTGGAGGCGCACCTCATCAGCAACTTCCGCGCCCTCAACAAGTACCATCCGAAGCCCATGGCGTCAGGGAAGAGACCCAAGCACGGCACGTTGATTATCTGGGCTAAAAAGGGCATGGGTAATGGACTGAAGAGAGAGGACTATGGCGATTTCCCTGACCCGCTCGGGCTGGGGGAATGGTTCTGTTTTGATCGGAATGATTTTGGTCCCAACGGTTGGGAGGAGCTGGTTGGTGACCAGATCAATTGTGTTGCCATTGACGGCCATCATCGTTCCATTATGGTGCCGCCAGATGTGAGTAACTTCCTCCCCATCTAGCCTATACCGGAGGACAACGCTCGAGGATGGACACTAACAAATATCCTACTTAGGCATACGAGCTCGTGAAAACCATCGACGACGGTTTAAGAAAGTTCCTTGCGTAAGGTCCGGGCAAGCCAGACCGAGTGTGGGTGTTTCCAGATGTATAGAACAGTATAGTTAATCCTTCGACCAAAAGATGTGTTATTTCAATACCTTGCTTGGCCTCCTTGAGGACCCCGATTCAAGTGACGGGGGACCTGGCGCCCAAACGGCGATTGCACGCCTTCCTTACATGCTCTTGCCCTGCCTCTGACAGTGCTCTACCTCCCTACATCTACAGGATTCGGTGCCTGGCCCAGACGAGTCTCGTTGTAATGGCAGCCAACGCCTCTTTCCGATCAACTGCCGCGAGTCCTTTGAATTATGTAGGGACTCCCTAACGACGGAAGAGGGACCTGAGGAGGGGCTAGACGGCGGATGGATTTGTTGAGCAGATGTCTCAAGCCGTGAGTACACCGACCGTGGTCTATCCTCTCCCCCGTGGCAACGTGGTCTCGCAGTTGGGGATATCATAAGAGAACCGGGAATGAGAAGAGGCAGAGAGAAGTCGACAGCATCGGTCAGCTCAGGTAGGAGCGAGATAGAGACCGCGATCGGCGAGGGTAGCGATATCGCTTACTTTGGTGAATAACTGTGTAGATTGATTGACTTGTTATTATGTTAAAGGGAAGAATCTTAGGCCTGGCTGACTCATCGACTACGGATGGAGCAGTAGAAGGCAGAATGTCACCACTTGAGATGCCATCACCGTCTCGGGGTTCGCCTTCACCCTCGTTGCCGAGATGTGATTCACCTCAGGCAATAGACGGGCGGTATTGTGTAGCGAGAAACGCCTGGTATGCCGCCAGCCTCATGGAAGTGTTAAAACGAACCAGGAGTATTGGAGGGCCATGGGACTTCCACTGCGTTATGGAAAGAAGTGCTATGAGTGGTGTCTTGACTACAAGCAGATGACTAGACGCTGCACTACTTCAAAGGGGTCAAGAGATTAGCTTAAGGAGGAGATAATGGCTTAATATCTGGATTGGGACAGAGCTAAACAGGAACGGGTTGATGAGCTTGTCGTCATAGAAGAAGGAGAGGAACCTCTTCTGAACAACAGGAGAGGCATAGGAGACATATGGAAACGAGTCAAGAGAGATAATGCTGAACAAGAGGCGTTGTATGCTGAGGGTTGGCCCGGAGATTGCATTGTAGTCAAATCATGAAATCAAAGACAGCTTAAACCTAATTCAGGCCTCCAATTGGTCAAAGACCTGTGTAGCAGGTTTGCTTAGTTATTTTCACGGTTACCCGTTACCTGTGAGCCTATTGGGAGCCCTACCGCAGTCGCCATCCAATTCTTCTGGTACATGATCGGCAAAGGCATTCAGAACGGGTATGTGTGCGCAGGAGAGCCCTTCATCTTCCTCCATCAGCGTGTTATGGCAGTGCCAAGGACCTCAATAAACGTTGTCTGCCTAATTGGTCATGCTGGCAGATTGGTTCACTGTGTAACCATCCTTACGTGTTCACTTTTGAAACGTTACCCGGAAGATAGGGTAGCCAGGACGCATTAACTTGTGAGGTGTATCAACTTTCAAAATCTTTTCTACTGCAAATCTGCTTGTTGAAACCAAGAATGCTCCAGTGCCTCGCGTGCAGTAATCCTTCTTGCTGGATCCAAATTCGTCATCTTGCTAATCAAATCCCTGAGCTCCGCATCCACATAATGCCACATCGCAAACGGCTTCCTCGGCCTGTCTGCATCAAAATCAGCTGCGAGGTCGATAAGTCGCTGGAAAAACGGATTGTCCTCGCCGATATGCTGAAGTAGACCCTTGAAGCCGGTCTCGTCTCCAAAGTACGATATATGTCTTCGGAGTATGTGCCGCCAGGCGTCCTTACTGCTTAGCTCGTCATCGCTGACACGAAAGACCATGTCATTGAGCATTACGTAGATGGTTAGCACCCCAAAGGAAAAGACGTCAGATGGTGTGTTCTGCCGGGCTCGGGCCCAAGACTCCGGGCTTCGCCACAATTGGTTCCCACAAAGACAGCCTTTCAGATTCTTGCCGGGAGGAAGAACTACGGCATCCTCTAAATCGGAAATCTGAACACTGTAGATCTTAATGTCGTCCCTTGTAGAGTCTTCGTAGTCGATAAGAATGTTGTTAGGCTTGATGTCTAAGTTTGTCAGATTCAGTAACTTTACTGTCAGTCACCCTAGATAACTAACCAGTGTGAATGATTCCTTTTTCATGAAGCACAACAAGCCCATTGAGAGCGTTTTTGAGGATAGACTTTCTTGTTGCTTTTGAAAGAGCCTTCTGGCTTATTTGCAAGAGGTGGCCAGCGAGAAAAGGGTAGACGAGTAGCTCGAACGCAGGAATAGTGTCGATTGGTGTCCGCAGGCTGGGGCATGGAGCTAAAGAGCTTTGTAAATCTTGCTGGTATTCAAACTCGCCCGGTATCATGTTTTTGAGGACGAAATTTTCCGCGCCGGCACTTAATGCAAAGTTTAGCTATTTGCGCTATCCAAAGTTTATTATTTGAATATACGCACCTTGCTTTGTAAACACAGAGTAGCGGGTCTCGTTGCTCAGAAAGAATCTCTCGGATGCCATATCTCTTACCTGAGCGGCCTTGAAGCACTGACCCGACTGGGAAAGGCTCGGTCTTCGACAATGACACGATGTGGCGGCTTGGATGGTGGCAAAGTCGGACGCTTGATGGAAGTTCAACTTTACTGTGACAGGACCGTCGAGGCGAAAGCAATCTTTGCAAGTTGATTGCTGTCTTTGACGCCATCTGAGTGATGAAGTTATCCTACGCGAGGTCGTTTTTGAGGTCGCAAAGTATGTGGCCTGCACTTCGGAGGCTGTGCTCTTTGTGATGCTGAGGAATGAAGTGATAAGAGGGGAGAAGTCCGCAGGTTTCAGCAGCGCGGAAACATGCGCACGGACATCAGGCGCGCGCTTATCTGGGGCAGAGGGTTATTTATAGTTATTAAGTATATATACACACTAATCTCTAGCTAGTAGTTCTTCCTCTACCCTAGTTAACACAGCCTTCCTACCAGCCGTTGCAGATCTAACAGGAGGAGGAGCTCGGCTGCAATAGTGATGTGAAGTGACGTAGTGCAAAGGTGAAGCGTAACAGCAGAGCAATGAAGCAAGGCACGCAATGACAAGGAGCTGAACAAATAGCAAAGGCAATAATAGCAGTAGGTATGTAGATATCTTTATAGTCGACCCCCTCTTGGGGAAAGGTCTAGTAGGATGGTTATATACCCAATAGGCACGTGTATTTTCACATGCTTGTGGGTGCATCTTACTATCTATGCTATCTACTACCCAGGGTCTACCCTACTGACTGTGTGACCTTTGACACTAGTGCACAATAATCACAGACTATACATGTATAAAATGAATTAGGATACCCAAGGCTTACATCACCTCCAGTATCACACGGTGAACGCTGTCTGAAACTATGTGAGAACTAAAGCACCACCCGCTGTGGCCAGCCAACGCACTGCGTCTCATGATTCCAGAGGCTAATACAAGCTGCCCCTATAACTCATCTTCTTGAACAGAATCAGCCGCAGCATTCAGCGACCCCTTGTACGCATTATCCGGATCATTTCCAACACAGTGAACGCACCAGAATGGTTCCCCGAGTGGTCCGCCTTCTGGCCCCAGTACCTCACCGTTCGGTTAATATGCATCACCTACAAGCTCTCGGAGAGAGAGCTGTTCAGTCCAAGCCTATACACCGTGTCGTCTGACTGTTGCGTCATCTAGATGCGCGCATTTCACAGCATGAGCGCGGAGCAAAAGCCCGGCGAGATGGCTGTGTTACCTGGCTACGGGCTCCACAGATTGCCCATCAACGACGTGTAGAAGTAGTGGAGGCCGCAGCGATACTCCCCACTCTCGCTCTCTCACTCGATAGCTCTACTCCCGCTGGATCCGGCGACATCGGGTCAGGATGCTTGAAGGACTTGACGCGATGTTCAGCACGTCCATGTTCGAGGCGGACTCTGTACCCATGGTCTGCTGCAAGACAAAGACGGAGTTCTGAGAGCTGGTGGCCGCGTCGGAGGGCGGGTGCGGCGCGTTGAGCGGGTTCGTGACGGCGAGTAGAAACTTGTCGGCGGGCATGGACATCGCTGTCTGTTCAACACTTTTTTACTTGATAACTAAACCAAAATAGCAGAAACACTAATCAAGTCATTCCATACGCAGGTCTACATGTATGCAATGCCTTCTTGCCACGGTCGCTTCTGTGGCCACCTGCAGAGTCCGTACTGTATTTCCCAGTTAAATCCGAGCGACATGGGTTCCCAGTAGTTGAGTATATCCTCACAGCTCACATACATCCATTTCTTTTCCTCCTCGCTGTCTCCGTCATCGTCGCTACCGTTTTCTTCTTCAAACTCATCAGCCGCATCATCCCACTCATCCTCTGAAGATGGATATTCGAGACTACCATCGATAGCTTTAATGAAAACGGTTGGCGTCTCTTCAGCCCCCATAGAAGTTGCGTCTTCTTTATCTTGAAGTGACTGTAGACACTCGGCATCCACGTATAACGGATAGGTAAAGAGGACGTGGTCACGATCATTAACGTGGGGAAGATCGCGTTGAAGATCGGCCTCGCTAGGAAGGGTGGAAACCCATGAGGTAAACCTATCCCTTACTTCTAGAATTGAAGCACCTTCCAAATCCGGCCCCTCAATGATATTCAAGCGAAAGATTGCTTGTAATGTTTGGCGATCAGCTTCTGACTGATAGGAGAAAGTATCGTTGATTTGGTGGTTGAGATTTGAAACATATCGGTCCCAGAGAGGTTGATTGTCATAAGTTGTACGGTAGAGGTTAAACCCCCAGCGATAAAAGCTCTCTGGTTGAAGCGTCTTTAAGTGGTCTCTGGCTTCCTTAAATGAATTTGAAACGTAAGGATCCGGTGATAGGTCTTCCATGGTGTGCAACGTAGTGAAAAGTGTGATGAAGAAGAAAATGCGGTAGATGTTGCTAGTAGTGTGACACATTTGGATAACCACTTGAGGGCAAACAGACCTCTTATTCATAGGCCTTGTGGTTTCTAAATTGGCAACATTTGTTAGTGGAACGAAGTGGCAATCCTCAAGCACCAATTCTCAAAGAACCTAATCAAAAACCCTCGCCATACACTCTCCACCAAAGTCACCCTTAGTTAAACTTTTACCTTACACCGGTTGGTCTAAGGTTGAAGCACCCTGAGATTCGCCGACCACCGAAACACAAGACTGAAAATCGTGGTTCCCTTAGCAGAGTTTTTTTCTCTGACGGGGTAACGTCTGACCAGAGGATGGGCCGCAACCTTGAGGCATTGTCGATGGGCTGTGGTTCGACGTACCAATGATAGCTTCATTGAAACCAACAATAGTCACAACAGGCAAACTGAATATGAAAATCCGTAAAGCAAAAAGTCTGCCTTTTTACTTTAGGCAATCACGTTAACAGAGTAAACCTTGAGCGGCAATGGCTTGGTGGGAACACCAAAGACCCACCTAGAGCCTCACGGTACTCAAAGTCAAACTGCGGGTGTAGTCGCATAGGTTTACAGCCCACACATATATCGAAAGTTACGGTCACAAGGTACTTCGATCCAAGCTCTAATCACAAAAAAAGCCCTCAGGGTGTTCTTAGTTGTTTTTTGCGTCCATGGATGAGAGGCAGAAAGTTTACTAGTTCATCTCAGTGACCTGACCCATATCTGAACTCTCAATGACTTTACACCTCCCTGAGAGCCAATCAAGAACGGTATGGCGCGATTGAGGAAGTGAAAATCGTACAGCAGATGTTCACAATCGCGATATAAGGCCCTACGCCTCATAAGCAGTATTATTATAACACACTCTGAATGGCGGTAAGATATGTCTCAACTGAACACCTGAGGAAGTCACATAATGCGTTGGTTTTAATGCACGATCTAGCAAAGCCGCAAGAAAGCTTGAACCACCAAAATCTTAGTTCGAACACAGTAAGAAGCCAAGCGCCAAAGTTTATGTATAAATCTCATCCAGGTGCGCAGCAAACCTAAAGATTCATTGAACCAGCGATATATGAAAGGCAAAGCATCATGTGCCGTTAATCATATTACAGCTTAAGCATTTGAAGCCCACTCGCCACAATTACTAGCTAGACCTGAACCATGGAACTATCAACAAGCCGATCAGGGTTCCTCTCCAAACAGTTATAGAGCCCCGAGCGATGTTGCCCAGAATCAAACCAATTTCTTCTACCTTACCATCTATCCCACCAAGAACCTCAAACGGGATCCTTCCTTGTCAATATGCGCAGGTTTGACCTTCTTGTTTGCATCGGGGGCGTGATTTGGGGCCCTGCCTTGGTCTCTTCACTTGACAACCAACACAACGGACTCGACGTCAACAACCTTCTTGACTGTTACCGCGATCAGGAGTGCAAAGACCTTCACCAACAACATTGCAAGCCAGGTTATACCTATGTTGGTTGGACCAAAGATAATTGCGACGGGGTGAGTACAGAGATCAATTGCGCAACAATATTCAAGTTGGACATTACCAGATCTTGAGCTAACAGTCTCTAAAGGGTAGCTTTGGGAAAAGAATTTGTTGCAATAGTGATACTGTTGAGCGGTTCGGAGTTGACGCTCAGGGTAACAAGAAGAAATGCATATGGCGCGGTGCCGGTCGAAATTGCAACGGCGCTGGTTCTGAAGGCGAGGTTGTCTTATTCAAGTCCGGTAACGGCGGAGGTCCAACCGAGTCCGACCAAAGCCAATGTTCTACAGGCTATAAGTATTTCACTTGTCCATTACCGGAGTGGGACGGGCTTACGTCTGGATGTCGATGGACAGGCTGGTATGTTATGGTTCTCATGCTCACTGCTGATATCTAAGGACGGTAAAAATGAGCTAACAGCAACTATAGCGAGGGTTCCTGTAACGCTGATGAGACTGAAATGGCTTACTCCAATGACATATACAACAGATGTCCGCACCAGGCCTTCTCTTGGGGAGTGCGATATTGTTGTAAAGATGGTAAAAGACCATTGTCGAATTGTCACTGGGTTGGACAAGGACACTGTGACGACAATATATGCAACCCGAATGAAGTCACTGCGGCACGGAATTCAGTTGGCGATGGCTATGGTTGCAGATGTGAGTATTCGAAGAAGGTTTATGGGAGAGAATTGAACTAATACAACTGCTAGTCGGTCGCGAGAAGTCTCTTTGCTGTACTCCAGAAATGGGGACGCTTGAGTTTAATACCTGTTCTGCAAGCCTCTGCGACTACGACAAAGGCCTTTGCGATCTTGATCCTTGGGCCGACGGGCCGGATAATGACGATGACTTCAGCAAACAAGCCTCTCGGCCCTCTATGAACGCTAGCGGAGTGATAATTCGACCTAGAGGATACCCAGGTTCTAGCTTCCTTTTCGACGGTATCGATGGGAACCAGGTGCTTAGTAGAGCTTTCACGTAAGAGAGCGTTTTGTGTCCATTGTTTTGCTACTGCTCACCAAAGGTCTACCAGAATTTCGGACCCAAACTGTCGCGTCACAAAGCTGAAGAAGATTGATCCCAACACCATCACCAAGCCTGAGAAACAGGCAAAATGGGCCACAGAGCATGGAGTTGAGGTGAGATACAAAGACAAGCACTAATGGAACTAGGCAGGGATAACTGACTTTACTTAGATTCAATACATTAAGAGTTTTACGAGTACGGCCGTAACAGGAAATCTCCCTTCGAAACGGAGACTGACGACAACTGGATACATTGGCAAGAAACATATGAATGAATACTTCAACAACCCAAATGGGCTCTCCACTCCGTACAGAGCCACGAATACTAGCAGAGCAACGAGGAATCCCTCGGCTGCCATGTTTGAAGCCATTGGCTCTTACACAAATCGGCGAAGCCTTTTCCTCGTTACACGTTCACTCAACTCTGTAAAGCGCAGGGTGTTCGAAGGCATCGACCCTCTAAGTAAAGATAGATTGCAGAAGTTTGTGGCAGAATCGATTCGTACTGGCAAAGGAGAGGAAAAGTTCCTCCTATTCATCCGTGAGGTAAGTAATTTAAGTTGCTATGTTTTATTGTATCATATTAACCTGAGAAAAACAGACGATTGGAACCTTTCAGTACATACATGACCCAGAAGTCTTGCCGCGAATCCAAGAAACTCGTCGGCGGTTAAGAGAGACAAGCGTCGAAATTTCAACCCAAATTCCAATGTTGATATTTTTCGACGAAATCTGGGATGAATTCGATCCAGACTGGTGGAATACTATGACTGACACTGCCAGGGGCTGGGTGACCAAGTCTATTGCTTATATTGAGCGTGAGTATAGGGCTGCTGCTGCGTCGCCAGCTCCTCCGAGTAACTGGGGAGCTGTTCAACGGGCCATCTATACTCTTAATAGAGACATGGTATATATTAAAACCTTGCCGAGAATATAATGAAGCCGGTTTGTACATTATAAATAGAACCTTGCCGAGAATATAATGAAGCCGGTTTGTACATTATAAATAGATATAGCCTTTGATAGACTTAATTCTAGGTTTATTTTAAGGTTTTAAGTGTTAAGCCTAAAGACACCCAAGGTTTTGATCATCTCCAGTATCTCTGGGTTACTGGCTACATATCGGCCTCCGCCTCCTCACGATGAAGGCGCCCTGGTGGGCTGGTGCAAGCCGCGGGCATTCAGCCGGACGTAGAACCGCCTCGTAGCCGTGACACGGTAGTTACTTTGTGTTGTCGATGGCGTAAAGCATTGCTTTATAGTAAGACCACGGTACTTCATTTCACATGGGTCAGTCTTCTCCTTCCGTCGTCATCTTTGTGCCAAAGACACTTGTGTGGAAACTTACGGTGGTATGTTGAACCGTAGACGGCCCGAACGAGCGCAGACGGGTTTTTAAAGTTGACAACCGGCGGTGGCCCCCCCCCAATCTCGCTTTTGATAGGCTCCGGAAGCTGGTTTCCAAATATCTTCCGACCGTTGTCGATATGGCAGAACTCCAGCTCTGTTGGTCTTAAGCTCGTCGGCGGAACCTGCGGCACCAGGTCCTGGCTGTTCACGACCCTCCAGGATTGCCCCTCCGACTCGGAGACAACATTGTTGTTGTGAGTTGCCCACGACTGGCCTCCGACGCGAGGAGCACCGAACGTGTACTCGTCTCCCATAACCATCTGCACGCCCGGTATCCCACGATCTTGCAGTTGCTGGGTGTAATAGAAGGACGAGTACGAGCCCCCAAGTGAGTGACCCGTGACATGAGCCCTGACAGCGCTGCCGGGCGCTTTAGCCATTTTCATCACACAATCTCCGAGCGCCCCCGTGATAAAGTCGTAGGCAGTCTCTTCGATGCTCTCGAACCTGTCGAAAAGAGCAGTGAAGACGCCGAGAGACACGCGCGTGCCGCCGAGGTATCTCCCGGAATCCGTGAGCTGATAGTTGTAGTCCACTTCGATGTCGCGCAGGTTCAGGGGATTGGTGCCCTTGAACGCCACTCCGACAAAAGGCTTGTCTTTCTGGGTGTCGGTCGAGAAGAAGGCACCGCAGTAAGGGCCGTCCCAAGCAACGTTTCCGTCGGGAGCGGAATGTAGCAGGTCACAGAGGACGACGAAGTCCATGCCCCACGATTGTGCGAGTTCCCGGATGGGGCTGTACGCAGCATAGTACTGGCTAATACAAGCTTGAAGGTCGTCATTCTTCAATGGCCCCTTGGCCTTCAAGTCGGAGTAGTTCTTCCAGGCTTTTCGGAGCTTGCTGTAATCTCGTAGGTACATGGCCATGCTCTCCATGAAAGGGAAGAAAGCCCGTGGCCAAGAGATGGCAGCTTTCCCACCGAAAGCCTGGTTGGCAATGGACGCGTCGATGCTGTTTTTGTTCTGAACGCTCCATTTTTTTCAGGAGGTTGAACACAACGTCACACCTCTCTGGGATAGAGATGAGTTCGGGGTCCTGTAACGGTGCCTCTGGAAGTTCGTGTAGAGCCAGCCTCTCAAGATTGACGTATGCGAGGTCACGGTGAAGCTGAGTCAAAGGAGAAGAATTAAATGCCATTTTGTGGAAGTATTTTTCTCTAATAACTGGGTCGTTCTGGATGGGTATCAACAATGTACGATCCGGCTCTGACTGTCCAAGAGCAACGGGCTATAATAGAGCCTATATATGGTCGTGCTTCACCACAAGCAAACCAGCTGCAAATTTATTAGCCACGGTTTAGCTTTATTACAGGTAGTAATGCGGGTTTTTTTTTCTAGGGTGGAGTTCTAGGTGGAATACTTTTGTCTCACACGCTCTTGGCTAGTATGTCTATCTTGCGATTCAGCTCTGTATCCTGGTATGCGACTAGACATGAACACATCCAGCAGCAGAAAAGTGCTCTACAAGAAAAACTGTTTTCGTCTCAAATTGGCTCGAGATAATTGCACTTGTAGCTCTGCGAGACATCCTTATCTCTAGGCTCCCGCCATGGCCTGATTTTACGAACATAAGCAATCACCCCAAGTCCAGCTCAGCAAGCCACAGATACACACCACTTCTCGATCCTCACTATGTGTATCTTCTGAAGTGCTGTCACGCTTACAAACAACAAAATACCTCTGGCTATTTGCGACGTGCTCAGCTCTTGGCATACTGTTCAGCTCTATACGATCATGCTAGTTTCTAGTTGTCTTTGTGAAAATGCCCTTTTCGCTCCATTTGATCTAGGCCGCGGATTGTGTGGATCAGGGTTGAAGCGGAACAAGACGGAATTGATTACGACAATCCAGTCTACTTGTTTCTGTACTACATAAGAAAGCCTGTAGAGATTGTCAAAGAGGCAAGCCTGGCCTAATAACATGGGCGATGCGCAGGGTCGTAGGGATATAAAGTCTCAATTGTATTAAATCTTTTCTCTAATCCCCAGTCCTCTCTTCCCATAGAGTAGCTGTCGTGCTAGAAGAAAAGCAATGCCACCCGCTACAACAACTGACATGTACAGGCATGCTAATGCGCGCGTGCCAAAGTTTTGTAGCATCTCTCCTCCCAATGGACTAGCAATCAACAACGAGAAACTGACAAAGAAGTACATTGTCCCTGCTCACAAATTAGCGATTCACGAAACTCATCAACGCTAGTAGGGCAACAAACCAAAATATCTTCCATAATCTTCACTCTCGCATGTCTTGCCCATGCAGACTGGAGTTAATGAAATAAATGATCCACTGCCGAAGCCCCAGAGCGCGGAGAATGCATATAGCGCGCCCAACGAGCTAGAACCAAACGGGACTAATATGGCTCCAGTAAAGATCGCAGTAACCAAAATCATGGCGAGCAGGATATTGAAGTGGCCAAAGTGATCACCAGCTAATCCCGGCAAAAGGCGACCTGCCGTGGACATGGCGTTGGCGACGGCAACCAAGCCAAAGCCAGTATCGGAAGGAAAGTTGGCGGCAGTCGCATAGGTCGGGAGAAGAGAAAAGACGCCGAATGCCGCAAACTCAAGGGCAAAAAGCCCGATGGTTACAAACGTGAAGGTGCCGCTTGTGAGAGCCATGAAATTCAGCGCCACTCTCTTGCGGCGTCGGTTTTCGGAAGCGGCTTCGACGACGGGCATCGACTGCTGAAGACAAGCAGCTCCTGCAACCATCACAGCCGCCAGTAGAAAAGCTAGACTTCTCATGGCCCAAGCCCATCCAAGACTTGGCAGAAGGCTCCGAAGCGTCAATGGCAGCACAACCCCGCCGAGACTTGAGCCGCAGAGGGCGATACCCATGGCAAGGCCACGTCGACGTACAAACCATTTGCCAACTATTCCGACCCCGACCATGGAGAGTATTGCAGCTCCCGTCCCACCCCAGACTCCAAGTACCAGCATGAAGTGCCAGTATACACGGCATTCTGCCAGCACAAAGAACGTGGGAATATAGATGATGCATCCAATTGGACCCAGAACTCGAGGCCCATAAGCGTCAAACATTGGCCCGATTTGGATGCCTAAAAACATGGCCAGCGACGTAAAAGTCCCTGCTATCCAACCAACGTCTCGTGAAGAGTAAGACGACAATTGATTCAACTCGAGATGAGATTGGATGGTACCAATAGATTGCATAAGACCTGGACAAAGACATTCAGACATTTATTTTGCCTGGAACTGCATCGTATGATAGGACGTACCGTAGCTAGGAAAGAGGAAGAGAAAAGCACCAACAACGGTTATCCATGCCTTGGCACTTGTTTCTCCGGTCTCGGCCAAGGGCAACGGCCTCGATGGTTCCAAGTCTGCATTCAGGGTGAGTAGCTCAGTGTCATTTCCACGACCAAAGCCACTCTGGCCTACTGGAAGAACCTGGATCGAAGCAATGCTCCTAGAACGGGACATCTTTGGTTGGGAAGGGCGCATTTAGTATGATGAAGGAGAGAAACATTTCTTGTTCTGGGGAAGACTACGCACGGTATTTGACTCATAACGCCGCGGACGCTCAGCACCGGATTGGGAATAGCGTCCGACCCTGCTTATCATATCGCAACGTTCCTACATGTCAGACCAACGCAATGCATCGACTAGGACCTGGCTCCCCCTCACCAACCCCCTCGCCGTACACATTAGTACCGACGTGGTAGCTTCGGAATTAAGTAACTCGCTTCTTCGGTAGTCAGGTGATGATGATTTGGACTTAGCTGTCTCCTTCTCTGGCTACGTTCCATCTATGATGACTCCCGGCTAGTTAGTCGTAAGAATACATAGTCTGCGTCCTAAATCGCTGATACTCGGCGGACGTCATTGGCGGAAACTTGGCCTTTTTCTCCTCCGTGACAAAAACATCCATAGGGCTTACATCCTGTCCTCGAGCCGCCTTGAAGAAAAATGCTGTCGAGTAACGGTCAGGAAGAAGCCCAGCTTCTCCGCTGCTGTTGACGTCTTGATCGAAGGTCGAGGGCAGTACTACACAATGCACACCTGCAGGTAATTCACCATTTGTCCAGCGCTCGAGTGTATCGCTGACGTTAAGAATCATGATATTGCCTGGCTCAGGCTCAACGGGCAGAAAGTCTGGCTCATCGTCGTTCTTCCCGTCAGCTTGTAGATTTGGATGATTTTGGCATTTGGCTCGGTTCTCGATCTCCAAGCCGCCCACACCATCCTGGAAGAGAGGTGTGATGAGACCAAAGTCTGTGTGAGGCCAAATCCGTGCCGCCTTGCCCTGCGTGATGAGTGATGCCGGGACAGGGGGGTAGTGAGCTAGACGCAGATCACTTGCATCAGGCTTGATGCAGTTAGTAAAGGCGCCTTTGGGAAGAGAAAAGCCTGTCTCCAAGATAGCCATGATCCTTACAGCAAAGGTGTATATGACAGTGTAGTATGATTCAACAAATGGCTGAAATCCGGGCAGTGACGAATTTGGCCAGCGAGTCGGGAAGAGAATATCGGTAACATCACCAACATCGAAATGTTCCTAGAAGCCAAGATGTTCATATGCGGCTCATATAACAGGGGATAGCCATACCTTGACGTCTGCGCGCTCCACGCCCTTGGCACCTTGTAAATATCCCGTCGACTCGTCGCCGTACTTGGACCATCCCCGCTGGGGGGTGTTTCGGCTAGGCGGATGGTGCGCCTCTTGTTTATCTTCGGGCGTAAGGGAGAAGAATTCGCGCATCTGGGTTGTTATTTATCAGTCACGTGTAGGAACAAGTCGAAGCGTGATGTGTGGACCTACCCAGCGAAAGAGGTCTTGAATCATGTTATCGGGGATTCCGTGGTTTCTTAATTTGACGAACCCGGTTCGCTTGAAACTGTCAATCAGTTGGGCTGCAAATTCGGCCTCATGTCCATCATTATGAAACTGGAAGTGGCTGCAATCAAGAGTAGGCACATGCATAGGGTGGCTTGAAGGCTTCATATTGAAGTATCAAATGTGGGACGGAGAAAAATTGATAAAAAGCTGCCGCGTTGAAGTTGAACGAAGTGCTCTGGTATCAGTGGGTGTAAGACAGTATTGAGGACGGTTCACCGCGGACATTATATATCTGGACCTTGAGACTTATGAGAAACTCAGTAATTGCATTGCATGGTCGTAAAGGTATATTTTTCTATCCCTTTGAGTGCTCCAGGACAGCAGACTTGTCGCGGACAGGAATATCGACCAATAACCGTGAGTAGAGTCAATGGCTATGCAGAAATTAAGCATCTCTCAGTACACACTAGGTACTGTCATAGCTACCTACCTATTAGGGCTAAAGGGCCGTAAATGTATATAGGGGCTGAGTTGAAAGCTGTGGAACGAATACAACCTTGCTGCCTTCGGACACCACATGAAAGCAGGCCCGGAAACATCTCGGATCCAATAAGTCAAATGTTACAACCCAACAGACAACAGGCAGCTAGAGCGCCACCAGGCCCTGGAAGCGCAGGCAGCACAACGTCTTGTAGATTAACAGAAGGATAACTCCCGTGCTTTGACTTAGGCCTTCAAGAATCCCTCTTCTAGTGGAAACCAATAGGTTCTATCCTGGCGGTATATTTTTAATGTAAGTCAAAGCACCCACTTATGGCCCCCCCACCCATATGGCCCACCCCAAAAATGCCGCCCAGCCACCGACTTTCTAGATAACCTCTAACTTCAAACTATCACAACATTTTCTATTCTTCATCAAATCACTTTATTTTTTTAGGATATACTCTTTAATATACTATGACCTAATATACTAAAGATAAGATCTAAGGGGCACTTGCTAATATTAAAAACGGTGTATCTTCTTAGGTTACCTCTAGGCAATAGGGTATACTATAATTAACACTTTAGTATTATATAAATAGTTATTAACAGAGGTTAATTACCTTTAAGGATCTCTAGTAACTATTAACTACCTAGAAGGCTAGGCTAGCTACTTAGGTAACTAGCTAGGCTAACCTTAGGCTACTACTAACCTATTAATAACTAAAGGACTTTACCTATTATATCCTCTATACTATAGGGGATACTTAACCTCTAGGTAAAAGGTAGGTAGATAGCTTTATTTAAAGGAACTTATCTATTAAGGTCTAGAGAAGTTAATTTATTAATTTAAGGTATATTAATAAGGCATTTACTAAGGTTATTAGGGACTAGTTTAAATATCTTACTATACTTTATATTTAGGCTATTAAACTAGCTAATAGATATAATATAGATAAGACTAGTATTCTTAAAGGTAAAAGTAATAATAGGTTAATACTAGGTAAAGCTAAAATAAAGGTAGTAAAGAAAAAGTAGCCTAGATTATATACCTAGGTATCTATTATTAAGTATATATTTACTAAGGGTATTCTTATTTATCCCTTAGTTATATATAAGGATAAAATAGTCTAGTAGTAGTAGTTCCCTCTAGATTTTACCTTATATAATAAATAAAAGTTTATAGTAATAAAAAATAAATAAACTACTAATAATACTACTATTAAATAGCTATAAAAGGTCTTTTTTTCTTAGACTAAGCCTTTTTAGCCTAATTAGGCTAAACTACTTATCTTAGATAAGTATAAAAGCTATATAATAATAGATTTTATATAGTTATACTATATTAATAATATTTATCTTTTATTCTTACTACTATATACCTCTTATGTCCTTTAGCTACTTAACTAGTTAGTCTTTAGTCCTATAAAGGTAGCCTATTATAAGGAGCTTAAGTATTTTAGTTAGTAAAATAATTTAACTATTATTAGTAAAAGGAACTTTATTAGCTATTATTAAAAGGCTTACTAGGCTAGTCTAACTATAGGTAATATTAAGAGTAGCTAGAAATACACTAGGTTATAGCCTATTAGTGTTATAAAGCTACTAATAAATAGGCTACTAGTTTAAAAGGCAATATTATTAATACTAACACTATTAACACTACTTAAAGCAGCTACTAAAGATACCTATAAGGGCTAAGATACCTAGGATATAGATATATAAGCATCTAGTATAAAGTAGTCTACGCTAAGGAAAATAAAGGACCTTAAGGACTAACTATAGCTTTTTAGCTAACTAGACTAGCTAGAACAAAATATTACTATATAACGCTAGCTCTTTAGAAAGGTTAAAAAAGGCTTCTAAGAATAGTCCTATATACTAGCTGCTGCCTAGCAAAAAATAGGCCTTCTAGAAGCCTAGGTTACTAATAGTAAACCTAGGAAATAGAAGGCTATTTATATAGATGCTAACATAAAGTTTATAATAATTAAAGAGGTGTAGTAAGCCTAGATAGAGGTAGGCAAGGTTAAAAGTAATATAGATAAATCTAGCGCATTAGAATTACCTAGTGAGGCCAAAAGCTGCATTATTATGGCATCACAAGGTTGTTAATAGTTAATTAAATAAAGTAGTGGTGTTGTGATAGCATCGTTCTTAAGGTGGGCCATATGGGTGGGGGGGCCATAAGTGGGTGCTTTGACTTACCTTTACCTCCGATGTCCTGGCAATAGCATTATGGTTAGGCTTTATCGGTATTCTTCAAACAGCAACAGCAGATCATGATTGGCGATGCTACGCAGTAGGCAACAATGACCTTTGGGTTTGAGCCGGGAATGCCGTCAACTGTCTTGCTGCTGGTGATCACAGGAGCCGCCACAGATCATCATGCGCTATTCTTGGAATAGATCAAGTACCCAAGACGCCCAGCGCATGATCTCCTACACCCAGCGCTATATGATACTGCATCTATCTTGTTCTTATGTAACCTCTGGCGGGGACCAGAACAGAGCGAGAGAATCACGCAAAGGACCTTGTGAAACTCGAAAAGCTAATCACACCTGCAAGGAGAGTAACATTCTCTACTGTAATAAGTGTGTGACGGGGGAAGCGATGTAGCCCGACGGAAGGTCAAAAGGTCCTACACTCGATGAGGGGCTGCAGGTTTAATGTAGTTGGTTCCTTCGACACCGAGATAGTTGTGGTGATCACATGGAGGCTCATCCACTGATCGTATATGCGCATGTAGGCAATACTGTGACTGCAAGGTGTCATTGCCAAGGCGGTTGATGGACCATTTGGTTTGTTCAAGTATGCGCGGAAGTTCCCCGAACGCCTTTGTCAGGTCAGCATAGCCGATGACACCGGCGACAATGCCTTTGCATCCGAGAGACCATGTTTCTTGGCTGGCTGGCTCTGCGAGAGGACTAGAATGTCAAATTGATGATGTTGTGATGAGGTAGGTGTGTGCAGATGGCCAAAAAGAAAAAAAGGGGAGAAAAAAAAAGAACATTCAAAGGTCAAGAAAGGCCAGATCTGCATGCGCTCGCGCAACTTCTGGCGTGTTGAACTTGATAAGGCTTGGAGCCATGCCTTCAGGGTAAGAGTCTCGCCATGAGAATTGACATAGAACGTTGACACAGTGCAGGTGATGGAACACCTCTACTCTAGCCACGTATCCGGGATTGTATGTATCGTTATTGACCTGCACCAAGCCTTGCTCGATGCTTCGATTGAGAAATGAGATGGTGTGGGGAGGAACAACAGCAGACGGCACTGGGGCCTAATATAAGCTCAGTATTCCACGTGAGTTGATACAGTGACCGGCCTTCTACGAGAGCTTTCCATTTCGATTCCATCTCCCTTGTAGGGGAACCTGTGAAGGGAGAGTTTTTTGTCGCAAAGATGCCGATCCAGTCGCGCTCCTCGTATTCTGTAGCTTCCATCAGAGGGGCTCAAGATCAACCGACGGTCGGTATGTTTTCAATGGTGTATCAAAAATCCCATACGATGATAATAGGACCGCCTTACCACACTTACACCAGATGCTCAGTTGTGCGACGCAAGCTTTGTCTGATGGCTCCCGTGTAAGAGCATTCATCGTCATCGTGGTTCCGGTGAGGAACATTGAGAAGCACACTATGCTCCAAATAAGGTTGGACTAATTACTCGCGAGGCGACTCTTCCCGCTCTATGTGACGACCTCATCAAGCTCGGATGATGTTATGAGTCATTTTCCTCCCGCATTCGGGAGTAGCCGCTCATGATCTTCATGGGTGGTGACTGGGAAGGGTGTGAACACGCTAGGATTGGGGGCTCAGAAAAGTAAAAACTTCAAAGAACCCAGAGGTCGATGAAAGGTTCTATGTGTGGTGTAGATTTTGCTGCTGCTGGAAAACAGTTTGGCGAACAAGGGATCGAACAGACATGTATGAGTCCTGCAATCTCAAGATTTTTGTGGGCATGGCAAAGACCCTGAACACCACATCTTGTTGGCCCACGGGAAAGTCGGCAGGTAGGTCTCGAACCTCCCTCGAGAGACGAGCCCGCATTTCCGAATGATGGAGCACGCAATCACAGGTCCGGGTGATCAATCAGTTCCAAGGCTTTCGTCAACCCTGTTGCCTAGTAATGCTGCTTGGCATTGTCAAAATCATGGTCTGATAACATGATATCACATGCACTACGCCGCAATGGCACAGATGAAGAAAGATCATATGCTATCAATGATGACTCTGTCCAATCGGTCATCTTACACATGGATGAGTGGCAGTGATGGAGTTAAGGGAGTCTAGTTAACCTTACTCTTAGCGCAGTCACTTCGACTCAGGGGACCAATGGACGAGCATTTGGGTTCCCGGGACTGCCTCATCTCATGGCTATGTTCCAACCACCGCATCAGGCCATACCAAGAATCAATTGCGCGGGATGTATTAACGCTGGTGCGTCCGGGACCCCGTACGGATTTCGGGCCGTTGCCTTGGTTTACCCAAGGAGTGTTGCTTCGCTGGTGGTTTGGTCTTAGAGAATAGGCCTCTGCTTCCCACCTTCCCATGTAGGCTTATCAGTTCTTGTGTATCAGGGGGTTAGTCTGGGCATGCATGCGAGCTACGGTCACCTGTAACGGCGAACCGCATTAGCAAACCAATGCGAGCAAAGCAAGGGTTTGTTTGTTTTTCTTGGATTGATATGAGTCACCCACTTGTCACACGTTAAGTGAATGTTGATTGGACGGGCCTTCCTAATAGTCGACCGAAGACGTGCACGATGACTTCCCTTCCTTCGTTTTTGATTATCGATACCATATTGACCGTCTGGGATCGAGGAGGGAGGCCAATCATCGGTTCGAAAAGGGTTCAAGATGGGTGTGCCGCGCGCTTGTGGGTTCTCGGGGTTGAGCGCCCGAGAAGACTGCGAAAGGCTGCAGCCAAGCGACGTCCGGATAACAACATCGAGTTGTGGTCTTGCCGTTGCGGGATTACCGGTGGAGGTGGGCTCTGAAGTGGACGTCGCCATCCTCAGCGGACTACCCGACACAAAGCTGGTAGCTGAAGGATACTGGAAGTCGCTGAAGTATTGCGACATTGCCTATGAGAACTAGGTTGTACATACTCAGAGACCAAGCAAACACTTAATTATTTTGTGGACACCTTATCGTCATGGGGAACATTTGACGAGCCAGCTGATGTCGGTGATTTTATGCTTTCCGCTCTTCTGGAGTGTGGAGTCGTAGGACTTGTCTGGTGTGTTAATCGGGCTTAGTTCGGTTCGGCGAAGACGACAGGGCAGGCGGATGCGTGCGATCGCTCTGTGCCGCTGGCGATGTCGCTCGCAGGAGAATCGTACATTGTCGGACCTGGCGGAAAGAAAGATGCTTAGCAAGGTGCAACGGTCTACGAATGGCCTAATAGCCTACCTACTGAGGGAAACAGTAACAGCAGAAAGAGGGCTTACAGTAAAAAAGGGAGGAGAGAAGAGGAAGTTCCGAATACTCAAAGTTGACGTTGCCTTACAGTAAGAGAGGTAGGCAGGAACAGGCTAGAAGGCAATACCCGGGGGTAACTTAGTCAGCGCTGTGAGCTAAATACCTCCGTGAGGAGGGGGTGTTTAGCTTTGGCGAAGGCTGACTAACACCCCCGGGTAGGTGGTTGGTGGTTTGTCGAGGCACCAACCTTAGATAAGCAAAGCGCAGACAAGTATCCGTAATACTATCGAAAATGAACTCTTTTCCTTATCTAAGCTAGCGATCACCTGACACTCAACAGCCGAGCCTTTTGGAATCAAATCGAATCAGAAACGGACGGACAAGATGACCGTCATCCACTTCATACACAACACACAGCTGGATACGGCCCGCCGAACCAAGGCACAGTTACTCGGCTGATGAGGCATCTGTGGTCCCCGGGTTAAGCTAAATCCGAGCCCCATTGGGTGTCAACATGAACAAGCACCCGGCTACTATGTACAAGGCATCTAACCAAAGGCAGTGAACAATACAAACAAACTGTAACACCTGTACTGCAGAGGAGTCGTCAAACTGCAACAAGGCTTGTAAGAAGCTGTGTAAGGAGAACAGCACGAGGTCCGGGCTTCAGGGACGTAGTAGTATGGATGTTGTGGGCTCAAAGGCGGGATCCAAGTGGGTACCGTACCGGGGCACCGCTGGTGGGGCGACGGTGCGGCATCCTTCGGCCCCACCAAGGCATACAACGAGGCCGGTCGGCAGCAGTGGCCTTGAAAAAGAGGTGGTGACAATCTGAGAGAAGAGCAGTACGTGAACTGGATATCGACGGGACTGCATCTGCTGCCGCAATTAATGCAAATGGCAATCAAAGATTTGTCTTTAACCTTTTTTATTCCAAGTCTCCTACACCTCCCGTTCTGACCCCGCTCTGGCTGTTAGTATCACAGGCAATCGCTAAAGTGATACAATATCGTATTATCGGGTTATTCTTGATGTATCCAGTGACATGTGTGTTTGGAAGAGGTTCGAACTGGCATTCTGGATGTTAGCCCTTTCAGCATTGCCTTGCGATGTCGGCACATTGTAACACATGGATCTTACGCTGACAGGGTGTGCCCGTGAGCCTATTGGGAGGCAGCCTGAGACCCATGATTAGAAACGCAGTGGACGGCCTGCCACTCCGGTCATTTTTTGCTTACCTTTGGCTTGGGGTAGAAACCACATCCGTATGTGGGCTTGACTATCTTTCTTGGCCCCGCTAGGGCACCGGTCTAGTGATGGAGGTACTTACACCTACCATAAGAATTAAGCTAGGTTGGAGCTATCGAATATATGCATAATCCAGCCTCTTTGGCTAGGCCCCTCATGTCCATGTATTGTATCCTCTCAACTGTCAGCCGTCGTTCGCTCTGCCTGATCGGACGAGCGCAAACTTCAACCGAAATGGCCGCTCCAGCTCTTGTCATTCTACATAGTCCAGTCGGCGAATGTTAGGCCGCGGATTGTGCGGATCAGGGTTGAAGCGGAACAAGACGGAATTGATTACGACAATCCAGTCTACTTGTTTCTGTTTCAATCTTGCAAGATCCATCACCCAAACTGAAGCGATTCACTTGAGGAAGTTAGCACCAGTCTTGCAGGTACTCTTGCAGGTACTTGCTTCAAGCATCAATTCGTACTCAATGGCCGCTCTGCAACAAAGCTACCATGTCCTTTTCCTTTCTTAGCGATACAAACAAAGAGACAAATCAACCAACCATACATCGGTTCCCCCAGGGAATATTTCTTTAATTGGGTTTGGGCAAGGATTATGGAATAGTTTTAGACAAGTTAGGAATCAGAGTTGAGTGTAGTATATGAAAAGAATGTAGTCGCTCTAGACCCATAAGCGAACTAGTGCAGTTCAAGGGACATGAGAGGCAAGGAGGCCTATTGTCGCCCCAAATGATCATTCAAGTGGCTTCCGGATTTCTGTAACTGAAAGGCCCGGTTCCTATGGCCACATGAGTCAATGCAGGCTCTTGGAAATCTTGGAGTTTATTATTTCAGTTGACCTGCTCTATCCGGTGTACAATATCGTTCATCCCCGGACTAGGCTCAATGACCATGGCGGAGAGGGCATTTCCATACGCGCAACCAGAGTCCAGGCCGTATGCGTATCTAGTCCAAGGGCCCCGTGCTCCTTTATCGTGCAGTTCCGTCGGAACGTCCATCTCTTGCTGGTCTTGCAGCCCCGCCCTGGCGTCATGGCCGTACACGACAACTGTGCGCTGTGCCGGCATCTCGATCGAGTTCTGCGTCTCGTTCCAGGCATCTCTCCAAGGCTTCCCAACTTCGGCCTCGACGGGGATGGCGTCCTGTGTACGGCTTGGAGGAGCCTTCGTCGTCTCGCCACAACCCTCAGATGCCGCGGCGCTTAGCAACCCGGCGTCGACTTTCTCGTCTCTCGTAACTTGGAAAGCTGTGCGTCGACACCAGCGATCTCGAAGCCCTTTGGCCAGAGCTTCTCGAACGGCGTCCGAGTGAGTTTCACTGCTTGGGAGAACGAGGCTGCGCATGTTCATAACGGCCCACGGATCTTGTTCCTCCAGAGGAAGTGACTGCACCAGACCGCCGTGAACGACCACGACCGAACTGGCATTCCATGGTGGGCTGACAGCGCCTCTGAAGGGCCCAATGCGTAGGATCAGGGGCAAGGACGACAGCCAGGCAACTTGGGCGTCGGACAGTTGAGTCGCGGTGACAAAGTCGCTCGATACCGCGTAGGGGATATCCGGAGGCAACGGCGCGCTGCTGTTCTCGAACGGAGGTCGCCCATCGCCGCCAGGGACGCTGGAAATTCGGCCAATGCGGAGGAGTCTGTGGGCTGCCAGCACGCGGTCTTCGTTGTTGCCCCTTACTGCACTGGCACCGTGGTCCATGGCCAGCTGCACCACCCCGGGGCTGTCAGGTCCCTTGTTTATAAGATCGCCCGTGAATACGAGGTGATCACCTGAGGCTTTTTCAAAGCCGATGTTTCCCAAGAGTGTCTTCAGTTTCGAGAGGTGTCCGTGGACATCTCCGACAACGACAAGTCTCCTACGCAAAGCACACAGTTCTGCCGACGGCGAGAGGATTGGATCCAAGTCTCGGATCAGCTCCTGGACATGTTGCTGTATCAGTGCCGATTCCATTATGAGTGTGTGCTTGTTGGTCTGAAGCGATCGGGACGCGGTGTGCGGGGAGGGCTGGCTGTGAGTGAGACTGCACGACAGCGAATGGAATAGGTCTGTCTAGTCTACGCCCTTTGGTAGTCACGCCGGAAATATGGCGGATCGTTCCTCCGACACATTGCATAATGAAAGTCTTCGCAGTTGTTATTGCGCATCGTACATCAGCTCAGAGTGAAGCGCCGGCCAGAGTTCACTTGCGGCTCCATGTTACGTGTTGTGGTCATCATTGAGGTTGATTTTGGCGTGAAATGTAACTTTCGTTAGAGTGGAAAATGTTGGAAAGCTGGGGTTCCTTGGGTTAGTACGTACTGCGTCATCTGTGCGCTTTTATACTTTTTGATAGTTGTCTGGAATGCCAGACGAGTAACCTCTACTATGGATGCACGCCCAGGGAATGAAAGTTGAGCAGCTATCTGCTGAGTGGTGGTAACGCCGATTAGCTACTTTGAGATCCGTCTGCCTATGGCCTCCCTCTCCTGTATGATAACTTGCTAGTCAGCTTTGCAGTGTTAACCCACACACATGCTCTCATGCTCCAAAACATATATCAACCTTTCCCCTTTTCATCCATCCATTTTCTATTCTTTGACGGTTATGTTAAGTACAACGGACTTTAATAGAAGTTGGCAGTGTCTCTGCTGCGCGCTCTGCTCGCCGTGTTATCCAAGCCCTCCCTCTCTCCCTGGGCCGTAGCCGCTTACACTATGGATACATAGTAATGGAAAAGGAGCAGCGGGTCTTGTTCTGTCCATTCATTGACCACAGTTGGCCCTCTTATTTCCCTGTTGCCGCCGAGACACTAACTTGGGTAGCGCTGGAGTTCAAAGGGGCGCATGGACGGTCTCCATCCTTTACAACCGTTCAACAGTGGAACCGCTAAGAAATAATATGTATCCAGCAGGACTTGGCAACAAGGATGGTCTCAGGGATACGATCGACTGCACCAACGAAGAAAGCGTTGATTGTCCAATCCCAGAACAAAACCCCTCACTGAACAGCACACTGCGGTTAATCATCTTCGCTACTGCGGTTAATCATCTTTGCTACGGCGCATAAATCCTAACCGTAGGCGCGTTCGTTTATTTGTGCCTTGGCTAGTGGCCTATGTTTTCTTGTAGTCCATTTTCAAGACAATAACCGCCGATTCCTGAGTCACCTTTTTTCCAACCAACCAAACAAACCAGCCACCACGCTCCCAAGTCCTTCCAACTTCCAATTTTCAACTACAAACCCGACAAAAACATAGACCAAAACCACATCGAAGATCCAATCCCAATTATGGTGTCTTTAACCGAATTTCCAGCCGAGCTTCTCGGCCAGATATTCCGTGGATTGCCACAGGCGGATCTCGCTTCGCTCTGCAAAGTCCAATCCACCCTGCGCGAAGCAGCAGTACCACTGCTCTACGAGAACGTTCACTTTCTTTGGAATGATTTGGATGTTCCACCTATCATCCAATTCCTCCGAAGCATTCTCATCCACCGGGACTTGGCACTGCACGTCCGCCATCTCGAGCTACTGGGCACAAGTTTTCACAGGTCGTCGCCCTACGCAACGCCCAAAATTCCCGTGGACACGAATCTGATCGGTCCGCTGATCAGCGCAATTGAGAATTTATCCTTGCCGTATGAATCATCTTGGGTCGAACAGCTCCGTGCTGGGACGATGGACGCATTCACAGCGCTTCTCCTCACACGGATTCCAAAACTGAGAAGTCTGCGCATAGAGGGAAACTTCTCCCAAGAAGCGCGGTTGTCCGGTAACGTGCTTCGATCAGCTCTCTGCGACCACAGTGGCACCAACCTTCCTGGTTTCGAGGATCTTCATACCGTAGTCTCCAAAAGCGTGTGGAGTCGAACTCGAATAATTATGATGCCGAATACCGAGGACCTTCTACCGTTGTTCTACCTTCCAACTTTACGAAAGCTCGAGGCACTCATTGACACGCCACAATCCGGACAAATCAAGTGGCCAATCAGTCCACCCAGACTATCGAACCTCACATCATTGAATCTGCGGGTTCTGCGAGAAACGTCAATCGAGCAGGTGTTGCGTGCGACGCCCTGCCTCAAGTCTCTTACATGGCACTGGGTCTACCTCGCTGAAGAACGCGAACTACCTTGGGGTCCAATCATCAATCTCGAGATGGTTGCATCTGCTTTGAGCTGTGTGCGAGACACGCTTGAAAACTTGAAAATTAGCGCCAGCGTGTGTTTGGGTGTCCACAACATTGATTATGACTCCATGGAAGTGCGCGGTGATCTGCGTTCCCTATCCGCCTTCCAGCTGAAGACCCTCCAAATGCCATGGCCCTTCTTTGTGGGGTTATCAATAGACCGTGGTTTGCAGTTTGGACAAGTGGTTCCGACATCGGTAGAACACCTGATCGTCTCAGAAGATTTCCCAATGATTGAATGGGAAGACGAGGAGATGATCGAGCAATTGCTTGAATATGTAGGAGGTCTACAACCGTCTGGAGATCAGTTACGGAGTCTGCATTTGGTGTCACACTATGACTCCTTCCCCTGGATCAATAGCGATAAGTCGGCTAAGAGGAGAGAGGACATAACGGAAGTTTGTACAAAGCATGGAGTTGAGTTTAGGATAGTTCAAGATTGAAACTTCTTCCAAAGGAAGTTAGAAACGAGGAAAAGATAATGGAAATAGAGGAGTGATATTTGAAATATTATCACGAAGCAGGCCTTCTTGAGGGGCATTTCATGGAGTTGAAAGTGGCTTGTTCTTTTTATTACTACTATAATAGAGGTCGTTCTTAAATTCTACTTTGTGTGTGGGCTCACGGATCGAAGTGGGTATTGCGAACCGTCGTCGTTCTGGAAGGCGGTGTCGTGCCGCAGTATAAGTGCCCAGCCCACCGTATGGCTCTGTGACAAAGATATATATAAACAGTAGAAGGAAAGAAAGTAGAAGAATAAACAAATTCAAGAAAAGAAAAATAAGAAGAAGAAAAGCAAAGAAACGTCAGGTACTAATAATAATCCGGCAACTTTGATTTAAATTCATTCCTTAAAATATGGTTCTATGACTTCTATTGTAAACAAACACTCTTAGGTAAACAGAAATTGATTACTGGTCTTCACCTTATTCTCCCTGACACAAACTGATCTTCTTTGGGTATCCATCAGCTAGCCCACCAGCCAGAGTTGACAAGTCATACATCCACTCTTCGTCTCTTTCATTCTCGTCTATGGCCAAGGTAAAGGCTCTGAGGCCTACTTCTGGCCGACGAACGAACTCAGCACAACCCCAATAGCCTGTTGTCTTTTGAATCAGTTAGTTCCGCGGTCGGAAATGTGTGCTTCCGTGCACTTACATCAGATTTTGTCCTTGGTGTGTTGCAGGGATCAATTGCAAAAATACCCCGACCCGTGTTATCGCCGACACCTCTCTGGACTGTCGTTACACGCGCATTCATCTTACTCAGATCTGCGTCTGGTTCGGGATGGATATTGTAGAATGCATGGGCAACTAACTGCTCGCCGCATTGCCCATTGTTCCGGTGCCGATCCTTATTTCTGTCGGCTTCGGGGACATTGTGCATGAAGGTTTGCTGGCAAAGATCGAGTTGTTGTTTCACTCTGTTCGCCCGGGGCCGAGAATCAGGGTGATCGGGATCCCCGTAAGAGAAGGATGTTTGGCCCTTTTGCGACGATGACAGGATAATTTCGTCTCCGTACGCCAATGCCGTAATGACGGTTGGCCTGATATATTTGGATATGTCGTACTTATTGGGCTCTTCCAATGCTTCCATCTCTTTGTAGGCCTCAATGGCTAGGCTGGTGAGCTGTTTATCGCTGATGTGGGTTACATCAGTTGCCTGCTTGAATTTAAGACGAGAGGAGAAAACGAAAGAGCGTTTCGCCCCTGCCTTGTCCTTTCCTGTCCCTGCGCCGTTATTGTCTGACGGCCATGAGCGAAACAGGGAGAAGTCGAGCTGTATTCCGAGTCTCCCAGGAGTGTGTTCTGTGGAGACATCCCAGGCGCATAGGAGGTGAGCGAGAGAAAGAATAAGGCAAAGGACCCAGAGTGGACGGGACTTATAAGCAGGGTGGCTCATGATGAACCCGTTTTGCTGCCGTTTTGATTTCGTCGTGGTCGTTCCCCGTCGCGGGTGTATTCCTTTATTGCTTGGAGATATCCAGAAGGAGGGAAGATACCCCGTTTATCAGGAGTCTTCAACCCGTTAAGACAGGAGTGACTCCTTGAATAACAGAATTAGAATGTATTAAAAAGAAACAATCGTACGAAAAACACAGGTATCTAATATAGAGAATGTATAGAGGATAGATATAAGTTTGTTGAAGCTCCATATTAGCATATGCCCTTCCGTTCCAGTTTCCCCTTCTCATAAGCCAGCCGCATGACCAACTCAGTCTTACTAACGAAAGCGTACCACCGAGATCGGAAAATGGCCGGCGGGCTTCTCAGAAACTAAAATTACTCGGTAGGCATTACGCAGGTGACTCTAACCGCAGGTGACGAGCTGGGCCGGGTGATTTCCAAGGAAGCTCCCCAGTCGTAAGTCTCCAACGAGCACAGGGGTATTGTGACATGTTGGCGAAATTACACGTAAATATCCTTGGCCGTACGGAGCTGGCTAGATATCCCGCACCTGAATTCTGCATGGCACCAACAGTTAAAAGCTCATAGCACTTGAAGATCCTGGGCCTTATGGGGCTGGCTGGACCCTGAAGTCTACAGGCACCAACAGCCAAGAGCTCGTAGCACCTGAAGATCCTGGGGCTTATGGAGGCTGTCTGGATCCCGAAGTCTGCAGAGAACCAACAGCCAAGACAAGTGCTGGAATATTGCTTAGCTCCTTCCTCAGTTGGAAATGATCGACCGAAAAGAGACCGATAGCCTACCAGAAATGTGGAAATGATCCTGGTTCTGCGGACTCTGCTCTGCCTAGGGTCGGTCTATGGCAACCAACAGCAACATACCCAACACGAGCACAAGAGATTTTTGCAAGTTGCCGCTGGAAATTGATCACATCACACTTGAAGCTAAGAGAAAAACGTACGATGGGCATGAAGCCCTGTCGATAACCCCTGCTGCATGTAAGCCTGCATTAGCCCTAGCCGCCGGATCGTTTTGTTGGAGGATTTGCGGGCCGCTGTCACCTTAATCCCGCCTTCTCGTGTTGGTATGGAAATTGCAGCGTCTTCGGCACATTCAAAGCCTCTAGCCAAGGCGAGATAGCCGCCCTGCCAAGACACATGTTAAGACTGCCAGGACGTATTTCGCCGAAGTGCTGGATCTTCCCATGTATCTTTAGCTTGCTGTGCCGCAGCTAGTTATTGCATGTCTTGACAACCCACTCTACCGGCGGCTCGAAAACGCCTCGAAGTCTGGCGCAGTGAGAAATGTGACCATGAACCAACAGACGGATCTACATGAAGACTCGGAACGGGCTCAATTTGTCTATAGCGTCCCTAAGTTACCCACACCATATGATGATTTTGATTTACCGCCGGAGTAGCTGTGTTGGCCTGTTTTCTGACATAGACCTTGTGTAAGTAGCAGGCAGTGAACATTGTATTTTTCTATATATTGTTTTCATTCGATCCTATTATAGTAATAGTTAGTGTCTGCGTCTTTCGAGGTTTCGAACCCATTTGACATCTGTCGTTACTGTTTCATCTACCTTCTTTGCATGATTTTGCTATAGTGGGCGACCTGACTCTTTGCCTTTTATTTATCCAGCCGCCATGCTGCTTTCGTGGTGGCAATGTGCCACGATCGCTGTGGCCATTGGTCCAGTATCTGGTTTGGCTGTCTCATATCGCTCGAGCAACGCTTCGATGCCTATCTTGTCATCAAGGCAAAGTCTTGAGGATTTTGACCCTGATGATCTATCATACATCCAAAAACTTGCCGCAATTGGTGACTCGTATTCGGCGGGCATCGGCGCGGGCAACAGACTTGGTAGTGTCGTCAACGCACTTGACCCTCAAAGTGGTAAGTATCGACTCTTCAGTATCCTTTGTTCTAAGTCACACACTATGAACACTCATACAAAATACAGATTGGGTCTGCAGTCGATATGATCAATCTTACCCATCGTTCGTCGACGGGGATGCGAGACTTGGCAACCGCGCGACACGCAACTTTCAGTTTAAGTCCTGTTCTGGCGCAACATCGAGCGAGGTTATCGAGCATCAAATTCCTAATCTGGATGGCAATCAAGATGTAATTCTTCTTTCTGCCGGTAAGTTTGAAATCGAGAAACGTTTTCCTTCTGGCTCGCGGGTGGCACATCACAACTCGTTCCGTACATGTCGATCACGTCTTGTCGGTTGCGACTTTGATTCACCCCGGAAGTTTTGTGCCATGAGTGTCCGATAATCATGTTGATAAAAACTGCTCATTAATGATCTCTGACAATATCTCATTTATTAGGTGGCAACGATGTACAGTTGTTGGAGATCCTGAACCAGTGCATCTTCCAATGGGGTGTCCTTTCTGAGAGCCAGGTCTTGATCGCGAAGGCTGCTGCCCTTGAGAAGCAATTAGACTGGGCCATTGATTACGACTGGGACAAACTTGCATTGGGTTGCGAAGGTCAACTAGCCGAGAGTGGCCGGCTCATCGATAGCGCCACCTTTGCCGGAAATCTCGATAAAGTCATTGCGGCTGCGCAAAGCAAGTTGTCTCTAAAGTAAGCCCCTAATGTGACATGCTGTATCTCAAACAACTCGAATGTCACAATCGGCTAATATTAGATTTTCAGCGGTATGATTTATGACAGGGTAGGTCAATGTTCTCAATATTCACCTGAGACAATGATTTTGACAACTCGCCTTTCCAGATATGCGAAGTTCTTTGCAACCGATATGTCTTCCGAGTGTGACGGCGTTACATGGTCGACATGGCTCAACGTTAGTTCTTCTTCTCCACCCGAATGCTCAGATGAACGATTTGATAACAGCTAACCTTCATATCGGCAACAGGAGCTGTACAACAAATTCAAGCTGGAGAAGGCATACCTCACACAAGGCAGGCGTCAGAAGATGAATGAACTAGTCGACAAAGTCAACAAGAAATTGGTTGGTATAACTGAGTTTACGTGAGAATTCCTTGCTAACAGTTCGTTGTCTAGGCCGAAGCGGTGGAGCGCGCGGGTAACAGTGTTAAATTCATCGAGTATGACAAGTACGTCGGATACTACGGTGGCCGCTACTGCGAAGCGGGAGTCGACGAGTCAACCTCTGGAGCCAAGACCAGGTAAGGCCCCAGATCAAGGACTTTTTTCAACAGTGCTAATGAGTGTGTTTAGAACTGGTCTCATGTTCTACGAGCTTAACACCTGGGACCCCCTCGGCTCAAGCCCTTGGAAGCGAAGCAACGATGATGCTTTGGAGGGAACGTTTGACGGAGAACAAGACATCATGGCACAGGTCACACTCCTTCTTGAACCCGATGCTGAACTGGCTCACAAGGACCGAATCGAGGGCGACGCCTCGGCCGCGTCTATTCCAGCGTCTGCTGATAACGACAGTTTTACTACAGCCGCTTTTGAGATTCAGGTGCCTAGCTTTCTTCCTGATGGGTAAGTACCTATCTCAGGGCCTTGTATAACCCTCAAGCTGCCCCTCTCACTTATGATGAACGTTTGCTAATTCTGGTTGCAACTAAAGATACGGCCGCGTCTTCCACCCTCAAATTCTTCTGCACGCCATTATTGCTGAGAGAATCATATTTGAGATGATCAATGATAATATTAAGAGAAAGGGAAGCCTCCCTCTCGTACCAGAAGTTGCGTCATTCGGTACCTGCGAACTCGAACCATCTTCTCCGACAACTCTGCGCTACAAGGGAACCAAGCCCGGCAAAGAGGTGAAACCTGGCACAGCGCTGCGTATCCTTGGCGTTGGAGACTCCATCACTGTGGGATTCCTAAGCGATCGCAATGGCGGCGATGGCAACGGTTACAGACTCCAACTTCGCGACGATCTTTCCAGTAAGTCATGGAACCCCTATCAGAATTTTTCTCTCTCGCGATTGGGTCATAATAACAATCTCTGTTTAAAGAGGATAAAGTTGTTTTCGCGGGGAGTGAGACCATGTCAGGCACAATGGATGGCAACCGTTTTGTGAGTTTTCCACTACGATGAACCTTGTTATCTTGATCATCTCCGGACGCTGACCAGATATCTGTTCTCGCAGGGTGCATGGTCCGGCCAGACTATTCAGTACATATCTGATCACATCGGCCCGTCCCTAAAGCAACGGCCGAACATCGTCCTAGTTCATGCAGGCACCAACGATATGAACCCTAGTCTTGACATCGCTAAGCAAGGCAACGACCCCAAGGGCGCGGCCGATCGTCTAGGAAAGCTTCTCGACAAGATCATTGATGCCTGCCCGGACGCAACAGTTCTTGTGGGTATGATCATCAACACATGTGACGAGAAGCAGTCTCCTGCAACCAAGGAATATCAGCAGTTGATTCCAGGGGTCGTCAAGAGCCGCAAAGACAGCGGAAAACACATCCTCGCTGCGGACTTTACCACCTTTGAGACGAGTCACCTCCAAGACTGCATACACCCAACTAATGACGGATACAAGCTGTTTGGTAGCTACTGGTACGACTTCATTACCCAGATCCCGAAGAATTGGATTGAGAAGCCAGTTGGCGATGACCCTAATGACGATGGCAATAACGGCGGCCTCGATAAGAACATTCCCGCTCCAGACTGGGGTGCTGATCCAGTCACGCCTACTACTCCCGACACGGTTCGTGGCGCGTATTTGAACGCGCGCCCGGTCGAGACGTACACTTGCATTGCGAAGCCCTTCTGGGGGGCTGGTGGTCAGATTGCACTTGGAAACGTCGGCCGCAACGGAGACTGGAAGTACAAGAAGAACTGGGTGGAGGCCGGAAAGGTCGCTGATGGGCTCAAGCGAGACCCCCGATACGTCAGGTTAGTAGTCGGGACGAGCGGTGGCAACAAGGACGAAGGCTAACATTTACCTGTCTCAGACTTCACGATATGAATGGCGACGGAAAGGCCGGTAAGACATCCCACGCCCTTGACCTCTCTAGCCTTGTTGCATTGTGTCCACGAGATGAGAGACTGATTCATGCTCTGAGGTTGCAGACTATGTTTGGATTCATCCTGACACCGGCGAAATCCGATGCTGGATTAATAACCTCCCAGAGCCATGGAGCAAGGCAGGTACCAACGACGACATCATCGGCAGTGGTGCCGGCCCTGCAGATTCGGTCTTCATAGCTGTAAGTCCAGTCACTATGTCTTGAGGTAGTACAGAAACTGACAGAGATGCAGGACATGAATGGTGACGGCGTGAGTTTGAGGCCCAACCTCTTTGAGCATACCAATAACTGACTGCTGTCGTAGCTCGAGGACTATATGGTCGTTAACAAGAACAATGGTGCCGTTAAGATCTGGTGGAACTACGGACCGGACGACAGCTGGGTCAACGGATGGAAGTTCGTGGAAGGCGGCGAGATCGCGTCGGGCGTCCCTCACGCCAATTGGGAGACTCTTCGGTTCCCCGATATCAACGGTGACGGTAGAGCAGACTACGTCTATATCGGTGAGGGTGGTGCTCTCAAACATCACCTGAATACTGGATCCGTCGGTGGCCAGGATGTTTTGTTCCTCGCACAAGGCGGAATTGCAACTGGAGCCGTCGACGACATATCGAGACTTGTGTTTGCGGATGTAAGTTTGGCTTCTTTGCAGTTAACTAGATGGAATGCTAAAGAAAACCAACGCACAGATCAACGGGGACGGCCGTGACGGTAAGCTTCCACAACTTCCATGACGTTGCACCGGCTGACTGTTCCCAGACTATCTCATTTGGGATAACGACGCTGGTCTGACTGGCTTTTTGAATCAGCCAACTCAAAAGGAAGGCGTTCCATTGTACATTGGTCAAGGGCCAGCGAAGACGCTTGCCGACGGCATCTCTCAAAAGCCCGAGTCCATTCGGCTTGCAGACTTGGATGGGTGAGATTGTCCACACCACCGTCAGCGTCCAAGAATCTACGAATGCTGACAGTTGTGTCAAAATAGTGACGGAAAGGATGATTATGCCTACATCGACGACGACGGTGCCATCTGGCTGTGGTACAACCGAGGAAGCGGTGACACCAGCATGCTGATAGATGGCCTTCGCTTTGCGGATATCGACGGCGACGGCGTGAGTTCTTTTTCTCTCTAAGAGAAGCATCTTCAGACTGACGTGTCCATTACAGACCGACGACTACGTTTGGCTTGACCCTGCGACAGGTGCTCCGACCGTGTAGTAAGTATCCATCACATGAATCCCCTGTCTCACAAGATGCTTACCTCTGCACAGCACCAACTACGGCTACAACGCGAACGACAAAGCCTTCGGGTACCGGTGGATTCCATTGAACGACGGCAAACCAATTGCTTCTGGAGCCGCCCCGGCATCTCAAGTAACATTTGGTCGCATCACTGGGTACGGTACCTCTTCGTCCCCATGTCTCAGAAATATCTCTAATCAGAGCAAAACCTTGCAGCAATGACAAAGCCGACTACATTGTCGTGGACCCCAAATCCGGCAAACTCACTGTATGGCAAAATATGGGCCCGGGCAAGAACAGCCCCGACAATTGGGGATGGAATGAGATTGATGTCGATGCTTCTGGATTGGGTCCTGGCAAGAATGTCAGGATTGCCGACATTGACGGCGATGGCGTGAGTACATCCTCGACAAGCAGCCCTTGACTTGCCTCGTTAAGAGAGCAATCTAAACATCAAATACTGATATATCCGCAGTGGGACGACTATATAATGCTGAACAAGAAGGGCGGCACAACCATATACCGAAACATGTACTTGAACTCTGAGGAGGAACACGTATGGAAACCACTCCCTGAGGCGGACGCCGAAGGCATTAGCCAACGACCGGATGAGATTTCGTTCCATGACATCAACGGGCAAGATTTCCCTTCCCATCCGCCTTCGATTATGAGTTCTAACAATTCTATAGCGACGGAAAAGCCGACTATGTCTGGACGAGACCCCACGATGGTGCCGTCTTCGCCTGGTACAACAACTACCCGAATCAGCCCGCCTGGCCTCCACAGGGCCAGATAGCCGAGGGTTGGACTTCGGGACACTTTGTCAAGTGGGCTTCGATGTACCTTAAGCGGTTCGAGAAGCTGGCAAAACCTTCGACGAGTTACCTTGCGGTCAGGCCATCAGATGGAGCCCTAGCTGTTTGGTTCAACGGTTGCAAATTCGGAGACTACGGCCCCCCTACTAAGTTGGCGCCTCACTCTAAGGCCAAGTCATTGTCTATTCAATCTTTCTCGAACGTCACAGTTTCATCAGGTCCTTCTAACTCTTCTTACCTACTCACAAATAGCTCGCAGCCACTCAAGAATGCCTCTAAGCCTATTGTTAAGGCTCGATTGCAACATCTCACATAAGAGATCTCGTTATAGAGAATATTTTTGTATATATTTTTCTGCATCATCCAACTCTTTCCAGTATAATTCAACCATTTTTGACCATTCATCCCTGAAGGCCTATAACGTCATTATTAGTATCGAACCGGTGTAAAACGAAACGACACTCCAGCTCATCTAATGAATTTGGAGGATGTAATCAAGAACTTCCGGAGCCGAAGCTTAAGAGTTTATAGCAGGGTTACCAATATATCATAGTCAGCGACCTTGTCAGCCGAGGGGCTTATCCATCAGCCATCCCATCCTCGAGTATTTGTGAAACTCACGCCACCTTGACCAGCCGCTCGACACGTCATTTCTCTATGTTACCTAGATGCAGCAAGATCGCCCACCGCCTCAAGGTGGCATCAGAAGCACGAGCAGGGCGAGTTCGCCCGGGACCTCAGCTTACAGACTAGGGCATATTGGCGTCTGTTACCAGTAGCACCATGATGAGTAGCAGGAGGAGTCCTGAAGAGGTGCGTCGAGTTGTGTTTAGAAGCCGCAGCCCAACGCATTGCGCGGGAGGCGAGCCTTGACGGCAAAAGGCCACTGGAAGGATATGTGGAGTGAGAATTCATATGCAAAGCGACCGTGACCTTAAGGCAGTGTCACTGTGCATTATGTCTCCTTCGCCAAGTGTACATACCCACACTGCATCATGAGGGGCAGTATGAAACTGTGGTTATCGCTCGGGGTGAGGATGAACCAGCCATTTTTGTAAGGGAATAAGTGGGGTTTCCCTTAATAAGTGTATGTGTGGTGCAATGCTGGCACGAAGTGCCAACATTGGTTGATCTTTTGGGCATTTGCCTGAATGGTCTATGGACGGGCTTAGTACACCACCTAAGTTCCCTGACAATTTTATTGTTGAAGGACTCGATCGTAGGATTTAACTGAGCTGGATAGGTGGTATCAACGACGTCACAAAAGTGTTTATCTGCATAGTTAGTAATAAATATGATAGAATTCACGTGTCTGACATACATTTGTCCAAGAAGTGTAGGTATCGTGTGGTTCTCAACAAGTAGTGGGGTATGTCTTCTAAAGAGCAGCAGCTGACTTTAAAGACCAAGAATTGTCGGTAATAAATGAGCCGTTGATGGAGGAGAAGAATTCCAACTTTCATCATTGACGAAGGCCTGTCGTCGACATGCAACACCTTTCTGATAAATGAGCCAACCGGTCTTGACCATGCTGTAGACCAACACATAAACCACGTCACCTTGCAGATGAGCTGATTTGTGCATATGCACCAGCAACAAAGCTGCATGGCGAAGGCTTTCCTCTGGATGTTCCGATTCCCATGGCTCTGATTCAGCGACGGGCCGAAAGGTTTTTATAGGCTAATTTAGTGTAACTCTGTTGCTCAGCCATGGACTCAAACTCGCTGCATGACTTGCTACATTTACTATGCAAGACAGTCCCACACCGGTGAGTGAATGGGCTCGGATGCAGAGAAAAGTGATTAAGCGCCGGTACCTGAACATAGCCCATCGCCGCCGTCGCCATCCATTCTCATCATCACTGTCGTGCTCGCAGTTCCGCCCTCCCTGTGATACTCAGAGCCTTCTGGCTCATCCCATCTGTTGGCAATGGAAAAAACACCCCATTGGCGGACCTTTTCTTCTCGCATTTAATTCCGTGCGGCCCAGAAGTCCGATGAACACGATCTTCAAACAAGTTTTACCGAACAAGGCGAGAAACGGCGAGATATCGCCATCGGGCTGTGCAAAAGCAGCACTCCTCCCATTCCCTCCTGCGGTCGCACCTTGCAGTGCGGCTGCCTGAGGGGCTTGATTGGTCCAGTCGCTTTCCCAAGGCTGCAACTTCAGAAGAATCTGTCCTCCAGGACGCACAGCTTGGCAAGCCGTCTCACGGAACCCCAAGAAGTTCTGCTTGCTTTGATTTACTTGTACCAAAGACGACAATTACATCCTTGTACTCCGTAGTTGCTAGGCATACCTGTCGGACGGCTTAAATTGCTCTCCGGACCCGCTAAAATGCATGGCTTATCTCCTGTCAGTGACGAGCCCCGCGAGACTCTGTTAGCCATCCCATGGGAGAAAGATCGGCGCTCCTATACTGCCTACTCATATAGCTCAAGGTCTGTTTGCATCGTGGGCCTGGGTGGAGAGCCTTCCCCGGACAGCAAGACTGAGACGAGACTTGAAGTTTCATTATCAGGGATGGACGCCGCAAGAGCGAGGTGTACCACTAACATGGCAAGAGACCTACGGTTTGCTGTTGTGCCCGGACGTCAATATCCCACAGGTGAGGATGAAAAGTCGAAGATTTCTGAATGGTCCCGGCCGCCGATGTTCCGGAATCATGTGTATATGATTGGAGGTCAGCAAAAGATACGGATTCAGACTGTGAAGAAGCTTTTGTTGGACATCATTGCCTCCGTTTGACCTGGCCTGGCTGGCAGGTCTGTGGAAAGCAGCTGTGACGAACAGAATGAGGCGCGGGAGGCATAAAAGTAGACCCACAATTGCCATGCTGCAATTGTGGCTCATATCACGTCGTGACAGCAGCAGACCCAAGGATCGATGACTACTGACTCAAACTCCGCATCACGCGGTAATCCCATCCGCCATCACCTCCGCCTTATAAGTCATTGGTTTCTAGTGACTTTTCAGCTATACCAATGCTAAATAAATAAAAATAAAAGAAGAAGAAAAAAAATCAACATCGAGAATCGGTCAGTGCTTATCGTTGAGCATCTCTATCTTATGGTCTCGGAGCGGACAAAACCTCCGAGGACCTTCGACGGGCAGAGTTTCTTAGTCGTTATTTTAAGACATATTAAAAAATCTAAACCTATAAGAGAGATCATTGATGCCGCCTTATCCGTACTTACTATGTAGGGCTGCCAAAACGTGCGGCCTGAAATGCCAAGCGAGCACAACGTTCGTATCCACAAGGCTCATACTACTATATCTGTGACCTGTGGCTAGTCATGCTCTGACAGCCTCTGTCTTCCCACAAGCATATCTGACGCTTGAAGGATACCTTGTCAGCTTCTCATCTTACGACCCACTGCTTTGTTGGCATATGCCCACTTCTCTCTCAACAGCTCTTGTATCTTCCACTTCACCATGATATTGATCATCATCCCCCGCCCACCCTGCGTCGCGTGTGCTGATCCATGACTTATTTAATCAATCGAGTATCTGGCTTCCTGACTTCCGGTGTTATCCAGCCATCAAAGGCCAATCACACCTGGCGTTGAGAGGACACAATTGACAACTACTATATTAAAGTTTCGTTGCACCCACTCTGGCTCGTGTTATGTTTCGATATTGCAGTACGGAATCCACCAGACCAGGTCTGTACCGGTACCGATTACGTATTTCCATGGACTAACCCCGGTAATATTGGTCCTAATATGGATAATCTTTTTGACGGAGGGCGGCCAGGGTGTGGATTCTTTTGATTCATTCAGCCAGCGACTATTATATATCTCATCTCGACGCTTCAATGCGCCTCTACTCCATTCAATAACCTCACACCACTCCAGTCCTTCCCCGCCTAACCACCTAAATCAGCAACACCCATAACAAATCAGCAATATGCAGCTGTTCGGCACATTCATCACGCTCTTCGTCAGCTTCCAGCTGGCATCGGCATCTGTTGCAGAGGCCGCGGCCGGAAGCGTCCCAGGCACCTTGGGATTCAGGCAACGATGCCTGCCTCAGAACCCAGTCCCATGCAGAGCAAAGGCAGATTGCACGTCACGCGGGTTCGCTGACTGTGGCGCTGCCGGCACTTGCTTTTTCAACTGCTGAGCTTCCAGGTGAGTCGACCATATCCTGCGCTGGTGTTTCTAGCAACCCGTTTGTTTGCTTGGTCATTGACACTAGATACGCAGGCGTGAGAGGTTGCCTCTTGTGGCAAGAATCGGCGAGGGCGCAGAAGCCAATTGACGGACGGGACAGCAGAGAAGGTACACGGAACGATGATGGGCAGGTAACTGGACTGCGAATTTGTTAGGCGAGCGTCTGCAATGATTGATCGCATGGCGGCGCTTGCCCCTGCTGCAATGCTTGTTTGTATGTATTTGGATGTGTATATTGAATTGTTGCGTATCAAGGCAGCGGTAATGGGAACGATCCGGTTCCCTATACCACCAATGGCAGCTTTACTTCATATGGAAAACTGTCTCATCATGGAAGAGTGAGAATGAAGTGAGAACGACAGTGAAGGTGAGTATGAGAGTGAGAGTGAGTGTAACAGTGAATGTGAAAGTGACAGTGAGTGTAAAAGTGAGTGCGACAGTGAGAGTGAGCAACACCCCATGGCGGCCCGTGCGGAGGGGCAGCTCGCCCGCCATATCAAATCACCCCGCAACCGAATGGCCCCAAAATCAATTCTCGACCCCGAAAAGCAAAAGTAAACAAACGACAGCCTCCTCCTCCTCCTCCTCCTCCTCCTCCGACATCGCCACGCCGCGCAATCGCCTCCGTCGAACCCTCGAATCCGCCCATTGTCTCCGTCGAGCCGAAGATCAATTTCCTGTTCTCCCTCCCGTCCACGCATACGTTCCGTCGCGATGGCTTCCGAGCCCAAGCCCGCCAGAGCCTCCAAGGCCGTCAAGCCCGCCAAGCCCGTCAAGGCTGACAAGGCCGACAAGACCGACAAGGCCGACAAGTCCAAGGTGCACAAGCTCGCCCTGAAGGGCAGCGCAAAGCTTGTCGCCGAGTTCGTCAGTCTTTCCTCCCCTCTCCCTCCTCGGCGAATCGCAGCGCAAAAGAGCTAACATGGGCTCGGCTTCCAGTTCCAATACTCCATCCACACAATCCTGTAGGAAGACTCCTCCCTCTCTCCCGAGTCCTCGCCAGCATGCGCTCCGATCTAACCTTCTTTCCCCTCCAGCTTCCAACGAGGCGTCTATCCGGCAGAAGACTTCTCAGCGTAGGTCACTTCCCTCTCCTCGTGCCCGCCTTGGAAGAGTCATCCGCTAACAGAGTCTCCCCGCTCGACAGGGTCAAGAAGTACGGCCTCAACATGCTAGGTTCGCCGACAGCCCCTCCAGCCTATTTCTATCCTACCCCGCCGAATCGAAAGCTAACGCGACACCCCCCGCAGTCTCCTCGGACGACCAGGTCAGGGCGTACATCAAGAAGATCATGGGCCAGCTTGATCGCTGGATGCTCCGCGGCAAGATCTCCAAGCTCGTCATCGTCATCACGGACAAGGACACGGGCGAGCACGTCGAGCGCTGGCAGTTCGACGTCGAGATCTTTGGCAAGTCTTCCAAGTCGTCCAAGACATCCAAGACGTCGTCGTCGTCGTCGTCGTCGTCGTCGTCATCGAGACCGGCCGACCAGGAAAACGACGCGGCCGCGGCCGACGCTGATGCCGCCGCCCCCGAAAAGACGGAGCAGGAGATCCAGGCCGAGATCGCCGCCATCTTCCGCCAGATCACCGCCTCCGTCACCTTCCTGCCCCAGCTCGGCGGCGACTGCACCTTCAACGTGCTCGTGTACGCCGACGCCGACTCGGAGGTGCCCGTCGAGTGGGGCGACAGCGACGCAAAGGAGATTGTCAACGGCGAGCGCGTCCAGCTGCGCGGCTTCAGCACCAGCAACCACCGCGTCGACACCCTCGTCAGCTACCGCTTGGCTGATTGAGTACAAGATACGTGCTGGGGGGGCAGAACGTACGTGGCGAAGGGGGGGGCGGCGGCAGCAGCAAGGACAGTAGGAAATGGAAAACGAAATGTACAATGGATGCGACGGGTGCGGCATCCATTGGTCAGTAGCGGCCGGAGCCGCCGTGAAATACCGAACCGGACAAAGATGAGCGCTTTTGCGCATGTGTATGGGAAAGGGCGGCGTCTTGGGCGTTTATCCATGATGGTTTTGTATAATCTCGACTTTGTCACGGGGCACAAACAAAGAGAGCTACGGGCTCGGACTGGAGACACCCAGTCGGTTAATCGTCTCGCCTCGCAGAAAAGAAAAGCACGCTTTTTTTGTAATCTGGTGGCGGTGGCTCTATAATACCGGTAGAGCCCCGATCCCCCCCCTTGTTTCTACACCGCCGCCATGCATCCATGTGTCTCGTTCATCTACACAGTTATATCGCCGCGCCCCGTCATGCTGTAATGCCCATCCCCTTCATCTACTAACGTAAAAATCCGACCCAGCCTCTCCCACTCCCTTCCTCCTCATCAACATGATCAGCTCATGGCTGTTTTTTCTTATTTTGTTTCCCCCGTAGTCACACTACCTGCCCCCAGCCCAAACGCCGTTATTACTGCATTCCCGACTAAACCCGCTTGAAGAAGTAGACGTAGGCAAACTTTCTCATCTCCTCAATCTCGCCTGCCTCAACAACCTTTTCGTCGTTGAAGAGAACCCACTGGGGGCGACCGTCAATTTCCTTGCGGATGAAAGCCACGTAGTGTCTGCAACGAGGTCAGCATATCGAGATGTCACGTTTCATGCAGAGAGGAAGTATACATACCCAGCGTGAATGCTGGTGCCCTTGTGGCACGCAATAGACTGGAGTTGATACTTGGCCGGGGTGGCTGCGCTGCCGGCCTCGCTCTTGGGGGCAGCAGCAGACTCGGATCCGGCGGCCGGAGCGGCATCGTCGTCGTCAAAGATACCCTGGTCCTCCGGGTGGCTAAAGAGCCACTCGACGGCGCGCTCTACATCACCACTGGTCTCGCGCAGCGCCTTCTTCGCCTGCGGCACGGAGAAACCCATGGCGCCCAGCATCTCAATCTTCTCCGGGTCGGCCGAGCCGCCTCCTCCCGCTGCGGCGCCGCCGCTGCCCAGGACGAGAGGCTCGTCAATGTCAGGGTCCTCCATGTGCGCGAACAGCCACTCCATGGCCGCGTTGGCGTCCGAGTTCCCGGTGGCGTGCAAGGCTCGGTCGCAACGGTTCCGGCCGAAGCCCATGGCTTCCAGCTGACTGACAGCCTCGGCGTTGGCGACGAACGCGGGAGCGCTGCTCTCGGGCTCGTCGGGGAGGGTCTCCTCCGAAGCCTGCAGGCCCTTGGAGAGATAGTCGTCGAGGAGAAAGGGCTCATCCGGCACGATGACGGGAACATCAATCTTGACGGGCACCCAGTTGATGACGGCCATCTTCCTGGCATTAACGACTAGGTTCTCTGGGAGAGTCTTGAAGAGAGAGCGCTTTGTGTACCCGTCCTTGCTGCCGCAGGAGGAGCAGGTCAGTTCCACCACCTCCTCGGCCGTGAAGTTGTCGAGGCACTCTTTCAGGGTCACGGCCTTGTATGCGTCTCCCTGGGTCTCGGCGCCCTCGGTGACCGGCTCCTTCTCCAGAGGAACGTCGATAAAGATGTTGTCCTGCTCGTTGGTCGAGTACCGCACCTTCTTGCAGCCGAGACACTGTAAGCGCTGCTCCAGAGTGAAACGGAAAGGCGAGGTGGGGTCGCCCAGATCCCAGGGGTGCTGAGAGCGGGAGACGAGCTTGAAGATGTGCTGCAGCAGCTCGAAGGCGTCCTGCTGGCGCATGGTGGAGAATTCGGCATGGCCTCGGCCGATGAGGTGCTTCAGCATGGCCGGGGCCAGGCCCTTCTGGTGCGCGATCTCGGGGGAGTGTTCAGATGCGACAACGTCGGAGTCGGCCTTGGAGTAGCGGCCAGAGAGCAGGCCATCGGCCATCTTGCGGAGCTGCGTCTCAAGGTCGGCCGCGGGCTCCTGGACGTTGGGTAGGTCGCGGTCGGGCAAGTAGTAGCGGTTCTTGAAGGCGGGTGTGTCGAAGAGACACTGGACAATGCTGGCGAGGTAGCAGCTGTTGCCCAGGTTCTTGAGGCCGGTCAAGCCGGGGCCGAACAGGGGCTTCAGCTCCTTGCCGTCCTCCGTGGTCATGCTGAAGTCCCAGCGCAGGTTCTGCTCAATCTGCATCTCGGTCAAGCTCTTCTCTGTCTTCTGCTGGTTCGCCAGGTTGATGCCCCAGTGAGCCAGGTGCTTACCGAGGTCGTCGTCGATGCGCTCCTCGTCGCACTTGTAGCAGTAGACGTCGGCGGTTCCCTCGGGCGTAATGGACCCCAGCTTGACTGCAACGCCGTGGCCAGACTGCTGGGAGTGGGCGAGGGCGTGGGAGTTGCCGTCGACACCACCCATCTGCTTCCTTCCACAGCCCAGATTCCCGCAGTCCAAGCACAGCCACAGGTTCTCGTGCAAGTCGCAGGCGGAGCAGTGTCCGAGATCGCCAGACTGGATGGTCCGAGACTCGGCCTGCTGCATCAAGAGGATGTGCTCGCAGCTGGTCAGCTCCTGCTCCCAGGCCTTGACCTCTTCCTTGCGCGAGAAGGTGTTGGCTTTCAAAATGCCATCGACGATGGGCGCAAGCTTCTCGGTGGAGTGGTCGAGCTCCTGGTCGCAGTCGAGGCATTTGACGACGGTCTTGGTATCGTATCGGTCGGCCTCGGTTTCGACGGCGATGGCCAGCTTAGACATCTTCAGGGGGGGCTCGTCTCGTACGACGAGCTTGCGAGTACGACGGATGTTGAGGACGAGGGGGTGGTTCCAGAGGCGTCTGTGGAGCTGAGCGTGTTTGCGGTCGCCGGCGCAACCGCCGTTGAAGCATTGGAGGCAGACATCGAGACCGGCAGGGTCGTCCTAGCGAAGGGAGAGGGAGATTAGCGGGTGTCAGCAGCACAGAGTGACGAGAGATGGACGTACAATGGAGTCAAAGCACTGGGTGCAGTCCTCGCGGTAGACGGAGTTGGAGGGCGCCGGCGGCTGCAGCGCTGCAGGGTAGTCAGTGAGAAGCTCTGTACCGTTACGCCGGAAAGGGAGCGTCGACTAAGTCAAGCAAGGTAAGGTAGAAGTTACCTGAAGCTATGGACTCGAGGTGCGGGCACGCCATGTTAAAGTGGTTTTCGAGGACGTGTCGTTGTTGTATCGTCTCGGCGTGGTGGTGAGCTGTGGAGGTCGTCTGTTCCGTGTTCGGGGGGAGAAGAGGTGGACACCGCGTTGATTTGAGTGCGGTCAAGCTCGGTCTCGTGTTGGAGGGGGGAAGACAAGGCAGACGACCAAAGAGAGGCAAAACGGCTGTGTCTGTCCAAGCTCAAGCTGATGCAGAGTTGTTGGTGGTGGTAGTGGTGGTGGAGGAGAAGAGGAGCCGAGGTGGAAGGTCAGGGCGGGATTGAACGCTGCCCCGCGGTGCTAGTGAACTGTAAGACCTACTATAGTAGGACAGGTAGTCGTGCTATTGGTGGATGCCTGCAGTCGGTACCTCACAAGGCAGAGAGGGACATAAGGTACAGTGCAGTGGGTTGGTTACAGAGGGACCCTTTCCCTTACCATAGCTCAGCTTTGGAGGGGGACACAGCACAGTGTTTGGCGATTACGTAGTGAGGTGGGGTTGCTAAGCTCTGGGAGGAAGCCTCTATCCGTATGGGCTAGATGCATATTTATCTTTTACTTACATCTCCAAACTCCCAATCCGGCTTGTTGCATTCAAAGAGACAGTATGTATTGACGTATACAGTGTACTCAAGTACCGGTACTTAGAGTGGCTTCCCCGGACTTGGGAAGCAGCGACAACGGCGGCGTATCTAATCAGATTGCATCTCGTTTGTTGACGGCCACGATGACTAATTATCGACGGGCCGGCGAGGCTCCACTGTAGCTGCCAGATGTTCGCTTAACCAGCTGGCGGCGACTCGCGCTGGGACTGGTCAGAGCTCGCAAAAGCCGAGAAATGAGTGGGGCGGTCTTTAGCACGTGCCTGGGCTATTGCTGACTCAAGCAAGGTGTCCAATCGGACAGCGTCGGCAGACAGGGAGTGGATCTGATAACGGATGCAGTGCATCAGAGACGGACGAAATTTTGTCTTCTCCGAGACGCCGAGCTGGTGCTGCGCTGGAATGTCTCCGACCCCAACACACTCCATGACTTAATCCACGGTCATTGAACGCTCCCATTGGCCAGTCCCGCTCATCCGCTATCGCCGAGATCGCCATCTTAGGTACTACTAGTGTAGCCTGCACCGTCACAAGTCCCGCATCCCCGTTCTCCAGAAAACAAATTCCAGTTATCCGCCTCCCCCGTCCGGTGGAATCTTCGCCTCCCCTCGTACACACCCTCCTACATCTACGAACCGCTTTCTTCAACCTTCTATATCGACCACCTTTTGTCGTCATCGCCATCTCGATTCGTCGCCTATACCCCAAACCGAACTCTGCGACTTCACTCGTATCTACAAAAACCACTCGTTGTCGATACCTACCCACCAACAGCTCTTGCAAAACTCACGCATTCACGCTCACACACATTCACATACATCGAATCCCTGACCGAAATGTTCTCCAGATCGCTCCGCGTCGCCTCCCGCAGGGTCCTCGAGACCTCTGTTCGCCCTTCTACCCTCCCCGCCCGCCAGCTTGCACCCGCCGTCTCCATCGGCGCCACGAGGGCCTACCACGAGAAGGTCCTTGACCAGTACGCAAGCCCCGGATATCACGTCTGAGAGAGAGAGAAAGAAAGAAAGGGTGCTAACCCGCCGTGCACAGCTACTCCCGCCCCCGTAATGTCGGTTCCATGCCCAAGGGCGACAAGGACGTCGGCCAGGGCCTCGTCGGTGCGCCTGCTTGCGGCGATGTCATGAAGTAAGACACCATTGCGACGGACATCACCTTGGACATGTCCATCACCCAGCGAGGGCATCATAGCATGCCACCTGCCACAACAACGATGAGAATAGCCGCTGACAAGTCCCCACAGGCTCAATATTCGCGTCGACCCCAAGACCAACATCATCTCCGATGTCAAGTTCAAGACTTTCGGCTGCGGATCCGCCATCGCCTCCTCCAGCTACCTCACCGAGCTCGTCCGCGGCATGACGTGAGCCACCTTTGCCCACCCATGTTCACCCGGCTTGAATCATGCTAATAATAAATGTGAAACAGCTTGGAGCAGGCCGGTCGTGTCAAGAACACTGAGATCGCCCAAGAGCTCAAGCTCCCCCCCGTCAAGGTATGTCACCCGGTTTGGGCGATCGCTGCTGCATCACACACACGTCTTTGCTAACTCATATTCTCAGCTGCACTGCAGCATGCTCGCCGAGGATGCCATCAAGGCCGCCATCTCAGACTACTACACCAAGAACCCCAACGCGAAGCCCACCAACCTGGCCGGCACTGAGGCCAAGACCGAGACCCCCGCCTCCGCATAATCGGTACCGACGTCTCTCTTTCGTTACACGTTACCGGAGTTTGGGTTGGGGGAGTGCAGAGAGGACGCTGCGGGCGGGGGTGAGAAGCCCGGGCAGAAATTGCCAGTACGAAAAAGAACACCCATCGATGTTTTTTCTTGCTTGCATCTTATCACCAATGGTTTCCAACAAAAAAACTCTGGAGTTTTGGGAAGGAATTATGGGTTTATCTCGGGGCTTGTATGGATGAAAGCTTCTCCGTCGCGACGAGGATCGCAACATGGAGGTCGACACGCTGCCGCGAAAGAAACATGCCTTTTTCCATGTGTTCTGCCAGGAGGGTCTAGTTCGGGGGGAGGGGGCAGAGTTGTACGTCAGTGTGAAAATACCATCTAGTTTTCAGTGGCCAGCTTATTATCAGCGACCCGACAGAGACGAAAATGCCAAAGAACGACATTGTCCTGCCAATGTGCTGCCGCCCAACACCGCCATATGATCATCTTGAGTGTCCTTTGTGAGTGTTGGTTGCGTCGAGTCTGCAACGAGCGGGCCGACGACGGCGTGACTGCGAGGGCTTAACTGCGCTGTCGTGAGACTAAGGAGTGCCGGGGGCGCCAGAGTTGGAAACCTGCCGGCAACATTATGAGCCGAACGCGGCTTGAGACCAGAAGAAACCGGCCTTCAGCATTGTCTTTGGTCGACATGCCGCCTCCCCGGCCGCCCGGCGATACCGTCCAGCACATTCTACGGCGGCCAAACAGCCATTGTCACAGGCGACACGGGAGGGAGGGTCCCTGATTTGTACCTTGGATTGCTTTATCATCGAGTTGTCACTTCGGATATTGTATGGGTTGCGGTGGATACAAATGGATTCCATTTGATCTTCATTACGAACAAGCACTACTCGATGCTGCTCCAACGTAAGTGAATGCGCGGGGGTTTACGTATACAGATGATTCCATCCATTCCAGACATGGACTCCCTATGAGTGTATGGTCAGCCGGTCCGCAGTTTGGAATCTGTTGCTCCTATTCATGTGTGTCTACATACGTTTCCTAATCCCAAGCCCTGCCCCCTCCTCCACCCTCTCACCCAACACTAGCCTCGCGGGTGAGTGGGAGGCGGCGCTGGGGGCAACCCGCCCTGCGACTCCGTCATGTAGCTATGAGATGCCCAGTAGTCGCTTTCGTCCTCGGACGAGTCCGACCCACCGTCCGCGGCGGCAAAGTGCAGGAACAGCATGCGCACCAGGAAGCCGGCGCTGACGAGGAGCGGCAGGACCTGGGCGGTGTCGGAGACGTAGTTGGCGTCGGTGATGCCGTTCCACGAGACGGCGAGCTCGACGGCGGCCGTGAGGGTCGCCGCAACGGCCACGTCGCTCAGCGTCTTGAGCTCCTTGACCGCCACGATGTGCGTTTTGCTGCGGACCGAGGAATGTATGTCAGTGACTGGCAAACCCAATACCGTGACGTCCAACACTGGGGGGGACTTGGAGGGAAACCCACCTGACTCTTCGCTTCTTCCGCCTGGCGCGCCAATACGGCACCTTGCAGCCGATCTTGAGCAGCAGGATGAGGGCGCAGGCGAGCAGTATGACCAGGTACAAGATGGCGTTGGAGGCGATGAAGCCCTTGTTCCCCAGGCTGATGCGGCTGAAGAGGAAGCCGTACTGCTCCGACGAGCACGGGTTCTCCGGCACGAAGGCGCACCAGTACCAGATGGCGAGCGAGGTGACGGCCAGGAGCAGGGCGAAGTTGAGCCCCTTGAAAGCGGGGGTCGGCGTCTCGCTGGACCACCGGAAGGGGTCCCAGTAGGGCCGGAAGCAGGTCACGGCCTTCCAGGCGTACAGCGGGACGAGGAAGATGTAGACGCCCGTGGCGAGGAGGAGCACGATGTAGACGTCGGCGGGCTGCAGCGCGGCGGCGGAGAGCCTGACGACGAGGCCGATGAGGGCGGCGGCCGAGAACAGCAGGCCGAGGAGGCGCATGTCGGGCAGGTCGGCCACATCGAGGTATTCCACGACGATGGCGCCGAACCACTGGATGTAGAAGGCGACGCGGATTCCCAGCCCGTAGAGGCCGGGCTCGCCCTGCACCTGGCAGCTGGCCATGATGGGAGTTGTTTTTTATCGACAATGAGTTCGTCGAGATGTTTGAAGAAAAGACGAAAATCACACAGACATGGGAAGGCTATCGATTGCTACCTTATAGTCCCCCTTCCTCCCCTTCCTCCCCCCCTCTCTCTCTTTCTCTCTCTCTCTCACACACACCTCGAGGGGTACCGCATTGCCAATGTCGACATGCAACGTGGACACTCATACAGACGAACAATAACAAGGGTCAACGCCGCAACCAGCTGTGTCACGGGGACATCGCCAGTGGATGGACCCTGAGCGAACGGGCTGCCTTGCAGGGTGACGTGCTCTTCCGCCGGCCCTTGGTGTAGATAACCCAAGTCGCGGTCCCCATGCGGCACCGCCCGAACCCCATTTGCAGCGATGTTGCAGGGTCGGACAACAGGTCTCTCTCTCTCTCTGTGTGTGTGTATCTGCGTATGTGTGTATCTGTCACTAGCTGGCTGGAGAAATGCCTCGAAGAACTGCATACTGCATACTGCATACTGCTCGACCACCCGTTGCAAGGTTGGGCCGTCTTGCTGACGGCCGGGGACCTGTTGGCCTATAGCTCGGCCTCGGCCTCTGTGGCCGACTGCTGGAGTCTGTGTGGGTGTGCGGCATGGCAATACTGTGCTGTTCACCACCTCGCTTGCATCAGTCGCCGACAGCGAGGCCTGATGGTCCCGTACCGCGTGCAGTCTCAGGATTTCCCGAGACAGGTTCACGTCAGGCCAGCCCCTCTCTCGTTTCCTGCAGCAGAATCAACCGAGCCGTTTTTGGCATGTAGGGTAAGAGGGAAGACGTGAAGGGAATGCACATGGCCCAAATGGGAGCACCTATAAGCTGATGAAGGTCTTCGTGGCAGACGGCTTGGGCCAGGGGGATCATGCACCTAGTCGGATTGGCACACGCCGGCGCAACCGCGGAAGGGAAAGAGACTTTCCTAGCATCAGTAGTGACAACTGGCAATGGGGGCGATGAAGGGGTTCAAAGAGGGGAAGACGAATGGGAATGGGTGGACGACAAGATGGAGGGATGGACGGACAGTGAAGCGGACGTGGAAGGCGGGGGGGAGACGAGTGGAGACCGATGAGGGAAACGGATGCGGGTGGATTGGGGCCCGAGCTCCGGTTCTGGAACCGGTGGCCAGAGGGCTTGGTGACGGTACGTACCTGATCTTATCTACCTAAACAGGTTTAGCGCAGGGGTCCAGCTTCTTATCTGTGTCTTATCGCCTTATCGTCTTATCGATAGATGGGTTTATTCGATTTTTTTTTTACTCTTGCGACAGACAATCCGATCCCCTCCAGCCAGCCCGCGCCTTGAATCTCCCTTTTCACCGTGCCCCCAGGCGAATTGTAGGCCGCCATTCTCCTCGCTCGCACACAACCCCCCTCCCTTCTCACCGCAACAATGGCCGCCACGAAACGTTCTCTCGCCGACACCGAGGCCGAGGCCGACGTCACCACCAAGAAGCAAAAGGTCAAGGACCTCGCTGTCAGTGGCGATGTCGACAGCGATGAGGCAGCGGAGCTGAAGAAGCAGAAGAAGAAGGAAAAGAAGGAGCGCAAGAAGGAAAAGAAGGACAAGAAGTCAAAGTCTGCCGCTGCTGCTGACCAAGACGGAGAAGCGCCCCCCGCCGCCGAGGCCAAGGCCGAGACGGAGGAGGAAAAGGCCGAGAGGAAGAGGCAAAAGAAGGAGAAGAAGGAGAAGAAGAGGAAGGAAAAGGAGGCGGCGGCCCAGAACAGCAACGACAGCAGCGCCGCCTCCGATGTCCCCGTCGTCACGGCTAGCGGTCCCACGCCGACCGCCGCCGTCCTCGGCGGCTACCAGCAGGCCGCCGCGCTGACCGCCCTGCCGCAGTCCGAGGTCGACGCCTTCCTGACGGCCGAGAACATCACGGTGACGGACCCGGTCGACAACTCCACGGCGCTGCGCCCGATCCTCGAGTTCTCCTACCTGCCCGAGACGGACCTCGTCAAGAAGAACCCCTTCTCGGCCTACAAGAAGCCGACGCCCATCCAGTCGGCGTCGTGGCCCTACACCCTTTCGCGGCGCGACGTCATCGGCGTCGCCGAGACGGGCTCCGGCAAGACCATGGCGTTTGCGCTGCCGCTCGTCGAGGGCATCTCCAAGATCAAGAAGCGCTGCATCAAGGCCGTCGTCGTGTCGCCGACGCGCGAGCTGGCCATGCAGACCCAGGAGCAGATGGAGCACGTGTCGAGCCTGCTGGGCCTCAAGAGCATCTGCATCTACGGCGGCGCGTCCAAGGACGACCAGCGCGGCCTGCTGCGCCGCGGCGCCGACGTCATCGTTGCGACGCCCGGCCGCCTCAAGGACTTCATGATGGACGGCACCATCTCGCTGCAGGACGTCAAGTTCGCCGTCCTCGACGAGGCCGACCGCATGCTCGACAAGGGTTTCGAGGAGGACATCAAGATGATCCTCGGCGACATGCCGGCGCGCGAGGCCCGCCAGACCGTCATGTTCACGGCCACCTGGCCCGCGTCCGTCCGCAAGCTGGCCGAGTCCTTCATGGTCGACCCCGTCAAGATCACCATCGGCTCCAGCGGCAAGGAGACGGCCAACGGCGCCGTCGAGCTGCAGGCCAACACGCGCATCACCCAGCGCGTCGAGGTCGTCGACCCCCGCGCCAAGGAGCAGAGGCTCCTGCAGCTGCTCAAGCAGTGGCAGGCCACCGCCTCCCAGAAGAACGACCGCATCCTCGTCTTCTGCCTCTACAAGAAGGAGGCCACCCGCGTCGAGGCCTTCCTCCAGCAGCGCGGCATCCGCGTCGGCGGCATCCACGGCGACCTCCGCCAGGAGCAGCGCACCCGCAGCCTCGAGGCCTTCAAGGCCGGCACCACCCCGGTCCTGGTCGCCACCGACGTCGCCGCCCGCGGCCTCGACATTCCCGAGGTGAAGCTGGTCATCAACGTCACCGTGAGTTGTTTCCCCCCTCTAACCCCCCATCTCAGTCGAGCCGACCCACGCTAACCGTTAGCTTGCTGTGTTTGTAGTTCCCCTTGACGATCGAGGACTACGTCCACAGAATCGGACGTACCGGCCGTGCCGGCAAGACGGGCGAGGCCATCACTCTCTTCACCGAGCACGACAAGGCGCACTCTGGATCGTAAGTCGACCCCGTGTGCTGGGAGGACATTCAACAGATGGGGGGAACAGTTCACTAACGCACCGCACAAAAACCATAGTCTGATCAACATCCTCAAGGGCGCCAAGCAGCCCGTCCCCGACGAGCTCTTCAAGTTCGGCACCACCGTCAAGAAGAAGGCCCACAGCACCTACGGCGCCTTCTTCAAGGACGTCGACATGACCAAGAAGGCGACCAAGATTACGTTTGACTAGGAACGTTTTTTTGATTGTTTTATTTGATTATTTTCTGCGTCCGAGACTGTCTAATTTTTTGTGTCACTGATCCCGTCCTGTAACCTACGCAGTCTTTGGCCTGCGTGCCGAGTTGTAACATTGCAGGAGGAATCTGCGTTCGGCGAAAAGTCTGGGGCATGTTAGACGACGGGGTGGATTGCATCAGACCAAAAACGGATAAGAAAGCGCGGGGTTTTAAAATTTTGGAGAAAGGAAGGAGAAGAAGGGAGAGAGAGAGAAAGAGACCAGACTTACATCAAAAGGACGACGGGCACGGCGGCGAGGCCGATGGCGATTAGGTCCCTGAAGGAAGAGGTGGACGAGGCGGGCGAGACGACACCGGTCGCGCGGCGGACGAGGTGGGGCGCGGATAGACAGAGGATAGAAGTGACGGCGTTAGGCTGCAATGACAAGAGTTCAAACGGCGTTTCCAGGCCGGCAAAGTACGACTTGACGAAGGCGAGGCTCCAGACGATGCGGCAGAGCATGTTGATGCAGTTGGCGAGGACGAGGCCCGAGGCGCCGAGGTCCATGACGCGCATGAAGAGGAAGGCGGCGGAGCCGAAGGCGACGGAGAAGGCACCCATCCAGGCCGACTGGCGGTGGACCTGGGCCTCGGAGGCGACGGAGGCGACGAAGGCCTCGGCCACGCCGTTGATGGCGAGGAGCGGGATGTAGTAGCAGTAGACGGCGAGGACCTCGCCGGCGCCCTCGCCGGCCCAGCGGCTGCCGGCGACCAGGGACAGGAGCGGCGGGGCGGCGACGGGGCCGATGCTCACGACGACGGCCGAGAGCAGCAGGTAGAAGCGGAGCAGCGTGTGGAGGTGCTGGCTGGCAGTGGCCAGCGTCTCCCTGGAGGGCGTCTTCTTGGCCTGGGTGTCTTGGGAGGAGGGGGAGGAGGAGGAGGAGGAGGAGGAGGAGAGGAGGCGGCTGAAGTAGCTGCGGCTGCTCTCCTCGACGGGCTGCAGGACGAGGCGGGCGAGGAGGCCGCCGTAGTTGCTGGCCAGGGCGTAGACGCCCTGCGACTTGGGGGTGGAGAGGACGGAGACGAGGAAGGTGTCGCCCTGGGTGAGGACGTGCTTGACGAGGCTCTGGGCCATCATGCTGGAGGCCAGGCTGACGGTGGGGCGGTAGAAGTAGGAGGCGAGGTAGTCGGTGCGCGGGCCGAGGGCGCTGGGGAAGAGGGAGAAGCCGTCGGCGCGGGCGAGGCGGACGGCGGACCAGAGGTAGATGAGCAGCAGGGTGGCGCCGTACGAGAGCTGGCCGACGGCGAAGGGCAGGACGCCGAACTCGAGGCGGGCCCTCGAGGCCCAGAAGGCGGCGGCCAAGGTGACGATGCAGCGCAGGAAGGTGGCGGCGGACTCGGCGGAGGCGCGGGTGGCGAAGCGCAGACGGCTCTGCATCAGCACGAAGCAGGGCTCCGACAGCAGCTCGAGGACGGCGGCGAGGGCGTACAGGCGGAGAGCGAGGAGGAAGTTGGGGGTGCTCGCGGTGGCGTCGTCGGCGGACGAGAGGTAGAGCCAGCCGAGGCCGACGGTGACGAAGCAGCCGAGCAGGACGGCGAGGTAGCCGAGGTTGATGACGGCCTGGCTTTCGCGAGCGAGGCGGGCGGCGGGGTCGTCTTTGCCGTCACCATCGCTGTCGGACTTGGTCTTGCCGGCGCCGCCGGCGCCGGGGCGGGTCTCCTGACGCTGGACGGCGACGCGCAGGCTCTCGCGGGCGAAGAAGAGGACGGAGAGGTAGTAGACCTCGAGCTGGGTGGAGACGCCGAGGAGCTGGGCGGTCAGGAAGCGGAGCAGAAGCTGATTGGCGATGAAGGTGACGGCGCGAGAGGCGATCTGGAGGATGATGAGGAGGGAGGCGCCGCGGACGACGGCCTTGCTGGCGTCTGCCGCGGGAGCGGGAGCGGGTTTTCCTGACGACGGCATTGTTGGCCCGCCGATGACGGTCGAGTCGTTTGCCGTCAGTATGTGTCTGTGCAGTGTCCGGGGGGGGAGAGGTTTTCCTCCTTTCTTTTTTGCCTTGTCCGTCGCGTAGTTGAAGTCGAAGGTTGGGGCGACCGTGTTTTTGGAGAGAACAGGGAGCCGAGCCGAACGTGGGCGTGTTTGCCGGGCCGGTAGGACCCACAGCGGTGTGGTGCAGCGGGTCGGCCCACTGAAGCGCACCGCGTGCCTGGGAGCGGAGGGCAGATGTACAGAGCACCAGAAGACTCGGGCAGCGCATAGCTCAATGTCTTGATAACTTTGTTCATTTTATGTTTTCTCCAGTTCCATTTCAAATGAACAATTCTTGGGGAACATTATGTTCAAGGTTTCCCACCCATATTGCACCCGCCGAGCGACGTGTATACGCCTGAAGGAGGTGTTCGGTGTACAGAATGTGACGAGTCGGAGACCCAGTCCCGGGGTCTCTCTCGGGTCTCTCCGACAGGCTCGATACGGTCGAGCATGCTTCTAGCTATCGGCATGTTGTGAGGACGCGGTTCGCGCCGGCTTTTGCGTCTCGACTCAGCAACGAGGGTGTTGGCGGGGGGGCATCCCGACGCAGACGAGGTTGGCTGGCTGAACCACCTGCCGAGTGACGGATGCGACCTGACGGTGAAAGATGTCGGAGAGGAGAATACCAAGATGGAGGCAGACGGGAGGAGGGGGTTTGCTGGTGGAGGGTTGATGAGTTGGCGGCGCGGCGGGCTCTGGTGACTCCCATCACAATCACAAGAGGCGGAGAGCTGGACCCAACACACAGTGCTGTTCCGCAGGGATGTCATCATTGCAGCAGGGGTAGCAGCATTTCGGAGACATTCATTGGCTAAGAGTGACGATCCGGTGCGTCGCAGGCGGTCAGTTGGTCTCTGAATTGTACACACGTTTGGGCACCATCTCATACGTAGGTATGGTATGGTATGGTATTGTGATGTCGACTCATAGAGGTAAGTCTGAGATGTACGGATACGTACCTGTATGAACTGCCCGATTTTTTTCCAGGTGAGTAAGCAGATACGTACTTTGCAGACAGAGCACGGACACAAGGCACAGGGCACAGGGCGGCAGGGACGAATTTGAGCAGGTGGGGTCGTTCCTGGCGGCGTTCCTGGATTGGCGGGTACCCTGTGGAGTTGTTTCCTGGTTTGGACCGCAGATTGGGCTTGTTTGGGCAGGGTGCGCCTGCACCCACCCGTTTGGTCCGCCGCGAACGCTTGTGTCCCTTCCCATTTTCCTACGCTTTTGAAGAGGAAAGTACCATTCAGTGGTGTATTGTCGGAAAGTGCCTGCCTGCCTGCCTGCCTGCCTGCCTGCCTGCATGCTTATCCAATCCACTTACACCTACACCTACCAGTCTGTATCCGTACTGTACTGCACTTTTTTGCAATACCTAGGTAGGTAGGTAGGTAGGTAGGTCCCTAGGACGGGGGGAGATATCCGTATCCGTACACGAATCGCAACAATGCATTGTGTACCTCGATTGCATACCGAAATACCCATAGTGCCAGGTACCGGCTTTCTTTCTGGCTGCCACCAGGTTTCGCCTTTTTGGCGCTATACCACCACCAGTTCCTGCCGCCGATTACCACTTTCTCCTTCCCTTCCTTGTTTGTCCCTTGCCTCCCCTCCTCTCCCCTCCCCTCCTTCCTCCTCCTGCGGCTCGTCGGTTTTTTTTTTTTTTTTTGTCATATTACCTAAGTAGCTACGTACTTGTCTAGTGAATCAATCAATGTTCCCTCTCAGTCTCTCTCCGTACCTCGTCACCATCCCGTCCGTGTCGCGTCACAGAATCCTTTTCAACTCCCGCTTCGCCGTCCTGAGACCATCATCCCTACGTCGTCATTCTGTCTCTCGTCTCTTGTTTCTCGTCTCTCCCTACCGGTATTTGAATTCTTCCTTCGTCCGTCCCGTCGACCTTACCTGGACCTAAACACGTCTTGTCTTCTCCCGATGCAACACCATCACTTCCTGCGAGCAAACTTTCGGATATCACTACTCTTCGATCAACGCGTCTAGCACGTGTTCCCAGCGGCGGCATTCTCGTTCTAGTTCCAATCTCTTCTGCCGTCATCCTTATCGCCCTCTCTTTTATTCATCGATTTTTTTTTAATTTTCTTTTCCTTTTTTCCACTCTCTGCCCCCCTCTTCCTGCAATATTTTATATGAGCCCAATTTCGGCTCGGAAAAAAAAGAAACTGCAGTCGGCCTCCACCGGTCTAGCCTGCTCCCTGCTGTCATCCGCTGCTGCAGAGCGTCAACGGCCTGTCTTGTCCAGTAACGGCTCGCCCCAGACACACCAACCCCGGTCACAATTCGCGCTTGGATGGCTTGGATAGTGGGTGACCATCGCGATAAACGACCACAACCCGGCCAATACTCCTTGCTCCCTGTCCTGTTATTCCCCTCGTGCTGCTCCTCCTCCTCCTCTCTGCAGCAGTGTGCAGCTGACGGTGGCCTCCAATCGCGTCACACCCAGCCAAACATATCGATACACAACAACACAGCACAACACAACGACACCCACTCTCGACATAAACATAAGCCCGACCCTCCACGCCTCGCACAAACTCCCCCTCCTTGACCTTCTCTGCCAGTCCCACGATCTCGCCCTGGTACAGTACAAGGTACCGAAACAAAACCCTCGTCTCTCTCCCCCGCTCTCATCCCCCCCATAGCCCGTGCCTTCGCCTCTGGGTGGGCTTTCAGCATGCTGCCCGCCGTAGCGTCTTCTCTGCCGCAATAACGATGGCAGAACTCGGTACCAGTCCAGGTCCAACTCCTGATCCAGACCCCAACACCGCCTCAGATGTCGACACCGTCACCGACACCGTCACCGACACTGACACCGACACTGACACCGCCGCCACCGCTGTTTCCGACCAAACCAACTCCTGCAACGCCGCCGATGACTTCCGACTGCTCGGCCCTGACGACGCAATGGCCGACTTCATCCAAACTCCCGCTGCACGCCCGAACGACGGCTCTAGGATCCAGTGTTGCTGTGGTCGCACCGACTGTGTCTATTTGAGGCACAGCCGCTCCGTCCTCGAAACGGTCGAAAAGGACGTTCATACCGCCGCCAAGCTGGGCAAGGTACGTCTTCGCTCTGCTTCTTGTTTTGCTTTTTGGTTTTTCGACATAAAATTTTTCCCCCCTTCGTCCGAGCTTCCTCTCGATCCAGGGAACATTCCAGTTGCGCCGCTTCAGAAGCCCGTGTCAATCTCTCGAGACATTCCAGCTCCTCATTTCCCTGACTGATTAAGTTCAAGATGGGGTGTCCCGGCACAGTTCCAGCCCGCAAACTTTGCTTTTCTATCCAAATGTCAAAAGCCGCCCGAGATCCTTCCTCCTCAGTCGTGACGCACATGATGTCGACATGACCTTGCTGACCTTTGCCCTCCAGGCCCTTCTTGCTCGCCATGAGGCATACATGGCCGACGCCGAACGAGACCGCATGTCATTGACCACCCGCATTGAACAGCTGGAATCCGAAAAGGTGGAGCTGCAGGCCGAGAACGCGAGGACCGTCGAGGAGAACCGCTCCCTGCTCGACCAGCTCGAAATGCTCAACAACACCGTCCAGGACTCGGACATCCGCATCCAGACCCTCGAGGCGACCTTGCTGTCCTCCCACCAGGCGGTGCGTCGCCTCGAGGGTGCAGCCGCCCGCGCTGCCGAGATGGAACGGCACATTGCACTCCTCGAACAGGAGCAGCTCCGCCTGCAGAACACCCTCATCACCACCGAGTCCGAGGCCCGCTCCGCCATGCAGCGGTGGAAGAAGGCCGAGAGGGGCATCTCCGACCTGCAGGAGCAGCTGGAGCGCATGGAAAAGGAGGCCAGGGAAGAGCGCGAGCGCCACGTCGAGGTCCTCAGTCGCATGGAGCGCCAGCGCGAGATGGAAAAGGAGCTCAACACCGCCGCCGGGCGCCTCAAGGGGGCTGCCGCGGCCAAGTCTCTCACCTCGGACAAACCCGCCAGCAGCGTCGTCTCCCACTTTGTCCGTGACCTCCTGCAGGACAATGCGAACCTGCAGCTGGGCATGGCCGAGCTGCGGGAAATGCTCATCAACTCCAACGACGAGATCCAGGCTATGCGGGACCAGCTGATGTGCCACCAGCCCATCGGCGACGAGGACGCCGGCGCCGGCGCCCCATCAACGCTACGCGCGGAAATCGGCCCAGACCCCCGCGAGATGACCCAGCACATCTCCCAGGAGCTTCACATTCACCACCACTACCACGTCGCGGAAAAGGCCAAGCCCAAGAAGAAACGCCACAGCCTGAACCCGGCCGTGGTCCCGCCCGCCAGCGTCTCGCGGTCCTCGACGCCGCCGCCGGCCGCATGGCGACCCGCTCCTTCGCCGATGACTCCTCTGGCTTCCCACTCCCACAAGGGCTCGACGTCGACCATCTCGATGCCGTCCAATCGGTGGTCCGTCTTTTCGGAACAACCCTCCGAGTTCGCGCTTTCGTCCGTCCCCAGTTCGCCGCAGTCGAACCCCCGTCATTCCATGTTCGACAGGCCGGCGTTCGAGACCGACATGTCTACATCGCCTACGACGAGCTTGGACCCGACCTCGCCTACGTGGAAGCTCCCGCGCAGACATCGCCTCTCGGAAGCGTCGATCCGGAGCTTCTCAGTGCCCCCCAAGCTACTTAGTGTGGCTTCACCGGCGCCACCAGCAGCGCCTACCTTGCATGTGGCTCAGCACATTTCGTCCACGATCGAGGAAGAAAGGGAAGAGAACGGTCCTGAAGAAGCCCCGGATTTTTTGACGACCAACGACGACCACGTCGAGACGGAGACGGAGACGGAAACCGAAACGGAAGCCTCCTTTTCCAAGTACGAGGAGCTGCCACCGAGACGTTTGCACCGCGCCGTTTCCCACGAATCTATCGTGTCCTTGTCAGGGGGGCTGGACATCCACACTCTCAAAATACGGCCAAGTCAACTGGCATTCCGCCCGCTGGGTGGGGCTGAAGTCGTGTTTACTGGCGTCACAGCACGTTCAACTATATCACGGGGCAGCGACAAGCGTAGCGACGTTTTGCTGCGCGATAGTCTCGCCGGAAGACCTGTGTCGAGGATGGTGTCGACACCCATCCGGAGCGCTTCGCCAGGGAGCACGCATTCGCAGTATTCTCAACATTCGAGCGGCCTGGGCAGATGGGTCAGCTGGCGGCCATGGACCGGAGGAGGTTCGGCAGCGTCGGCATCCCGGGCGACGACACCGACAGCGGCACCGCCAACGCCGACACCGGCCAAACGCGCCGGGAAGGAAAAGGACAAGGACGTCGTTAGAGCGCCGGGCATCAACCAGCCCGGCGCCATTCCCGGCTTGCAAGAGTACCTGGCGGCTCACCAACGCCGCGGGCCCCCGAGCAAGGTGCTGCCCGACGTAGTCGACGTGGATGCGCTGCGAGATGGTCTACAGGGGGGATTGTAAGATTGGAGGGCCATGTTTACACGAATCGGCACGAAAGTTTTCTGCAAACTGCATTGCGAAAAAAAAAAAAAGGAGCAGGGGCGCTTATTTCTTTCCCATTTTTTTCTTTGTTTTTGTTTTCTTTCGTCTTTCATCCCTTGGGCAAGCAAACACGTGCGGCGTTGATATACTGGGTAGTTTGGGCATAGTTGAGGATGGGAGCTGGAGATACCCCCCCTACTGGTGTACGCGCCGCGCTCGCGTTCACTCTTCATTATTCGATATCTTTCCTTTGTCATTACGGGCCCCGGCCACCTATTTATATCCATGCCCAGAAACGGAACCACGCCATGGCGTCGCAGTTATAGCTACAAACGCCGTGGCCATCTACTTTACAGCTAGACGCAGTCTCACAGAATGACGCACTCTCGCAAATATAATTTCTAGTTGACTCTTACTATCGCACCATGTCGTGTCTCGGTGTAAGAGAACGGAGTGTGGGATGTTGTCTGCCTGCATGCTTCTCCGCGTGGCACACGACGGTGAAAGGTTCGTTCGTGGTAGAGGCACAGCGTCCCAAGCATTCTATCCTGGGATAGCGCCTGCAACAACATCATGAAGAGGCCTGCCACGCGTTGGGGGGAAACAACTGTTCTGATTGATTGCTGCTCGAAGGCTAAAATCTCAGACATGCAGTTGTAGAAAAAGACAATATCAGTTTGCCCCTCCCACTTGCTCACGTCAGCAAACCCAAAGAAGGGAGAAAAGGAAACCCCGACTTTCATGATCAATCAAGAGTGTGTTGGAGGGGGGGACCGCCTAGCCTCTTCCCCCCGGGACGACGAATCAATCCCTCCATTGGGCTGGCTACTAAACTCCAGAGGAAAAAAAAAAAAAAAAAAAAAAAGAAGGCGAGAAAACGACCATAATTCCTCGTGACGAGTGTCCAATCTCTCGCGATGCCCCCAAGTATCGTTGTCTTCTTTTCAACGCCCCAAAAAAAAAGGAAAAAAAAGAAAAGGTTTGAAGATTTCGTTTTCATCATAAGCGTCATGGTAGAAAGAGACCAAAAAAGAAGGAGAGAGGAGTAGAGGAGTGGATGAGAAGGGAGGAGGAGACAAAAGATCAAGCGCCGTTCAGGAATAGCATCACTCGGCACCGGGACCAGAAGGGGCGTGGATGCCGTGGAAGCCGTGGCCGACGGCGAAGTCGCACTCGGCCCTGCCAAGCTCCGTCATGGAGCGGGCGTCGAGGCAAAGCAGATAGCTCCGCTGCGTGGTGCCGTCGAGAACAACGCTGAGGAGGACGCCGTCATCCTCGGCGAGGGGCGGGCCGTCGTCGGAGGCGGCGGGGCGGGGGACGAAGATGGGCTCGCCGGGGGTGTGGGCGCGCGGGCACTCCCACAGCAGGGCCTCGCGCGTGTCGGCGTCGGTCTTGACGATGGTGTCAAAGAGGGTGCTGAGGCCGCGGTCCGTAAGGCTGTAGACGTAGCGGTGGCGGCGGGTAAGGTAGGCCGGGTTGATGGTGGGGAGCTCGCCGGCGTGCGGGCCGGGGATTGAGACGACGAGTTCCGGTTCGGCAGTGGGGGTGGGGCGGGTGGTATCTTTCCGGGACGGGTCCGGGAGACGGAACTTGTAGCGTTGGAGGCTCGCGTAGCCCGTCTTGAAGCGCTCCTTCTCGGCCCAAAACTTGTCTGCGGCGCCGTTGCGGTTGAGAAGGACGTCGTAGTACAGGTTGTAGAGTATGTCGAGGTTCTGGTAGGCGGCGGCCTCGCAGACGACGTCGAGGAGGCCGTCGGCGCCGGGTCCCGGGGCGGGCTCCTCGAAGGCGTTTGTCGAGTGGAAGAAGAAGCCGGCGGGGGTGTCGAAGGAGGCGACGAGGCCGCGGCCGTGGCGGCGGTCAACAAAGTACCACCTGCAGCGGTTGGCGGGATCGAAGGGCACGATGGCGTCGAGGATGTTGCGATGCCAGGGGACGGCCATGCCGGCGTAGGCGAGGTGGGAGGAGGGGATGCAGAGGACGACGAAACTGTGGGTGAGGAAGAAGCTGTGGACGTAGGCGGGCTTGGCAGCGGGGCTGGAGATGGTAGCGAGGATGTCGGTCTTGCCGGTGGCGGCGCTGGTGCGGAAGACGCGGTAGGTGGAGGACATGGCTAGGGCGAGGTTGAAGTTGTACATGTCGCCCGTGGCCGGGTCGCGCTGGGCATGGGCGCAGGACAGTGGGCCGGACAGGTCCGGGTGCAGCTTGTCCTGCTTGGCGACGCCGACGGGCTCGAGGGTGGCTGAGTCGATCTCCAGCATGGGGCTGGAGTCGGTAGAGAGCCAGACGCTGCGAAGGCGGCCGTTCCGGTGACCCTGGTCGGCTGTTGTTGTTGTTGTTGTTGTTGTTGTTGTTGTTATTGTTGTTGTTGATGGCGATGATGATGTTTTTGTCTTTCTGTCGTTGTCCACGAAGCCGGGGACATTGGCGTTGACGGCAACACAGATGTTGGGGCTGGTGCCCTTTGCGAAGACGCCCATGAACTTGCCGAGGAGGCCGACGCAGGGGTCGGCCTTTTGGCCAAAGGTGTAGCGGTTCTGATGACCGGCGGCCTTGATGGAGGCAACGAGTTCATCGGACTGGCGGCGCGAGGAGTAGACCACGCGGGTCTTGGACGACGGAGCGGCAGCGTCGGGGGCGACAATTTCGAACTTGTGGGTGTGGGCAAGGCCGTCGAACCAGTGGGAGACGTGATAGGTGCCCTTGGGTGTGTCTTCGATCTTGCAACTGCCGGGGCCGGTCCGGTAGAGGGCGCCGGCGGCCCAGGCGGGGATGTCGCCCTGGACGGTCAGCTCGATGGGGCCGCGTTCCTCGGTCAGGCCGTCAAACTGGTGCTTATCAGTAGGTGCGGTCTAAAAGAGGCGGCGGCGGGGGGCTGGACTTACGCCGGCCTCGTTGGGCCACTCGTCGTAAGGCGCCCTACGGCGGTTCTCCTCATACGTCTGTCGGTCTGCCGGTTCGTCCTCGACCGTCCGACGCACCGTCCTTGCGGGCACCTTGGCATCGGTGTCCATGGCGATTGCCGATGCCGAAGGGGCTATGACAGTTGTGGTGGACATGTCTCGGTCCGTCGAGGAAGCAGAGATTAACCGTTTCTCTCTCTCTCTCTCCCTATTGTTCCCTGGGCTCTCGTCAGTATGTGGTCGTAGAGAGACAGAGGGTGAAGTTGAGGGTTGTGAATGGAGTGCTTGTCCTGGTTGAGGTAATGGGGGATTTTTAAAGCCAGACAAACACACGCGGAAGGAGGGAACGAACGACAAGCAAAGTGGACGGGCGCACTTGGACAATATATTAAGCCGGAAGCAGCCAAGTTGGCGGTGCAAGTGAGTGGTGAAGGTCGGTGAGTTCGGTGAGTTCGGTGTGACGGGGTGAGGCTCGGTAAAGGTCAAACGCTGCACCGGGTCGATACGTTAGCGGAAAGGGAAACTTGCTGGCCTAGCCGTGTCATCAACTGGCCAATACGGCCTAGTGATATGCAGAACAGGGAAACCGGAAAGAGGGACGACGATGGCGATCTTTAAGTAGAAGATGGAGGGGTGGGGCGGAGAGATGGATGGATGGATATGAATATGGGCCACAAGCACCGGGGATTCAATGCAGCAAACAAGCTGGCACCGTGTGTGTGGGAATGTACGTCTGGGAGCCGCCAAGGAGACTGACTGGGTGACGGTCAAGGCCAGTTACGGACGTACGAGCGGGTGGGTGTGTGTATTTGCCCGTGTGTTGGTGGGGCGGGAGAGAGGAGGAGAGAGAGAGAGAGACGGGTGAACCAACCAGTATGGGCAGAGTGATGAGATGAGATGAGACGAGTTGAGTTGAGGGCCTGCAACAAGAGATTGATGGCACCGAGAGGAAAGATTGTAGAGAGCGGGGAAGCGGAAGAAAAATAAAATAAAAATCAAAAAGCTTCTTGGGTCCGAATCACCAAGACGGAAAAGCAACGAGTCTGCGGTTGGTTGAGGAGCTTCTCGGGTGGTGAAAGGTATAAACCAAGGGCCGGGGGAGGAGGGGCAGAACAACGGTACGGCCGTAGCGGGCGACGGACACGGTGCCAAAAGGCTGCAGGACCAAGCAATGAGTTAATGCGGGCGTGTTGCCGGATCGAGACAGCTTTCGGGGACGTTGGACGGAGGATGTGTTGGTGTCCGTGTTGTGCTGTGACACAAGACAAGCAAGCAAGCAAGCAGGCAGGCAGGCAAAAGTCTAGACAATGTGTGCGATGCTGTGTGGTTGTTATTATTGTTGCCGGGATGAATGTGAATGCCTCTGGGATCCAACGGTGGAGATGCCGACGGGTTAAATGGACGCGGGTGTCATGATTGATTAATCCATTGATTCCATCGACATGCCCGACGATTCGGCGTGTTTGCCAGGCCGAAGTGTGCGTGTGTCGCTACTGGGCTGCCATGGCGTCGTCATCGAGCCGCATTGTCCGATGTGGAAATGGGGATGATTTGCTCTGTTGTGGTTATTGCAGAATCATGCCAGCCAGCCAACCAACCAACCAAACAACCAGCTAGCTAGCTAGTCTAGTCGGAGCGAGTGGCATTTCCCTCCCACTTCAATGATGGAAGAGGGAAAAAAAAAAAAATAGATACGGACGGGTACTGTCAGGTCGAGCAAGACGTTGCCGTGTAATGAATGACCTGACGTGTACGGAGTAGTGCATCATAGACTGGACACTAGCGTAGAAAGGCCGCCCAATGCAACGTGGGCCATGTGGCTTGGACTTGCTCGCATTCGCCTAATGTCAGATGAGATGGATGCGACGGAGGGACGGGCCCATGGGGCACACACCCAACGTAGTGTACGTCCCTCGTGGGTTTCCGATCCGTGGACGATGGATGATGGATGTCACGGCGATCCATCTTTCGTTTCCCCTGGATCTCTCGGCCGGCGAGGGAAGACGACAAGGGGAATAAGAAAAGAAAATAAAGCCGAACCTCGCAGCTGGGACGATTCAACATGCAGGTGGGCGCCGATGGCTTGGTTCGTCTGTTTTACTTGCATGTATTGTACATGTGTGTGTGTGTGTGTGTGTGTGTGTGTGTGTATTGGTTGAGACCTCTACGAAACATGGGGCGCTGGAAGACGGGCGTATGGAAAAGAATGTAAGGGACTCACACCAGCCACAACAGCCACAGCAGCCACATTGTCCACACTAGCCACATTAGCCATGTCACGCCACGCCTCACGGCACACACCAGCCACAGCCACACTGATCGGGCAATATGGGTCCCTTCCTTCCTTCCTTCCTTGGTCGTCATATGCACGCTAACGTAGACGAGCCAATCACGTGCAACATCTCGCGAGAAGCCCTTAGCCCATGCAAGTCGACTACCTAGTCGACCAACGACCAACTACCATACATACACGTCTACTACAGACTGCCTCGCTTGCATTCCGCCATGGCTGACAACTACTTCTTGGCTTCCGCCCATTCCGCACCCCATCTCGCATGGCCTTGAGACACGCCATGGCATATCGCTCTTCTCTCGTTGCACCCTAGCCAGCCACGGACCGACGCATTTCCCCCATGTCTGACGCCTTCGCTATAGCCCCTGGTGGCATGGAAGAAAGAGAAAGAGCCTGTCCCTCGCGAAGCCTTTCATCAACAGGCCACGCCAGTATGCGACCAGCTCGCTTGCTTGGTCCCACTGACGGGTGTCTTCGCGGCGCCGGGTCTGAGACTGACTGGCATGAACGGGAAGCCACTCCACCACATCGACGTTGCACAACATCACGCCTCTCGCTCGGTTCTGGTTCAGCCCAGAACGAACCTGTTTATTCTCACAAGCGCTTCGTTGAACCCAACCAAGAGTCGGCATGCTTACAAGCCCGCCTGCACGACAAGTCGTCGTGGAGCACATTTGTACAACAATTGCTAGCCTACAAACTCAAACATCCCACACTCCTTGGTTCCAAACCTGCCACTTCTCCTGTGTCTCACTCGAGAGAGACCAGCCCTCGCAAGGCTCCTCTTCCCCGAGCTACAGGTCTCCCGGAGGATCGTTCCGGATCGAATACCCCGTGCTGGCCTCCACCAGCTGGTACTCCAGAAACGGAAACTGCATGCCGCACCCGGGACACTCCGGCTCCTTGGCCTCCGTGCTCGTGTCCGTGATCCACTCGAACAGGCAGCGCCGTCCGAAGATGCACCAGCAACCCTTCATCTGCCACGCCGGCTCCCCATAGTCCCCCATATCGACCCCCGGGTGCGACCGCTCCGTCATGTTGGCAGGCGACACGTAGAACCCCCCCTTGCAGATTCTGCAGCTCCTCCAGCCTTCCTCGTCCTCCAGCTCCCTCCACGGGTCGATGGGCGCCGTCACCCTATCGAACACGCCCCGCCGCGCCTTGTACTTCATCACCTGCACCTTCCACTCCGCCCGCCTGTCGAAGTAGTACTTTTGCACGAGCTGCACGAGGCACGTGAAGGGCTGGCTGGTCATCGACACCTGGTCCATCCCGCTGGCCACCCGCGCCAGCTTCTCCAGGCCCTCGACCCGAGACGCCGTCCGCCACGCCGGCACCTGGATGACGTGCGCGAGCCATGACACGGCGAGGCTGAAGCGCCCGTTGGAGATGCCGTTGTCGTACAGCAAGACCTCCCCCATGAACTTGACGAGGCTGGCGCGCCTCGACACCCGCGCCGTTTCCAGCGTGTGTGCCGCCGTCCATCCGCCGCCTCCTGCTGCCGCCGCCGCCGCCGCTTCCTCGGCGGCCTCGGCATTCTCGGCGTTCTCCAGCATCAGCCTGTCTGCCATCTTGGCGGCGTCGCCCAGGCTCTTCTGGAGGATCCTGCGCCGCCGCCCGATGGTCCTCTCCGAGAAGAAGGGCTGCCGCGAAATGCCGTCCTTGAAGTAGAGGTTGCGCTCGCGGCACACGGCCGAGAGGGCCATGTGGCGGTTGGCCAGGACGGTCTGCATCGCTGGGCTCCGCACGCGCGGGTCCCCCTCGAGCTTGTCCGCCGCCAGGTCCGTCAGGTGACGGCGGGCTGCCGTGGTCGGGTTGTAGAAGTAGGCTAGCGGCCCGTTGGCCTCGCACCGGCACTCCCCGACCCGGTGGTCGTTCTCCTTGCACCGGCGCTCCATGAAGAAGGCGCTGAGCCACGACTCGGCCGCCTCCGCCGCCACCGCCGCGTCGTCGTCGCCCGCGCCCCACCGGCCCCGGACCCAGAGCAGGACGGCGTGGCAGTACTCGGACAGGTAGCCCTGGACCCAGGCCTCGTCCTGCAGCTCGTCACGCGTCCACTCGTCGCTGACGGGCGTGTATCGCGGCACGGCGGGGGACTCGCCCGAGCAGGCCGGGCACATGAAGGCGTACCGGCTCAGGCGCTTCTCCCACTGCGGCGCCGGGCACGGGAACACTTGAGAGCAGAGGATGTTGGCCCTGACGCGGTGCTTCTTGGGTGGGTTCTGGCCGGGCGGGTTCTTGATGGGCTCGGAGGGGCATTCGTAGAACTGGACATGCTTGATGCACATGGCTGCTGGTGATGCTGGTGATGCTGCTCGGGTCGAACGAGGTAGTCGGCGACGTTCTTTTTGCTTTGTGTCTTGTGTCTTGGTCCGAAGGTCAATTTGCACTTTGAAGCCCGCTCGCAAACGTGCCGAATCTGAAGGAAGGCCATATAGGAGTGGCTCGCCCCCGTTGGAAGCAGCGGAAACACGTCCATTTAAGCGCGCAAGAGCAATTGTATCGTGTCGTTACGACAACAAAGGCGACCCCAGGGGTGAGGGTGTGCTGTGTTTGGTTCCCATGACCCTCTTGATGACATCTCCAATCGGACAGTCATGGTAAAGCGAAATGGGGTTGAATAGGGAGCGCCAGGGCCGTCAAGACCATTGCAAGAATGACGGGCCAGGCTTCTTTGTGAAGGCCCTCGAGCCCAAACAATAGGCCTCCCGGTGGCCCATGTGAATAGGTCATCAACCGAAACCGGCGGGCATGCCATGACGGGAACAAAGAGGTCGAGTCCTGCGGTCGAGAGAGAATGCCGGGCCGCCCAAGGGTTGGAAGTCAACAGCTGCAAGGGACGGTCTTGTCCGGACGAGGTCGGCCAGGGAGGACTTTGGCAGTTTAGACAAGGAACGGCTTTTGATTCTTGTCGTTCTACATGTTCCAAATGTTCTCACAAATTATACAGAAGAACTCAAACGGAGGACCGGAGCCGTGTGACGTCCAGGAAGACGACGGTGTATAATCTCTGCATTGGCCACAGCCTCTCTCTCTCACGTTTTCAAACGCGCTTCTTTGGCAGCGACAAAATATCATGTAAGCGATTATGGTGGTATCTCGGAAATATGTAAAAACCGGGCGGGTTCGCATCCTCTCGCCCATCTCTATGTGTCCATGAGGCGCGCGCGCAAGGAGACCTCTCTTTTTTCATTACTATTTCCCCGCCCACACACACACACACACACACACACGCACACACACTGGACAGCATATCTAAGCAGAGGCGGTCTTCTCGTGGTGAGCGGCGTCGCCGTCGCTTTGCGGCACGGCCTTGTCGCCGTCGGCGGCCTGGCGGTCGCGGAAGGTCGTGGTGGGCTTCCAGTTGGTGGACTTGCTGGCGACGCTGACCTCGGCGTACAGCTCCTCGACCTCCTCGAGGGTGAGGCCCTTTGTCTCGTAGATGAAGAAGTAGACAAAGGCGATGCAGATGAAGCAGGCGCCGAACCAGACGAAGAAGATCTTGGACTGCAGGTTGGCGTAGCCGTCGCCGTAGTTGACCAGGTAGGGGGTGGCGTAGGCGATGGCCCAGTTGAGAAGCCACTAGGGGGAGATTGTTAGCATATAGGGGGAAAATCTAGCAAGTCACGGACGTGTGGAGAGGTTGGAGAGTGTGTAGTATATGACTTACGTTGGTGGCGGTCGACAGAGACAGAGACTTGGCGCGGGTCTTGAGGCTAAAGATCTCGCCGTTGACGACCCAGGCGAGGGGGCCCCAGGTGGAGGCGAAGAAGAAGATGTAGATGCAGACGAAGGCGATGGCGGCCTTCTGGGCGGGCATGTTGAGGACAATGATGTTGCCGGCGGCGTCCTGGCTGGTGGTCAAGGTGCCCAGCATGGCGACGAGGAACTGCGAGACGCACATGCCGACGGCGCCCCAGAGGAGCAGGGGGCGGCGGCCCCAGCGGTCGACGGCGTACATGCCGGGAAGGGTGGAGACGACGTTGATGGAGGAGGTGATCATGCCGATGACGAAGCTGTTGGAGAAGCCCGAGTTCTCGAAGTAGGTGGTGCCGTAGTAGAAGATGAAGTTGATGCCGGTGAGCTGCTGGAGGGCCTGGAGGGCCATGCCGGTGAACTGGCGCTTGAGCACGGGGGGCCTGAAGCAGTCGAGGTAGGTGGCGGTGCCGATGCTGGACTCGTAGTCGTGGTTGGCCTTGATCTCGGCAATCTCCTCGGCGACGTACGGGTCGTTCTCGGGCAGGCGGCGGAGCTTGGCCAGGGCCTTTGTGGCGTCTTCGAGGCGGCCGCGCTTGATGAGGAAGCGAGGGGTCTCGGGCAGGATCAGCATGCCGACGAAGAGGATGATCGACCAGAGGAACTGGACGGCGATGGGGATGCGGTAGGAGCCCGTGTCCTGACGCTTGTGGGTGGCGTTGTTGATGATGGCGGCCAGGAGCAGACCGATGGTGATGGCCCACTGGTAGGCACCGACAATGGCACCGCGAATCCACTTGGGGGCGGTCTCGGACTGGTAGAGAGGGACTTTGTTATGACACGACAAGGTTAGTTTTTTTTGTTTTTGTTTTTTTCCTGTCCTGCTCGGCCTTGGGTCTACGATTGGGGGAGAGAGAGAGAGAGAGAGAGAGAGAGAGAGAGAGAGAGAGAGAGAGAGAGAGAGAGAGAGAGAGAAAAGACTCACCCAATGCGGAGATCAGACCGACACCGAAGCCGGCGAAGAAGCGGCCGGCCAGGAAGAGGGGGATGTCGACGGCGGCGGTCTGGAGAGCGACGCCGAGGTTGAAAACCCAGCAGGAGGCGGCGAGACCCCAGCGACGTCCGATGGAGTCGGCCAGGAGAGGCGAGGCCAGGGCGCCGAAGAAGGTGCCGGCAGAGAGGATGGAGACGATGGCGGACTCCTGGGACGGGGAGACGTCGGGATGGCCTTTGGTGTCCACGTAGCCGGTGCTGAAGAGGCGTTGCCAGTAGGTCTGGAGGGAGGGGGGGGAGCACAGTTAGCAGGCGCGTTTTCTTTCAAGCCAAATGCAGAGTGGGCGCGGGCGCGCGCGCGCGCAATCGACGTACCATCTCGAGGATGCCATTGATCGTGCCCGTGTCATAGCCGAAAAGCAGACCTCCGAAGGCGACGAAGAAGCCAATGGCGATGGCGGGCCAGGTCTTGCCCGGCACGCCGGCGGGCTTGATAGCCATGATGACGACGGGGAGGCGCGGCTGCGGTGGTTTGGAGGTGTTGGCCGGTTCCAATGGCCAAGCAAGTTGGAGGGGGAGAGAAGAGAGTAGGCCAAAAAAGGCTGCAGACTTCTCAAGATATCGTCTTGCGTGTTGGGCACCGGCGGGGGGGGGAGGCTTGGGCACGATAGCGGCAGTGACAACAAGAAGCGTTCGGGGAGCATCTCACGGGAGAGAGGAGCGAGGGGAGGACGAAGATATAAACTTCTCCGCAGAGTGTGTGTGACACGACGCGGAGTTCCCGCAGAAGCTTCCCCGAGGGGGGGGGGACGCGGGGAGACGGACACAACCGCATCTCTCTCTCTCTCTCTTTCTCTCTACTTTGATCTTCCAATGTGTATGCGGCAGGCCATGACAAGGGCAACCGAGTTTTCTAGACAGGGGGAAGGGGGGTCATTGGCCTCAAGTTCAGACAAACGATGTGGGGTAGAGCCATTAAACATGCCACGGTAGGGCCGGTGCGATGATCACGAGGTTATTACTGTGGGATCTCAGTGAGAGAGAAAGCGAGAGAGAGAGAGAGAGAGAGAGAGAGAGAGAGAGGTGAGGAAGCTGGTTGCATATGGGGTGAACAGGGCGTTGAACCAGGTACATGGCTAATCATGCGCGTGTCATGCATATGCCATAACAGCGGCGGGCGATGGAGGTGTACCAGATACTTTGAACAAGTTGTGGCGATCTCGGAACGAGTTGGAAAGCAGTGCAGCATAAAACCAAAACCCCTGTACAAAGTAGTGTACCTACACCAGACTGCTTGTTTGGTAGAGTCGCAGCCAACGGGTCCCATGGGGCACCCACAACCCCGACAACGAGCCCCAGCAGGGGGTGGAGAGGCGAGGAGAGGACGCCGGCACTAGCAGCGATTGGAGGGTGTGAAGGACGGGGGGGGATTCTGGGGTAGATGGCGGCGGTCTGACGGTGCCAAATCAACGGTTTCTCGACAGCGAGACCGAGAGAGAGAGGGAGAGAGAGTGAGCAGCAGTATGAGGTAGGCCACCATCTCATGCGGCGCGTCTCTTGGCCGTTGGGGTACCGTTGAGGCAGCTCTACGATGGTAAACTACCGTAGTCTGATAGTGCGAGGTCCGATGTGAGGATGATGCAGCAGTCCACGTCGCAGTTCACCATGGTGTACACAGCGGTATAATGTAGATTGGAATCGGCTTGGCACCGATCAAGACGACCAACCATGGCGCTGGTGTGCGGTGTGCGGTGTACGCTGCGGACATGAGACCGTCAGGACGAGAAGACTTTTCTCTTCGCCCTCGCTGTGGCGCGTCATAAACGTCTGTGAGACCGTGCCTTGGGGGATCCCCACGACTCGGTTTTCCCAGTTGCTCGACAAGGTTTTCTGGAGAAACGGGGGGGAAGATGGTGGGGGGAGGGGGAAGAGGGGGATGTACATGGTACATTGGGTGATGATCGCTTACCCAGACGGCTCTCGTTTTGACCAGACTGTTGAGTGCGTGTGTGAGTGTGTGAGTGTGTGTGTGCCGGACTTCATGCCGTTGGATGCCACCGCGTGGAGAGTGAGTTGTGTGGCCAGGTCTTCATGAGCCGTCCATCTATGTACACGGTACACGGCGGAGCGTCTTGTGGAAATGTTGGAAAAAGCGAGCACATTGAGATTCGGCAGTTTAGTCTAGTCGTATTACTCTCGACGTCAATGGATGTCGACGGAATGAAGGGGGAAAAAAATCAAATAAAAAAAAGAACAGTGGGCAGACTCCCCACCGCCGATGGAGAAAAAGAGAGCGAAGAAAAGGGCGACATGGGCCACTAGCGCAGTCATGATGCCCGTACATATGTAGTATAGTAGTAAACTGCATAATGGGCATCAGTATCCGTAATAAAAATACGATTATGGTTACTTCATTAGCCAACGATGGGGGGTTATGGCCCAGATGGATGGATGGTGAACGGCCACGCCGCCGCCAAAAGATGGGGAATCGGGGGCGTCTCGTGCTTGGACGATGGGCCGATGGCCATGCGGGCACCAGGATTTGCTCCAGTGAACAAGCAACAGCCAAGAAGACCCCAGGAAGACGCTGGTGAAAAAAAGTCCTTCGCCGCGTCCATGTATGTAGGTACTCGTAGACCTAAGACCACGGATGCGGAGTAGATAGAACCTGCAGCCAAGAACGCCCCGTCCGTCCCCAAGACTCTCGTCCAAGGCTTGACTTGCTAATCTCTCATGACTATTTTCACCAAGTGCGTGTACTTAGTTACGGACATGCACTTGGTGCAACGGGCTGGCTGGCTGTACGTGCTGTAGTCTCGCTTCTCACGCTCACTGTCCACAATTCTCACATTCGTTCTCACTCTCCACAATTCTCACATTCACTCTCACTCTCATTCACACTCTCATTCTCAATCTCATTCTCAATCTCATTCTCACTCTCATTCTCACTCGCACTGCACACTGAGTGAGTACAGTCTTGACAGCTTCACTCACTCTTTTTTTTCCCGCCATGCGACGACATCTCATCCTCTCGTTCCAAGTCACACGACATGAAACATGCCCGCCGTGCATCTTCAGCGCGTCAGGGTCGCCGGTGCCGTGAGTCTGTACGGAGTACACCACGCACGCTACATACCAATCAAGGGGTGGGTGATCGATAACCATAAGAATGTCATGCAAGATGTACTGCTACCATGTCGAGGCCCCCCGGTCACGGTCGACTCGCTCGTCGAAACTCCCTTTCGGCCCGTTTCCTAGCTGTCGACGTCCCCCCCCCCTTGGCATTTCACTTATACATACGGATACTATGTATGCATACACTACAACTTACGCCGCTGCCCCCCGCAATGTTTGTGTCTTCGCCTCTGTCATTCGCCGCCATCGCACCCTTCATTTCTCCCGCTGTTTCTCTCGCTATATCTATCATGAGGCTGGATTTCGCTTTCCATCTCGAGCGCCACAATGTAATGCGCCAATGTGCGAAGTACTACTAGTGAGCGCCAAGTTGGAAGGGGGGAGAGACGTTCGTGTGTGTTCTCGCTCAAATCCCCGTCGTCCGCGCATGTCATATGCTCCCGTTCGGAGAGGGCTGCATGATAGCACATCCAACGCATATTCCCGTTTTGCCCATCATCGTCAGCTACGAGTGAAATGCTGCCTTGGCTGGCCCAACCAACAGGCATCGACCCTTGGATCGTCGACTGACCTTCCTCCCTCCCTCCAGCGTTAGCGTCTTGCATCAACCGCTCACGGCCAATCCTGTGATTCGGCGCCCTCACACCCACCTCGAGTCTCGCAGTTCACCGTAATCCATCCATCCATCCATCCATCCATCCATCCCTCCATCCATCCCTCCCTCCGCTCCTACGCCCGGTCTTAGTCGCCGCCACCATGCAATGTCTCTTCCAACTGCCGACCCCGTGCCCTTTGCGCCTTCTTTGTCATCCCGGTGCCCGCTGCCAACTAAACGGCACCGTTCCTAGTGTACACTACCTTGGTGTGCCGTAGGAAAAGGCCGAAGCGGCTGTTGACAGATGCCGCCGCAGCTCGCATCCCCGTCCGGTGTGCCGTTCGCTTGTCGACGACCTGCAAAACCAACTTCTCTCATCCCGGCCCACTGGGTCAGGTCCGTCCTGACTCTCATCCCGGCCAACGTCCACAACCAGTCCAAAGCTTCGTTGGAACACCAACCCCCCCCCCCCCCCCCCCCCCTTGGCCAATCGGGTCTCCTCGCAGTCGCCCACATACCCGCTGGCTTCTTCGGGCCTTCTTCGTGCCTTTCTCCACCTGACTGCACCAAAGTGTCTAGGTGCGGTGGGCTCCGTACCAAGTACAGACCGAGAGAGGTCTGCAGGCATCGCAATCCGCCTCGTACGACTGTCCGTCTGGATGCTTCCAGCCTGCTCTTCCGCCCTCATCCATAACCAGCCCGGTCGGCTGCGTCGAGACTCGTCGCCCCAGCCACGGCAACATCACCGGCCCAACAAAAGGAGCCCACACGCTCCCCGCGCTTGGCAGTCCGAAGGCGTCGCCGGTCCGAACCACCATGGCATGGCATGCTGCGGCGGGCTCGAACACTATTTTCTTCTTCTTCAACACGCGCCAGCGGGCGCATATAACCAATCCACCCACATGTCATCCCCCTCCCGAGACAGTTCCACTAAAGGCCCGATATCTCCAGAAACGCGGGGTCATTTTCCCCCGGAGCCCTCCCTGCGGTTGACCGCTCGCGTGTCGGCCATGCTGTTCGCGACTCGGAACCTGGCGCTGACAGCTTCAGTTGCGGTGGGGAGACCCAGAGAACCCCCCCGGTCGGTGCGAGCTGGCGCGCGGGTTCCTCATCGTCCCGGAGCTTTGCGAACGAATATGACGCACCCTCCTTAAGAGATGAACCATGTCGTCAGGCCGAACCTGCCCGAGCTCGGAATCCTTCCATGTGCGCCTCCAGCGACGTCTCCGTCGTCCGACTCGACTCCTGTTCACCAGGCGTGAATAGCTACGCCTGTAGATCACGAGCAACGAAGCTATTGCCAGAGCCCCCCCCCCCCCCTGCGGATTTCGGACGGCTACCGACAGGCTGATGTGGCCTTGGAGGGGCTGCGGCGCTCGCGCTCTGTGTCGTCCACGCTTTCAAGTCTCCGGGGAGCCTGGGGACGGCCACGCAGGTCTGGATCGTGTCCACGACGGACGCTCAAGCTGCGGAGAGCGCTTGCAATAGCCAGGGCCGGGCCCTAAGCCGTCTCCAGGGTATTTCCTTGACCCTGTTGTGGGAGTTTGGTGTCTGCCGGTGTGCTACGTAGTGAGAGCACACATGCCGATCGGATTCCTGTTCAAATGGCAGAAGGCAACGACGGCCCGGGAGAGCTTCTTGAGGTGTGCGTTGCTTGGCCTTGTTGTCATGTCGGGCAGAAGGACGGAAAGCAACGGCCAGCTCCAGGCCGTCGTGGGCTACTTCCAGCACCGGTTCTGCTCATTGAGCTATCATGCTGCAGCCAGTCACCCGAGATCCCGCGTGAAGTTCAAAGTCTCCGGTGTTCGTCTCTTTGCATGAGCCGAGCCTGCGGGCTTGTGCCATCATCGAGAGAAGCTCCAGATTCGCCAGTGACGTGCTTCTCGTGGAGTCACCGCACTGCGCGTTCTGAAGTCCAAACTCTCCTCATTAGTCGTGATCGGCAGGTGAGACGCGAGACTGCCACGACCAATCTTCGGCCACTCCCAGACGTGACGGATGTTCCTGGCACGCCACTCCTCGAACCGCCAACATGTCTTTGGATACATGGGCAGCATTCATGAACAGACTCCAGCAGGGAGTCCTACAAGGCGTCGCTGGAGAGTCTTGGATATCTATCCTATTGCCGGGTCAGACCACCACGTCGCGAAGAGCCCGTGCGGACTCTCCGAGATACAAGAATCGGGCCGATGATTCCTTTGGATACCAGACAGGGGTGTCGAGATGGAGCATCGAGGGCGAACGCCGACCCCGCGCTGTAATATGTTGACGACAGATTGAGATGAGATCAGTCATTTTCCCCCGGGTTCGTTCTGTTCCCACGCTCTCTCCGCAGATCCATAAGGCGGGGGACGATGACGATGTCCCCGTCGTCTCGGATATCTCTAACCTCCTGACCAAACCATCGGGCCCTCGAACTTGCCAGTCCGGGTCATGTAACCATCAACCATCGCTTGACGTATACGATCTGGTACAAAAAATCAAATGAATCCAATCGGACTCCCTGAACTCGGACACGGTGATTTCTTGAGAGAGGAGAACCCCGGGGTGCTCCGCAAGCTCCGGTGCCGGGTGCCACCGCCGCTGGGGCCCACTTTTAGGTCCGAGACGGTCGGCGGCTCCGCTCAAATACCGGCACTCGGGTACGGCATTCCATTCGAGAGCGGAAAGGCCTTGCCGTCAACTGAGATTAAATAAAAATTGGCGTCTGGCCCGGCTCTCTGGCTGGGAGAGTTTAAAAATGGCCGAAGGCTGCCTTGAACATGGCGGATCATCGCGGACCCTAGAGCGTCTGCCCCGCCCCCCGTCTCTTGTGTTTGAGAGCCGCTCACAGCTGCTTGGAATTTTTCGTCACCCAATCACTAACAATTCGCATCTTTTCTAGCATCTCCCGCAAATTTTGTCGGTCCCTTGGCGGACAGAAGCAGGCTCCGCTCAATCTCGGAGGCTCTGGCTCCGGCTCTGTAGACCTTCGTGTCGCAGCGGGCTCCCTCGCGCCCGCCTTTGACGCGACGATGACGGCGTCATACAAGCATCTCACAGATGACGTTACTGTTTCATACTGATCAAAAGTCCAAGCATGGCGTAGCTCGTTCGTCCAAGTATCATTTTCATCAGCATGCGTGGCTCGCCACGAGGGTTCGTGGTGGCCCGCTCTGTCAATCAGTTCCGTGTCGTGTGGTGGCAAAAGGGAGCTACTGACAAACAGACAAAACTACCTTCTTCTTCCGTCCTGTTTCGGACCTTGGAGACCGTTTGCTTGGATATGATTCATTCACCCGTGCGATACGTCAAACCCCGGTCTAAATCAACGTAGGACGGCAGCATGTCAAGTGATGCGGCGGCTAAATGGTAATCCCCGACAAGCTTAACCTAAGTAGATTGCAAGTTAGATGTGCTTTTATTCCCGGCAAATAGAAGACCCGCCTTCATGTCGATCCCCAGCGTAGAGCAGTGACACGGGCTGGGTGCCTCCTGGCGCTTGACTGCATCCGTCCCTCCGCATACTCGCGACACTCCATCTTTGCCGCCTTCGTGATGGGCCCTTTCTTTCTCCGTTGTAAAGCAAGGTCTCCGAAACGCCAAAAGAGTCCCATTCTGACCACCTCCTTGGGCTCGATGTATGGAGACACGTGGGTGGATGTGGAAACCGCCCGCCCGCCCTAATGGGAAACGGAGCAGCTTGCTCTTCAGACTCGGTTCTTTGGCCTCTACATCCATGACGTTCCTTGCGTGCCTCTCGGCACAATCCTCGGCATTGGTCAGCTAGATGGCAAACCGGGGAGCCACGTCGTTCGGTACCGTCTCCGACTTACCGGCAGGACTGTCACGCGGCCCAGCGCCCGCGACTAATGTGCCCCGGCACCCCTTGGCAACGCGTGTAGTGATTCTACCGCCAAGAGCTGGCCGCGCTGCCGTGGATCGTCGTACCCTCCCAATGATCGACGCTCTCCCTGGGACTGTGGTAGGGAAGCAGGGACTCCGGGCCGCTTAATCTACAGTCCACGGAAGGTTGTGTGGGATGTCGTCATGTTCCTATCTGTCGACGTCTGTGATCATAAAGGAGGCCCCAGCACAGTCTTCTCCTTCTCCTTCTTCATCTCACGCCTCCAACCTCAGATACCAAGCTCAGTCAACAACTCTCCCTCCTACCGGTAACACTGTCCATCATGAAGTTCCTCGCCCTCGCAGCCGCCCTGTCGGTGGCCGTCACCGAAGTCTCGGGCCACTACATCTTCCAGCAGCTGTCCGTTGGTTCCACCAAGTACGGCGTCTACGAGCACATCCGGAAGAACACCAACTACAACTCCCCGGTGACGGGTAAGCGCACCCCAGGCACGCCGCCTGTGCGTGTGTGGGAGTAAAACCGCTGACGCTCTCTAGACCTCGCCTCGAACGACCTGCGTTGCAACGAGGGTGGCGGCAGCGGTGCGCAGACCACGGTGGTCAACGTCAAGCCCGGTGATTCCTTCACCTTCACCCTCGACACCGCCGTCTACCACCAGGGCCCCGTCTCTCTGTCAGTCTAGTGAGACGAATCACTCGACGCACCTGCTGACGCGTGCCCAGCTTCCTTTCCAAGGCCCCCTCCCACGTGCAGGACTACGACGGAAGGTATGCGGACCCCGCGTCGCTTGAAAGGGGGCGCCTTGCGCGTCGAAACAGCCAGGGTTCAATGCTGACTTGTTTTGAAAAAAAAAAAGCGGTAAATGGGCCAAGTTCAAGGACTTCGGCCCGACCTTCTCCAACGGCCAGGCATCGTGGCCCCTGAGATGTATGAACAAGAGGGCGTCCGCACTTTGACGTGACGTCTCGAGGCTGACCGGCGCGCCTCTAGTGACCTACCAGCACACGATCCCGACGTGTCTCCCCAACGGCGAGTACCTGCTGCGCGTGCACAACATCGGCATCCACAACCCGTGGCCTGCTGGCATTCCTCAGTTCTACATCTCGTGCGCGCAGATCAACGTGACGGGCAGCTCCGCCCCGGCCAGCTCGTTCGCGCCGACTCTCAGCATCCCTGGAGCTTTCAAGAACACCGACCCTGGATACACCGCCAACGTACGTATATTCCCCCTGGAAGACAAGGGGGCGGGGTAGCAAGGTGTGGGCCGTGTGGGCAGAGGGCGCAACCGGCTGACGATTTTCGTTTTTGTTCCTCTTTTTTTGCAGATTTACCAACCTGGCTTCACTTCGTACGAGGTCCCTGGAGGCAAGGAGGTAAGTTTCTGAAATTCGTCCTAGGGGTGCCCGCATGGACTAACCGATCATCCTTAGTGGACGTGCTAGTTCTGTGGCCGCTACCATTCGTGAAGAAAAAGACATAAGACATCGCGTGCTCGAAAGGTAGTCTCCTCGCCAAGGGGGGGGGGGGGAGGGGGGGGAGTTCAACTCTTGTGTGGAATACTGGGAAGCTTGTCCAAGAAAACCCCTCAACCAGTAGTCGGGCCAAAGCAGACCAGATAATAAGCCTTGGCCTCGCGTCGATGTTGGAGTCTATTACGCTCGCACTTGTGTTGAAGATGGAAATATAAACCAAGACCCCGCATGTTTTCAGACACCAAAGCACCCAACCGCTGTTCCTGACCGGTCTGTCTCATGGCCGCTGGCCGGGATTCTAAGCATCCAAACCCACGTGGGCGTTTCATCGCGCCGTAAACTCGAAACATGGTGAATGGCTGGGAACGTTGACCAACGGTGATTTGGCGCCCGCGTTCTCGCGGTTCAATAGCTACCCGGTGCTACATGCTTTGTATATGCTTTGCGAAGTGACGAGAACGCTCTCGAGAACAGCCCGTCCTACACCCACCAACATTCTCGAAAGGACTGAAGGTTTGTAGCCAAGGCTCATGGTCTTCCAGGATCCAGGCCCGCGGTCCGAGTGATGGGTGGTCATGTTTCTCCTCACTTTAGGCAAACCATATATCGACAGACTGCGCAAGGTTCAGAGCAGGTCGCGTGCATAATAAGAGTGAGCGGCCGCGCTGCCAACACCACACGCCACCGATCCTCCCCAATCACGGCAGTTGCAGAGCTAGCCGGTTCATTGAAGCCATGTGTCTATCGTCACGCCTCTTGGATTGGGTCTGACTGCGAGATCGCCACCAATGCCAAGAACTCAGAAGCCCATGGGTTCGTCGTCTTGGCGTGCTTGTCCGGGCCTACCACGCAGAGTGTGTATGCGCCTGGCCGCCATGTGAATCATCCACTATACGTGCGGCCCGGGAGGGGACGGGGGTTCTCCCCCGTAACACGGGAAAATTCACCGGCTATATTCAGCCAAGTCACATCGGGACGACTCGGCAATCTAACTTCGACAGCCATTTGTTTCCCATTAGGCAAGTGCAGGGACGGAGCCGCGGACGCTGGGCCCGTATTTTCCGAACGCAGCCCAGGGAGGGTGGCCGGGGCCCGTTGATCTTGATCTTGATGGTGCTGGTCATCGTGCTGGCGCCGGCAAAAAGGGTGAAGAACGACTCGCGATGGGGATGTGTGTGTTTGTGTGCTATAAGTCAATGCTGACCGCTGCCGGGAATCCCCCCTTTCTCATCTTTGCTTCTCCAGAAACAGCTCTGCGAACCCTCTGCCACTCTGCCCCTCTGCATCTCTGCCTATCCATCGCCAGCAGTCTCTGCCAGTTTCCCAAAGGGCGTTTCTTTCTTCCCAAGATGAAGACTTTCGTTCCAGTCCTGGCCGGTCTCGCCGCCTTTTGCGACCTCGCCTCGGCTCACTGTAAGTCGTCGTCCGCAACGGGACCCCCCGGCCCACCCCCGGAGTGCCTCCGTGACTGACCTTCCCCCCCCCCCTCCCCCGCTCAGACCGCTTCACGAGCCTCGTGGTCGCGGGCCAAAACACGGGCGAGTACGTGAACGTCCGGAGGAACACAAACTACAACAGCCCTGTCGTCGACGTCACGAGCAAGGACATTGTCTGCAACGCCGGCGGCCTCTCGTCGGGCTCGGCGACGGGGGTCGCCACCGTCCTGGCCGGATCGACCGTATGCTTCCCTCTCCTTGCTCTTTGCGCAGCTCGTCCCTCTAACGCTCGCGCAGGTCGGCTTCGCCATGGACCAGGCCATCTACCACGACGGCCCCGTCACCGTCTGGCTCTCCCCCGCCGGGTCCGCCGGCGTCAAGAACTACGATGGAAGGTGAGTTTCCAGCATCATCCCCAACGCACAACTCTTACTGACGTACGGATTCAAAAAATAAAGCGGGCAATGGTTCAAAATCTGGGAGCTCGGGGCGCAGACCGGCAACGGTCAGATCAAGTTCCCCGCCTCGAACAAGGCCGCATTCAACTTCCAGATCCCATCGTGCACACGTACGTCATGCTGCCCGCCTCTCCCCATCATCCCCTCCTTCTCTCCCCCCCCCTCTTTTTCTCCGCGTGATGGCCTTCGAGACTGATCCGTGCGGATGAACGTTAGCCCCGGGAGAGTACCTCCTCCGAATCGAGCAGATAGGGCTGCACCAGGCCAGCACCAAGGGCGGGGCCCAGTTCTACATCTCATGCGCACAGATCAAGGTGACTGGATCCGGAAGCGGCCAGTTCTCCCCGGCTGTCAAGTTTCCGTACGTCCACCCCCAGTAGTGATCCTGTCGCTGGCTTGCTAACACCCCCTTCTCCCCACTAGCGGCGCGTACACGGGCACCGAGCCGGGCATCATGATCAACATCTATTACCCTGTGGTAAGCCTGAGTCTCTCCGATCAGGAGCATCTTGTCGACGAACCAAACTGACACACCCTCGCAGCCGACGACGTACACCATCCCAGGAGGGCCCCTCGCCACGTGCTGATATAGAGTAACGCAAGCCAAGGCGGGATCAAGAGGGTAGTCTCGTCACACCAAGATACATCACATTACGTCGTGCCTTGGCGTAAATGGACATACGAACACTCCTTCCCCATGTATGCATGTATGTGAGGTTGGTCGACGACATGCAGGAACAGGGTTGTGTATATATAGGAGAGCGGACAAGCTGGTTTCACCAGAAACTTTGATATATTCTGTCTGCCAAGATCTGCGTGCAGTCGCACAGCCTGGTACTGTTGGCATTGCTGCCATTCCGTGACTCTAATACGCCCCGGACGATTTCACTCCGGAGGGGGGGGGGGGGGGGGGGGGGGGGGAGGGGACGTTTGCCAACACCATGACTCCGGTCACTGGGACCAAAAGCAGCGAAAGAAAATTGTCCGAACCACGCTGTCCCCTCCCATAAGAAAAGCAGACAAAACAAAAAAGATAAACTTGAGAAACGCCTCAAGTTTTCCAAGAAACTTCAACACCTCCAGTGGATCATTGAGAACGTCACAAATCGTTAAAAGGTCCCGCCAGTCATCGGCGATCGGCCCACACCGACCGGGCCGATCATCGTCATGGTCATCGTCATCATCTCCGTCTCCGTCTCCGTCTCCGCCAAACAAAGCTCCACTCCGCCGGGCCCCCCGCGGCCGGCTTCACGACGAAAAGGGGTTCCACATTTTATCGGGGCTCCCCGGGAAGTCAAGATATGACTCGGGAACGGGACTCGACGCCGTCATGGGCCCGACGCGGTAGGTGTTCAGCGCGGCCATGTCCAAGGCCAGGCTACCAGACCCGTTGAGGTCCCAGGGGGCTGCCGGCTGGCCGACGGGCATCTGGTTCGCCCGGAGACGGCTGCACTCGTTGGCCAGGAGCCTGTAGGCGCAGCAAAGGGCGTCGTTCTTCTGGCTCATGTCGTCGAGCTGCTGCTGGAGCTCCTCGAGGCGCTGCTCCTTGCGCTTCCGGTAGGCGCGCTGGTTGGCGCGGTTCTGGGCGCGGCGCTTCTGGGGAAGGGGTGTTAGTCGCATGCGGGTGGCGATGCCGTGGCCGGGGTGTGATGAGCTCACCGAAAGCACCGACTCGCTGCAGTTCTTGTATCTGTTGGCCCTCCGGCCCTTCTGGGCCGACTGCGAGGGGTCTTCTGACGCGCTGGTGGTGGAGTGCCCGTCGTCATGTGAGTCGCCGCCCTTGCTGGTGTCTATGCTTGAGGTCGGGCTCGGCGGGCCCGACCAGAGTAATGACGGTGTGCAGTAGCCGTTCTCGTTGGACGCCTGGCAAGCACACGTTAGCCTTCCCATTCCCCACCGACGAGAGTGCAGCGGGCTGAGCATACCAGGCGTGAAGCAAAGTGTGCCGAGATGATGTCGTAGGGTGTGTTGCCGGCTGTCATGGATGAGAAGCCGGAAGGCATGGCATATGCCTGGTACTCGGATGATGATGAGCTGTTCATGGTAGGCGTCGTCCGGTAGGTTGACTCTTCTCTCTCTCCTCTCTTCTCTCTTCTTCACCCTTCTGCGTCGGCGGGCAACGAGAACAATGTGGGCAAGATGGCGAGCAGTAGTTTATCAACAATGGCGGTGATGTGGGTTGATGACAATGATACTATGATAGGATTCACTTGCTCGAGGATACAAGATGGTTTTCAAGATGTGGGATGGCCAAGGTGTGGGGGTATGAGATGGGATACAGACAGACAGACAGCAGCGTGGCGGCCTGGGAGGGAGAAGGGGGGTGGCAGGGCGTTTATATAGATTTTATCTTTTTATCAGGTGAGAGGGAGACATCGCCAGGTCATGTCCGAGAGGGGATGAAAAGATACGACGAGTCTACGACTAGCGGCGGCGAAAGAAGAAGAAGACAGGGGCCTGGTGTAAGGAACATGGAGAACATGGAAGCATGGGGGAACTTGGCTGGAACCACCAATGAGGACATTGGGGGTAGCGGACTGGCGTACGGTGACGAAAGAGGCGAGTGAGGACCTGCATATGGAGTCAGTTACTCCCATGTCTGCCCGTATGGGCATCTCAGCCTTTTCGTAGCTGGGACTCGGTATTCAGTGGCGTGATGGTCCACCACTGTACGTATGTCAATGGCGCACAGGGGAGGGGGGAGGGTATGGCTCGACTGACGTTGGGCTCGGGTTGGAGGGAAAGGCAGGGGTGGGGGGAGCCGCCGACGTCCGTGTTCCCTGTGGATGTTTGAATCGAGGGTGCGAGGCTCTCGGTGCATGGGTAGGAGTAGATGTCCGTGTGTGTATGGGTGCGGGTGTGGATGTTTGTGTGTGTGTGTGTGTATGAGTGTACGAGTGGATGAGTGGACGGATGTGAATGTGAATGAGGATGTGTGTCCAGGGTGGTGCCTCAACCAGACGCTAACGCAAATAGAGTAACGCAGCACACATGCTGGTCGGATTTGGAGTACGCGAACCTCGTCTTGCCGAGTTCTCTCTCTCTCTCTCTCTCTCTCTCTCTCTCTCTCTCTCTCTCTCTCTCTCTCAGGGTCAAAAACAAGCTGCGTTTACTGTTGTGGAGGGGGGCGCATAATTCTCGCGCGGTGAGACGCAGACAGAGCAGAGACGAGCATGACCTCTTCTCCGGATTGGGTCCGTTGGATGCCGCGATGCCGACAGACCAGTCGCGTGTTTCCGGCCAGAGATGGAGACCCGAAAGACGAGCGAGAGAGCGCACGGGGACGTGCCGGGAATAGAAGCACTGCTCGGGATGTTGTGGGCCCGCCGCTCATCCCGGGCGCTGATCATCGTTGAGAGAAAAAGGAAAGGAGAGGGAGAGAGTGAGAGAATGTGAGACAGACAGACAGACAGACAGACAGACAGACAGAGTAGGACGGGTGAGAAAGAGAGCTAGGTAGTGAGGTGAGGCTGCCCCCGAGTGGTGTGAGGGATTCCCTCTGGCCGCGGAAGGGATCCCAGCATTCTTTGACGGGAACTAATCCCTGGCCTTGGCCTTGGCCAGGCTAGCTAGCCTCGGACATGGTTCCCAATACCTTATTTCCTGCCAGTGGCGTTAGCCCTGTAAGACACACGAGCCAGAGAGCCAAGGCGAGCTCGGTCTCATCCGTTCGTGATATCATCTGCCCCCCCCCCCCCCCCCCATCAGGGGTGGCCGTTGTACGGACGAATGTCTCTGGAATCTGCTACGGGTAACTTAGTGAGACGCCATGCAGCTCAGCGACGTTGGCGTCCGTCCAGTCAGAGAAGAGGAGAAGGACGGACGGAGAAAGACGGAGACAAGAGTGATTTGCGTGCGGGGGCAACTGGGCCAAGGACAGAACAGGGCCTGGCCTGGCAGCGAACTTGGCTGACATGTGCACACACAAGAAGCCACGTTCACCACGAACCACTGACAAAAGAGGGCAGCGGTGAGAGTGGACGCGTAGCAGACAGGGGAGGCAGTCGGCGAGTAGCAAGCAAGCGGGTGGGTGAGTGAGTGAGTGATTGATGGGCGGGAGCGAGAGGTTAAACAAACTAGTGACAGTGAGAGTGAGTGAGAGTGAGAGTGAATGAGAATGAGAGTGAATGAGAATGAGACAGAGACAGAGACTCGGGACGGGACAGTCCAACGTCTGAGACGCGCTCAAGCCCTGCCAGTTTAGCCCCAAGAAATCAGATTCAAAAGAAGGAAAAAGAAGAAGAAAACCCGGTTGTCATGACTGCTGATCTTTGAATGTTTGGGCGACTGCTTGACGGGAGTACGTATCGCGTCCGTTGCTTTGCTTTGCTTTGCATTCCCCGTTTTCCCAGCGGTTCCTCGTGCATCAAGCAAGCAAGCAAAGTAGAGCGGCGACCGATGATGTATGTGCGCGCGGGTCAGAGCTGTTTGGTTTGATCCCGTCTCTTTCTCTCTGTCTGTCTGTCCGTCTGTCCGTCTGTCCGTCTGTCCGTCTGTCCGTCTGTAGTGTTTCTGTGTCTCCTTCTCATCCGTTGCCCTCGGTCAAGTCGTCAACCGTCCTGTCTCGAGGGCATCTCCCGGCATCTCGGTGTCTCGCAAAGTGGAGGCGCGCTAAGAACCTCTCTCTGTCTCTCTGTCTCTGTATCTCTCCGTCTCTCTGTCTCTCTATCTCTGTCTCTCCATCTCTCTATCTCTCCCCCCAGTTTAGTCGGTTGGTTTTTTCCCTTCTTCATTTTGTTAATTTCAGACAAGTTTTGTTCTATTTCTATTTTGGTTTTCATGTTTTATGTTTTCCAACTTCGTAATTTCTTCATTCCATCTGCATCCCCATCCTGACTCAGGCTTCGTGGGTAATGGATGAATGCGTAAGGACAATGGAATCCGTCCAAAGGATCCCAGGTGACGATCCCGTGCGGATGCCCTCATGGTGCCGACGCCAAGAGGGAGGGGATTTGGTAGTCTCGCTAAGAACGGATCGACGAAACCCAAAAACCTTCTTGTCTGCCAAGGGGCCCAAGACTGCATGCAGCCCTCCTGGGTTTCCCTCTCCAACTCAATTCCATTGGACCCGACTCCTTTTGACTTTGGGAAGCATGCCTGTCGAGCCCGTCATGCATCACATCATGATCAACAGCAGCAGCAGCAGCACCGGGCCTGGCACACCAAAACAAACAAAACGCTCCCGGTACTTTATTTCGGCTCCGAGCACAAGAGAAAGACGGGGGGGGAGAGAGCATGGGCCAGTTCCACCCACAGCCCTCATGTGGCCAGAGCAGGAAACGTGGCCCAAAACGGATCGGCCGTCAATCGTGCACATGTCTCCAAGCACTCTGATCTCAGCCCTAACGGCGTCGAGGCCCTGCCTGTCTGACCCCAGCAAGACACCATGGGTGGTGCAACGGCGCCAGTTCGGGTACGTCGGACTCGATTCGGCGGCTTCGGCAGCGTCGGCGTCGTCGTCGTCATACACTCTCGAAAGCGGGCTGGGCATCGATGCAGAACCAAGGTCGGCCAAGAGAAAAGGAGAAACGGAGAAAAAGAGAAAGATAGAAAGAGAGGGAGAGAGACGCACACGCAGAGAGAGAGAGAGAGAGAGAGACAGAGACAGAAACAGAAACAGAACGCACATGGAAGCATTCGACATTCGTTCCTTGGCTAGCAATAGTCTCCAACCCCTCCCCCCCCCATCTCCACACCCCCTCTCCCCATCGTACGCACTCCCCATCCCCTGCCATCAAAGTTAGTTTTTTTGGGAGGGGTTGGAGGGGAGCAAGGAAAAAACACCGTCGAACGAGACCGATGAGGGAGGACGAGGCTGAGAGGAGAAAAAGGATAGGAGCAGAGTGTACTAACAACAACGAGAACAGCAGCAACAACAACAACAACACCTACAACGACAAAAAAAAAAAAAAAAACCAACTGGGCTTCATGTCAGCCCAGAATAAGCTTATCCTCGAGCGTTGGGGTCGCTGGAAAATCCCTTGCCCCTTGCGGGATATTATTATCGTGTCCCAGGAGCCTGTCGCCACCCACCAAGCCCCTCGTCCGATGCTGCACCGAAGGCTTGGCGTCTTCCCCCGAAGCTTCGGCGCATCTTCCCAGCCACCGTGTTGACCCCAGCCCAGCCCAGCCCGGTCCAGCCCAGCCCGGTCCAGCCCAGCCCAGGATGGGATCGGCGCCGGGGGCGGGGGCGGGGGCCGGGGTCAAGGGCGCTGCCGCGAAGCTTCTTACAGCCGTGTGCAGGGCCGTGGGGTGTCGCGTCGAGCGTATTCTTTTCTTGTGGGCGGTGCAGTACACTTACTTACACTTGGTATGCCGTGCTGTCTCGACCCGCCGTCGTCCCAATATCCCATTCGACGGTGCCGGGGGTTGCCACCAACCCGTCCCTTTCCGCGCATGGCTTGTCGTCCAACCAGCACCCAGCAGAGAGCACCACAGGGTGACGATGAGAATATTATACAGTGTCACCACCTCACGAAACCTTCGGGGGTGCCAGGGGCGGGGGACGCAGTGTGCGGGCGCTCGCGAAGCAAGGAGTGCCTCCTCCTCCTCCTCCTCCTCCTCCACCTCCTCCACCTCCTCCTCTTCCTCCCCTCCCTGCCCCCCTCCTCTCCCGCCAGTTCTTCCTCCCGGTCCTCCTCTTCTTCTCTGTGCTCCTCTTCCTCCTCCGCCTCGCCCGGGCAGCGTTCACAGAAGGGGTCCAGTTCTCGCCGTCCCTCTTACTTTCCTCCTCTCCCCCCCCCCTTTCTTTTTGACTTTCCTAGGTAGCCTGGCCAGGGGGGAGCGGACCAAAAGAGCACCGAAAACACAATTTGGCCTTGGTTAATAGTCCTCGACCAAACCCGTCGAGAAGCTGGGAAACTCTACTGTCGTGGCCGGTTTGGCCTTGAAAGACGGGCTTTTTCGAGTTACCAGACCTAAGGCAGTCAGAGAGCCCCCATTCCCGACTCAACTCGACATGGCAAATGATACAGCGAGACCCTGCATCTGGCCATATCCCATGTCTTTCTTTCTTTCTGCCTCGACGTCAATGCTTTTTGGACAAATACCCTCCCCTCCCCTACCCCCTTCCCTTCCCTTTCTCCCCACCAAGGTCAACTTACGGACTAGTTCCTGCAAACGTTTCGACTGAGAGACAAGCAGGGGGGAGGGAAGGGAAGAGGTGGGGAGAGGGGAAGGGAGAGGGGGAGGGAGAGGGGGAGGGGAGTAGATGATATGAGCACCTGGATACCTACACCTGGGTGCTTACTCGCCTACCCCACTACCGACCAGATACATGCATCACATACCTTGGGCAATGCAACTCTCGCGTGCACCTGCTGTGTACCTCGCGACGGCCGCCGCCCGGTGGCCCGGCAAGATGAGGAAAAGCGGGTCCCACGGACCGGAAGACGGGGATCCACTTTCCATTAGACGGCGGCGGAGGAATACGGGGCTTGCGGAATTCACCAAGGGGCCGCCACTCTCTGAGGCCCCCCTTTTTTCCTTTTCTTTTCTTCCTTTCCCATCATTGCATGTACTCCCTCATTCTCTCATCTTCTCATTCACTCGTCCGCCCGGTGATGCACGCAGACATTTCATCCGTGGCTGCTAACGCTGCCTTTGCATTTGAAACGTGTCAACGAACGGACGCACCATCAAGTCGAACCCCCTCCCATTCTCTTGCATGGCCGGAGATGATGCACAACTCCCCGCCCCAATCCTTGGTTGGTCCCTCCTCGCCCGTTGTCAGAAACATCAGACCGGGGAAGAAGGTGGGTATCATGGAGCATGAAGAAAGAAAAAAAGAAAAGAAAAAAAAAAAGGGCTGGTGGTACGTACACATGATATTTACTGCAACTCTCTCGACGGCAACACAAACCACTCAGCAACCACCCACTCACTACCTTTGGCCGACCGACGGCGACCTGGTTGAGTGCCGGCATCTCTTGTCGAACACCGTCGGCGTAGACCCTGCCAACCGCTGTCGCCGCAGATTGACTTCCCCCCACCCCTCGTCCCTGGTTCCCTCGCGACGCGAGCTCGGCCCCGAGTGTGAAGCCACACAAGCATGTCGACGTTTGACGTCTTGAACCCTGGGAACAAGGTGGAGAAACGGGGGGGGCGGATGGCCAATCCTGTCTCCCCGTCCACTTCGTCCACCTCGTCTCGTCCCAACTCTGGGGCGTTATTCACGTAGAAATAAATAAATCAATGAAAAAAGCAACGGAAACGAAAGAGAGATGGAGGAGAAAGAAAAAAGAAGAGGAAAAAAAAAAAAAGACAAGGGAGAAAACTTACGCACCAACATCCGTTCCCAATTTGGCCTCCTTCTGGATCGTTTCTGTCCAACACCATCCAGCCTTCATCCAGTATCGTCTCAGCTGCTCACACACACTCTCTCCCTCTCTCTCTCTCTCTCTCTCTCTCTCTCTTGACCACGACGTTGTTCAACCGGGCCGTGGACTGACTGGCTTGCCGGACCCATCTTCGCCGCCCGACGGAACAGTCCCCTTCGGATCCGCCAGCCATCCGAGGGTCAGAGCGCGCAGTCCGACCAAATGTAGATACACTCATACACACACACACACATTTGCTTGTCTGTTGTCCGTGACACCATCCATCCACGACAAGTCATGTTCTGCCCGAGCCCACATGCATCGCATCGCCATTGAATTGAACCACAAATGTTCTTCCCCTCCATGACGGACAGGTCCTGTGGTTGGAATCGTCCAGGTTCCTTACCATGCAATTGTTTGATTGACTCGTTCGCCATGCCTCATTTTCCCCATCCCATCTCTCACTCACCCGCTCACTCACTCGCTCGCTCACTCACTCACCCCCCACACTCAAAATCCATTCCCTCCCCCCCCCAATTGCATCGTCACCGACACCAAATGCCTCTCCGTCCTACGCCTTGAAGCCTCCCGCTAGTCGGTGGGCTCCAGGCTCTATCTCAACTTGGCGAACTTGGCACGGAGCGTCCAGGGCTGGGCTCTGCGGGGTAAGTAGAGCAGCTGCAGACGAGTCTGCGAGTCCATTCTATACGAAGATGGACAAAAGCTCGGTGGTGTATACACCAAGCAGCCTATTTTCAGAAAGCACCTCGATAATTGTTGGTTTGTGATGACTACGCCCATCTCTGGGGCTTTCTGGGCCCCGCGCATCTTTGAAGTTATCATCACCCGTTTTTCTTTATTTTGGTCTTGGCATCTACCGATGAACATCGAGTGAGTGAGCAATTTCACCGGGATTTCGGCAACCATTCTGATGTTCCCTCTCGCCTCTCGCCTGTCTGTCTGTCTGTCTGTCTGTCTCCCCCCCCTCTCTCTCTCTTTCTCCGCCAGCCCTAGTAACCCAGACGCACTGCCATTGTTCACAGCGTCAGACAACCATCTGTTCTGCCAAGGAGCCAAGGCGAGAGAGTGGCGTACTCTACCAGCCCCCATGGCGTTGGTCTACCCTACCTGTGGGCTTCTCATCTGCGGAACCCGGTTGACATCTTCAGACTACTGCAGCAGCCTGTACACACACACACACACGAATACCTTGATTCCAAGGCGCGAAACCGAGTCTTGGGGTGTTGTCGGACGGGCCAAAAAGTCATTTTCGGTCCGGTCCAACGACGAGGAGGACCGGACACGGCGGCTTCGAATCTCGTACCGGCCTATTTTCTTTCCTTCCTTTTTTTACTCAATCCTATAAGAATTTAAGATTTTTTAGCCTCGAATGGTCTTGGAGATCAAACCCTATCTAACCATGCAGAACTATCCTTAGTGGTTGAGCTTATGTCCAACACCCACCCGAGCGTCATGTCAGGAGAACCTAAACCCGTGGCGTGGCGCTCACTGCACTCACTACGCTGCCCGCTTGCTCGTGGACTTGAGCAGCGAGGAGGGACACCCGCGCGCCCTGCTCGACCCTTGCTACCTGAAGCCTTTTTTGGTGGTGTGGGAGGGAGGAGCACTCGACCGTCATTTGACGCCTTGTCTTTTTTGGGGATCCAGAAACGCCAAAGGTATCAACATCGTCCGTTATATTGCTGCCATCCCTTCATCCAGCCTTGCTGGGTTCAACCTCCTTTACGCTGGCCACAGCAGTTACGCACTGTTGGCGAAGAACTTTGTGATCTTTTGCGTCCCATCCCCCTGCTTGACGGGACTCTTGCTCCCGTTGCTCGTGGCGCTGATCTTACTTTGTCTCGTCTTCTGAGGCGAGGCCCTCGACGCCATCCTCTTTGGTGCCGGCTGCTGGTCCGCGTCCGTGACGTTGGGCGCTTCCCGCTTGATCCCTGCCTTGACCTGCCCATCTACGTCTTTGACCGCCTTGGCCATCACGCCTGGCAGCGGCTGATCATTACTGTCTTCTTTCCGCGATTGCTCCATTGCTATCGTCATCTCCACCTCGACCGTGGGCTCCTCCTCTGATTGTTTGGGCTTGCGCTTTGACGATGCGTTGTCAAAGAAATTGGCAATGTTGGACTTGTTCTCCTTACTCGCCACGGGTATGATGAAGGATGGAGAGTTGTTGCCGACCTTGCCAACCTCCTTGCTGACGGGATAGCAATCGAGCTCGCCGTCGAAAGGTTTCAAAAGACCCTGGAGCTCCTTGGACCACTCGTGCCGCTCGGGATCGAGCCAGATCTTGATCTCCTGGGAGCCGAGATTGAAAATGACGGGCATCCTGTCATGCAAAAACTTGAGTTGCTTGTTGGAGTCCGTAGTGATGATGGTGTAGGTGTACCGTTTGTCGTTGGAATCTAGTCAGAATTCAGCCACCGCCAAGCAAGGTTGAAAGGTAACTTTGGCCTCACCCTCATACTTGACGCAGTCCCAGAGCCCGGCAAAGCACATCATCTGGCCGTCCTTACGCCTGATGAAATGGGGGATCTTCTCCTTGCCGTTCTTGAGCCACTCATAGAACCCCTGGGCAACGACAACGCACCTTTTACCCGCTTTCATGGTCGACCACATACCGCCGGGTGTGGCGAGCGAGTCAGAGCGACAATTGATCGTCTTGGAAATCGTCGAATAGCCGGGATCGCGCTTCGTCCAGAACGGGATGAGGCCCCATTGCATCGATTGCATCCTGTACCTGACTCTGCCAGTCTCTCCGTGATGGTCCGATGTGGCTTCCGCGGTCGTTTCATCCCGCTCGTTGTTCTTGCCATCGTGGCTATGCCCCGCCCCACGGTCAGGGACGTCGGCGCGATACACGACGCCGTGATAGCCTGGCGCAAAGTTGTACGTCTGGCGAGGAGAGCCCTGCCCCTCGTCTTCTGGTGCATCATCGACAGGCATGTCGTCAGCCTCCAACATGCGCCTGATCTGCGATGGTCGCTGCGCCCCGATTGAATTAGTCTTGGTGTCGATTCGGCAAATCAAGGCTGTGATATGATGTGCGAGGGAGAGAGAGAGACTTCACCAAAGCCAGAGCATATCTTCCACACATGGCTGAGATACTGGCGTGTATCGACAAACCGTTCGGGATCGATCGATTGTTGCATCAATTCTCGATGACTGCCCCTATTACCGTGCTATCCAGCGATAAGATGGATGACTGAAAGGTGTTGGTTGTGCCGGCGGGTGTGGTTTGCCCTCATTTCGTCATCGAGACGCGGGGCAACGGACATCGAGGAAACTGGGGGGAATTGACCAACGCGCTTTGGACACGCCCGCACGTGACGTGCGGCTACCTTTTGGCCATCAGCGGGCTTCACAAAAACCAAACATTTCTCGCATAGTGTTGATGTATTCTTCCTCTCTTCGTCTCAATTGACCTTGCTTAGTTCAAAAGAAAAATGGAAATGAATTTATGCCAAAAAAAAAAAATTTGATATTTTGCGCAAATTACCTCCTTGTGGCATCATCCCTTACAAACTATACAGTCCTCGTGTCGTTGATGGACGCCAATGCCTCTGCGCGATAACTCCGTGTGTATCATCCCTCTTAGACGTTTCGTCTCGATTTCCGCTTCAGTGTCGTCTCGGCCGCCCACGCGTCTTCAAACGCCGGCTTGCGCTGGCCCACGTCTCCCTTCTCCAGGGCAAGCCGACGGACCACGTGGAACGCGCCGGTTCCAACCGTCATGGTCTGGCCCATGATGATACACTCGCTCACACCTTCGATCTGGTCCGTCTTCATGCCGGCCGCCGCCTCGAAGAGGTGGTCTGGCGTCTTCTCGAATGAAGCCAACTGCAGGACGCTGTCTCTCATCTTGGAGAGACCGAATCTCGTGATGCCCAGGACCTCGCCCTTGTACGTCATGACGTCCGCGAGTAGCTGCATGTGACGCGGGTCGATGTTCATGTCTCCCATAACTTCTCCGATTTCGTAAGCAATCGTGCTTCTTGCGGCCTCGATGCCCAGCACGTCTCGGCACTCCATGACGTTGTTCGTCTTTACTCTTCGTCCGTCGACGCCCTCCGTGTTCATGCACGAGAGCAGGCCGTATCCTTCGACCAGCACAGTGTGGGTTTCCTGCTCAGATGTTTGAATAATGGCGCGGGTGGCCAAGGGGTAGCCCGAGATGGCCACCGTCGGGATCGTCCGCCGAAGGTAGTTGGCCCGCACCAGAAGATCCCCAAGCTCGTCCACCGGCTTGGCCTTGACAGCACGCTTGGCGGCGGCCGACTCATCGAGGCGGACGCGGATTTCGATCCTTCCCGCGCCGATGTGCATGTCCGACCTCGAAACCTTCATCTTCTTGTGCTTGCAAATGGCCTCGGCGACATCCCCCAGAGTGATGCCGAGCTGCATGTCGGACAGAGCGTCCATGTCGACCTTTAGGACGACGTTGCCAGACTCCGCAAACCACTCGTCTTCGATGTAGCTCAAGATGTCCTCGACAAACGTCTTTTCAATGCGTGCCTTGACAATTCGAGCGGCCGTCATCTCTCTGTTCTGCACCAGCGGGCACGTGATGACGGGGGTGCTGATGACTTTGGAGGCGTTGATGATTTCCTTGATACGCGGCACACCCTGTGTGATACTCATACCGGCGACACCGGCAAAATGGAACGTCTTCAGCGTCATCTGGGTTCCCGGCTCACCAATCGATTGCGCACCGACGGCGCCAACGGCATGGCCAGGCTCGACGTGCGCCTTCTTGTACTTCTCCAAGCACAGTTTGATAAACAGCCTCAACGTCGTTTCCGACACCTTGGCTACCTTCTCCGCAAACGCCTTCTTGTGCCTCATCTCTTCCTGGTCCATATCAACGTCCATGCTGTCGGCGTTGGC